AAGTTAAAAAATCCGCTAATTAAAAAATAATTTAATAGTATTTTTATAGTTATAAATAAACTTTTAAAGTAAGTATATTTTTTATTATATAAAAAAGTATATAATATAAAAAACTTAGTATATTTTTATATAAAATATATATTTATTAAATATAAAATATTAAAAGAAATTATATTAAATAAAGGAAGTACTTTTATATTTAAATTCTAGTAAGAATTAATAGCTAAACTTAAAACTTACTATAAGTTAAGTACTGTGTTTTATTTATAAATAAATAAATAAATAAAATAAATAAATTAAGTTATTAAAGTATACTTATAATATTATATTAACCTTTAGTAAAATAATTAAGTTAAAATATTACTAATTACTTAAATATAATATAATAGCTTTATAATAGAAATTATAAGAGTTATACTATTTTATATTAATTATAGGTTTATACTAAAAGCCTATAGATTACCTTATAATAGTTTAAATATAAATAATGCATATATACTTATAGAAAATATAATTTAATTATAGGAAGAACTTAAAGTTTAACTTAAATTCTTTAAATAGTGTATAAAGGAATATATTAATTAAATAAGGATTAAAGGACTAACCCTTTAAAAGGGAGATATAGTTTATTTACTATAATATTTATATAATAAAAAATTATTAAATATTAAAATAAATAAGCTAAGTAATAAATTAAATTTTAAAAAGCTTAGATTATTTAAAATTTTAAAGAAAATTAGTAAAGTTAACTATAAATTAAACTTACCTAAGAATATAAGACTAAAAACAGCTGTCTTTTATATATTATTACTTAAGAAAGCATTAGTAAATAAAGAGATAGGTAAATTAATTATAAATAAAATTATTATTTAAGATATTAAGGAAAAATATAAAATTAAAAAATTAACTTATATATAAATAAATAAAATAATAAAAGAAAGGGAATACCTTATTAAATAAAAAGGATATAATAATAATAAAAACTCTTAGGTCTTAGAATAGGAATTTAAGAGGAATGCTTAAATAATCCTACAGGAATTTTATTAATCTTTAAGGGTAGAAATAATAATAGGTCTAGTTTAAAGGTAAATTAATTAATATTATTAATGGATTAGGATAGGCTAGTAATAGCAGAATTAAGCGCTAATAGGGCAGCTTAATAAACAGCCTCCACTTCCTGCTCTTTATATTTAACTTATTTTAACTCCTTTAAATTATTAATCCCTTGTGTAATAGTATAAGTTATTTTTTTTAATTATAATTATTTTTATTTTTTAATATATTTAATTTTAGTATTAATAGCTTTTTAGTATTCCTTTACTGCCTTTAATTTATCCTTAAATTAAGTATAAAAAGAAGTAATTTTTTATAATTAAGTAATAATAAAAGAGTAAGTATTATATAAAGATTTATTATCCTTTATACACTTAATATATTAAGTAAAATTCTCTTTAAATATTTAATACTTAAGGAAATAATATTTTTTTTTATTTAAATAATAAGTATAGTTTTTTATTTTAATAAAATAAAATAAAATAATTTTTAAAAAAATATTATAATACTCTATTTTAAAATAAGGCTTTTTTTAAATACCTATTATAACTATTAATATATATACCTTTAGATAATAAAAGAATAAAGGGAATTAATAATAAAATAAAAAGGCTAAAGTAAATACTTATACTTAAATAAGTAAGGTCTTAAGGATAAAATTAATAAGAGGGGAGTATTATATTATAACCTAATACTTATAGTTATAATAACTAGCCTATAGGGTAAATGGAACTAAATTAATATAAGACCGGCTAGCTAATTAAAATAAAATTAAGAAATATAATATTAATTTATTATAGGATTAATAATTTTAATAATAATTTATAATAAAATTAAGAATTTAACCCTTAATTTTATTTAACTAATTAAATATATAAGTTTACTTCTTTATACTTACTTAAATAACTTAAATAGCTAATTATTAATATAAAATTAAAATTATAATACACTCTGCAGCTTACTCTTTAAGTAATATTATTATTACTATTTACCATTGCCCATAGATCTCTTAACTAATCCGCTAATATAAACCATAGACTAGGTTTGTCCCTTGGGAATCTTATAAGCCATTAACTATTTAGGATATTAGTGACTTAGGTCGTTATAACATTCTGGAACCTCCGTTAAGAATAAAGCGGAAATTCCGCAGTCTACATTCTTAGACAAGCTCGGCTAGAATTTACCCGGCAGGGACCACCATTGCATTTCCACCAAAGTCAATAGGCAATCTCAGATAATCATTTGATGGAGTCATTGGAGAATAATCAAGACTAGCTAGTGTTCTGATATTAATAGGCAACTATTAGCACCATTAGCACCATTGTGTATTAAATAGATGCGTCTAATGAATTTCCGTTTTGTTATATAGCTTTAAAAGCTTTTGAACCCTTTAAAAAACTACACGAATCTAAATAAGTCTTGTCATAACCATATTAGGTTGTTTGGCACAGCGGTCCATAGAGTGTTGGGCCTGTGATTTCTTCCCAGCCCTCATAACCAACACAACGATAGCACCAAAACACCCCTTCGGGATCGTACTTCTGTTTGACTGATTCCAGCCAACTGTACTGGTTCCCATAGAATGCTTCTTTCCAGTCTGGGTCATTAGGATCAGCCTCATTTAGATAAGTGCCAAGTATAGGAGTAGCATCCTTCATTGCATTGAGTTTCTTCGATGTCGCGTAATCCTTGACTTGCCGGACTCCTTGCAGCCCTCTGTCAGTAGGTGGTACATCGAAAGTCTCAGCCAATACATATGTCGTTCGCCATCCGGGATGTATAGCAGTATGTGGCTGGGCGTTGAGTACTTCTCCACCGCCAACGAGACAGAGCTCCAACAGCGTGGCTATGGCCTGAACTTGGGACGCACTCTGAGGGAATATTGCTTCGAGCATAGCCGTGAGATTTTGTTGGTTGTTGCTGAGAGAATTCTTATCAAAAAATCGCGACACCATGGCGGGACTAGGGTTGTTAGATGCGTTCGAATTATGGCTCCCACTGTTAAAGAAGTCTTGAAACGTATCATACTTGTGAAACGTCGATGTCACAGAAAATCCTGTTCCATTGAGCGATGATAGAAAATCCAAGATCTCCTCGTTCACAAGATTGATTGCTTTGTCTATCTCAGAAGACGAGTTAGAAGAGGAGCCGTCTGATGTCAGGAGCTTCCCAAAAGTATGACTGTAAGCAGGGTTGACTCCAAGGATTCTTTCCAGTTGTCCATATCCTGAGAACCCAGCGTCCGAGAGGGTAGGATATTTGGACAGAATCGTCACAGAAACGTTGAGAAGTGCGGAAATGTCAGTGCTCAACGCCGTAACACTCAACGAATGCTTCAACACGGGTTGCGTGGGATATACTTTCAGAGTTGCCGCCAGCACTATACCAAAGGTGCCGCCACCACCACCTCGGAGAGCAGAAAACAGATCCACGTTCTGACAAGCATTAGCGGTGACAACATCACCAGTAGCAAGCACAACCTGAAACTCGAGAACCTGGTCTGCTGCTAGTCCGAAGTAATGGCTGGCAGGGCCGTGTCCACCTCCCTGGAGGTAACCTCCGACAGCACCGACAGTCTAGAATATCGTAATTAGTTACATGCGTAACTCCAGAAGAAAAAGTAATGCCTACCCTGTCTCCGCCGCCAACGGCAATGTGGCCGTGTTTAGCCGCAAAGGCGTATACCTCATCCCAAATATATCCAGCGCCCACTACGATCGCGCTTCCGTTCCATGTTGACTGACAGGAACTGTCGGAGGGCGAATATGGTTCTTGATATTGGAGCTCGGGCCTGATATGCTTCGTCCAAATCGATAGACTGCCATATCCCTGAGACCTATTCGACAAAAATTGTCAGTTCCACCAAAGCCATATGAAGGCGAGGGAAATCACTTGCCTTGCTCTGATATCATGACCGGTGTTCTTAACGACGAGGCGCACGTTGTTATCTTTCGCGAATTTAACACCAGCCGCAACGTCAGCTGCTCCAGATGCGTTGATGCTGTATACAGACGCGCTACCCAAGTCGCACACTGGATTGCCAGCTATCGAGCCGTTTATAGGGACACAAGTGTCTAAGACGGGATACATATAACCGATTGGAGATGCTTCTCGAAATGAAGCATCCTCGTAGAGATTGCTAATTTCCTGACACTGCGTGGGGTTGTTGCCAAAGCCTGCGTAACAGGGTTTGGCGAGCGGCTCATTGGCGATTAATTGTCCCTGAATAGTGCTGTTGAGACTCTCCCACTCGGATGTCGATGGCCAGCAATCATCAGTCGGTGTCTGCATCAGTTGTCAAGTCAGCGTGGCGTCTTTCCACCATTTAGGGCTGGAATTGCATACGCATTTGCATTTGGCGAGAACGGATGGAACTCCACAAAGGAGCATAAACTTTGTGAGATGCATGTTGCTTGTTGGCTTGACATATACAGACGCACAACAGAACTCTGCGCTTGGCTTGTCACATACCTTCTATCAAAAGGCGGAGGAGTCCCAGGCTTTTAAACCTCAAGGCCTGCGTGAATCATGGAGCGTATTGCTGTGAGCTTGCGCATTTGGCCATCTTGAGTGCACTCTGTGAAAAACTCGCGCAGTCGGACTTCGCCACGATGCAATCTCCATGCATTCTGCAGACCACCTAGTTTCTAGTCACTTCATGGATAGAATTGCTCGAAGAGTACGCCGCATTAGAACGGCTTATGCGCAAACGAATCAGGCTAAGCCCTATGCTCAAGAAATTTCAGCAACTTGAGCGCATTTCACGAGCCGTACAACCTCTCGAGCATCCTTTTGGCAAGGATAGCAGCGCGCAAGTTCGCGCAATCATGATCAACCACAAAAGCGAAAACAACTAGCTTCCACAATTAACTCCAATCTACCAAAACCCCTTAAGCCACTGCTAATGAGATGGGACTTGGGATGACACTATTCCTTGACTTGTTGTAAACCGCCCCTGAATGCGCGCAATCACGTTTGTTAGCAATTGCCTAACAGAACCTAATTGGATACTTGCTGCAGCCCTCAGGTACAAAGATGCGAGGATAATTGGACTCTAAGCAAGTAGTATAGCAATATTTGCATAATTAGTAAATATAGATGCTCTCGGTACCGACCCTATGGAATCGGTGCTTAATAGGCATGCTGCTTGAAAATTTGTTCAAAGGTCTCGGGGCGCTCGTCGGTCTAAAGTCTTCACTGGTACACAACATTAGGATTCTTCCTCTTAAGCCTATCTGCCTTTACTGTTGCTCTAAAATGCGTCATGACATAGTTAACAGAGTATCAGATAATATATTTTCATTTCCATTTGAAAAGAGGTAAGAGTATTGCGCTTACAAAACAGAGGCTTATAGGGTATAGGGGAGGAAGAGGAGAACCAGCAGCCATTGAGACTACTGTTTACTTAGTGCAGTAATATATGCAATAAACTGTGCCTAGTACTAAAAGCTTTCACATCTCTTGCAAATCGCTGCTTGAATGTATAGTAGAGACTATTATAGCGACTTAACCCACCGCCATTGCGAGTACATTATCTGATTTTCTTGTACATTCTGAACGTTAACAACCGTTCGATATTCGCGCCATAATTATTCAATTTTTATTGAAAAATAAGTGATCTCATTGCGATAGTCTCTTAGCCTGGTTGCTATTTGTGGTGAAGCTGATAGTAGGATAATAAATGAAGACTACAAAGCTGTTGAAATGGACTTGAACTGATCTGCATCTACGCGCAAAGCGTCTCTAGAATAAGCCCCGATTGTCATGCGTTACGAGGCCCGCGCAAATACCCCTTAAAGGGGTGAAAGGGGTGAGATCCATCGCGGAAATTTTAGGCCTACGCTATTTGCATTTGCGCTTCAGTGGCGAAACTACCTACTCGGCGCTCTAAACATGGGTACAGCATTTGGTGGACACCTAGCATCGGCGTAAGCCCGCATTTATAGATGAGTTACGCGTCCGCGGTGCGGAAGAGGCTTCGACATGCCGACTCCGTACACAGCGGAGCCTTGAGTAAAGACAGGTTTTCCTGGCATTGTAATAAACAAAGACAAGGGTAGCTCTTGAGCTCAGCTGTAGCATTTAGCAATCTACTTAAATATTACTGAGAGATACATTCATGTAAAGATGGCTACACTCAGGTATATTTAATAGGAATTGAACACTCGACCTCCGACACTCCCATGGTGTCGCTTGCATACCTAACTCCCGCATGACGCCGTCCAATTCCTTCTGTACTGCGACATAAGAGATGACTCGCCTCTGTTCGCTGTCACGCCATAAAGAATAGTCGTGAGTTTGTTTAATTGACCAGTTATAGTTGTAGAGGGTACGCAATCCGTTGCCTTAGCTTGTTTACATCTGCGCATGTTAAAAAGCGTTACCTGAGTCCGAAGCAGGGAGCTATGCTGCAGTTCCCTTTTATTGAAAAAGTAGCGACGAAGTTGAGCGCCAGCTAGCAGCCCAGAGGGGGCTTAGGGTTCTCATTACATAACTTGGATCCTTCGAGATAAGCTCTGTGCTTGACTTGGACGATTCAACAACGGCTGGTAGAGATCCCAAGGCTTGAATATGGAAGATGATTTATAGCCGGATCGCCATTTCAAGCAACGGCCGGTGTTCTAGGCATCTGGATTAGTAGCGATATTCCTATTTTATGTTTTAGGGACTCGCACGCTAGAACGCCTCTTCAAGAAAGCTTCCAAGGCCCTTGGTAGTTAATGAGGTTAAGATGCATCGGCCGTGCTGATATCTAATTTGACGAGCGGCCAGGCGTTTTTTCCAGAGCACCTAGATACAAGCATGCGCCAACTACACCAGGGAGAACTTTACCATAACAATAGAAGGAAAACTGTTAAGATCGCGTTTCCTAGGGTTCTGCGTGAAATCTTCAATAAAGGTTAAAAGCTGTTCTCTTTTGTAGGCCCATGGGACCAAATCAGTTAACAATTCAATTAAACTCTGCTCCTTTAATCCCCTTATACAAGGTACCGCAACTTCGAAAGCTAGTCTTGAAGTACTTGTAACGTAAATTATAACCTTAAGTGAGGGAACCAGTATCAGACTAGTGAGAGGAAATAGAAGATCCGGAGTACAAGATTGCAATTGTTTGATTAGGGAAAGCTGTGTGTGGGTCTTGGGACCATAGCAACGGTTTAGAGGCGCCCTCCGGCTTGGTCGCTGGGCGCAATACTTCGAGTAGACTACGTTGTAGCGGGAGGGTTTCCCTTGCCGATTGGGGGAGTACTTGACGACTGACTGGTCCATAAAGTAGGACTCAAGTTGAGCAAGCGCACGGCTACTGGTACTGTAGGCAAGCTTTAGGCAAGCTTCGGAGTGTGTTGAATCAGTTACTGTCTGTTAATCATGTAGTTCCAGAAGTCCAGCATCAGAGACTAGCATGGGCGCAGCAAGTGTTCATGGGCAAGCGGGATAGCGGCGACGGATCCGATAGCGGTACTAAGGGATGTTCAAGATGGAATACCGTAGCCCTTCAACTGTCGTAAACCACCTTGGAGGCTACTGAATCTATACTTTCTAGAATTTATTTTTAAGATACCTAAGATGTACAATTTACCTTCATTGGGTTGCGACATCTGTGAATACACCGGTAACCACATCACTCTAGCAGGAATTTACGGCAACCCCTTAACTGCGGCTTTTGCTGACTAAGAGCAGAGCGGACATGTCCATTTCAACCAATGCTAAGGGGTCGTCTTGCTTATCCTGTTTCAGATGATCCAGGGCAATTCCAGAGTACTGGAGTAGGATTCCCATTAACATTGACTTCCATCATTCCTTTTAACCCGCAATATTCTCATCGATTGATCCATCTACGAACTGGCAGCGGTATGGAACATCAAGATGCAAAAGCAGAAGATTGAACGAGGACCGCGAGGCAGATATGCACGCCTGATTTGCCGTGGTTGCAGAGCACGAAAAATAAAATGCATCCTGCCATCGCGTGCGGACATGGGGCCACTGTGCAGCCCGCAGCCCGAGTCTACAAGTTGCGAACGATGTCGAAATCTAGATTTAGAATGCCTTGTCGAGCAGACTCACCTTGGGCGTCCAGCAGCGAAAAGTGTTATTCGGCCGATGGTGAGTAGTAAACCTGAGGGGTCTGCTAGCTCACGTATGCAAGATGAAGAGAGATCCAAGCTCTCGAACTCGATTCGGCAATTCCTGTTCTCTAGTGCGATGAATGTCAATTTGGTAGAGAGCATATGCGGACATACAGGAGCTCTGTCCAACGAAGACGATCTTTACTATTCCATGACTTGCATTAAAGCCTTTGTTGCCTTGGTCTTAGCCAAAGACACTTCCTTTGGTGCTGGTATCCTTCTGAGAACTGCTTGTGACACCCTACTGACAGACATTGTCGGTCGCGAGCTAGCCACCTCGCTTGACAATCTGTGAGCTCAGTCAAATTATTCATTGGCTTCTCGAAATGACTGACTTTGTAGACAGGCTGGTCTGGCAAAGATTTTTTATACCTGGAACTCCAAGTCTGACCGTATTAAGAGAACGCTTACTGTCAAGTGATCCCAACACAAACAATATCGCCACCAAGCTACTCTTTGGGGTGCTTTGTCTTACTGCGTGTACATCATCGGATAAATATTTTCGAAATGCACTCTTAATAGAGAAGCTACAACAGGTCGTTTCATCGTACGGTCAAGACTTCATTTTTTGCCCACCGACCCACATTGATTCAGTTATCGTATGTCGCTTTCTAGCGGCATTCAATCCAACAGCGCTGGCCACTTCGCAGAGAGTTGCTCACCACTCCATAAAAGGAGAACTATACATCAACCTTGCGTATCTTGTAGCACAACGACTCGATATCCTGCCCCGAACAGGGAGCCGCCCGTTCGTAGGCACGAACTCGATCGTTAGCCTAGAAATGCAGGAAGAAATCGCTATGTCTGTGCAAGGGCTTCAACTCATCGCTGAGGAGTTTCTCGTGGGGGACCCTCTATCGAAGTCGCTTAATGCTTTCCGGCATGTCCTGCAAAAAATGCAGCCTTATATTCATTCATATCAGATGTTATTGCAGACTGCATCTTGGACATCGATGATAGTTTTCCATATAAAGTGGACCACGGCAACTTATATGTTAATCGAAGCTATGGCGGACACGAAGCAAAATTGGATGAGCCCTAGTCGGCTCTTCATTGCGGTTGACGCAGGCGAAAAAAAATGTCTCGCAGAGATAGATTCGGCCTACCAACTGTTGTCCGACGCAGCCACATTCGGAGACCACGATGAACAAAATAAAATCATCGCCGTATGCTCACTCCTGGAGCTCCGATTTCACACGGTGATATCCAAATTATTCGGCTTTGGACTAGGCTACATGTCCCTGTTCCAAGCAAGGATCTTAAATGGCCAGTCGCAGTCGGGTGTAGATATCTGCAGGCACGAAGTTACTCAGATGGGAAATGTTGTTGTCAACAGCTTGCTGACAACACCAAATCACCAGCGAGACTCACATTTCTTCAAGTTTTTGGACCATTTTGGTAACCGATACCCCGACAAGCTGCAAGGCCTATTGGCCAAATTTGTGGAATGCACACAGATGAAATGGCAAGACAAAAGCTATGTTGCGCCAATCCACCCAATAATTCTGGATATGGTCAGTCACTGCAGGAATATCATCGAAAACAATTTGCTTCGGCTCCGGGTTTCCGGTAGACTGCATTGCAATTTTGATAGACAACTCGACCTTTTCACGCAATGCGCTCACCATATAGCCGCCATGTCTTCGCCACCAGGCAGCTCAGCTGACAGGGCAGACGAGGCATACAACCGTGGCTGTGTTTATTCTGCAAGCAGCAAGATGATTCACGGTTTTTGTGATTTGATGAGGAGGTTGAATTTGCAAGTCTCTTTAGTTGATGGCTGGGACGAATCCCTAGGCGCAGTCAACACAGCCGCTTTCCCCTATCTTCCCACGACTATTTCTGTCCTTCCAGAGATACCTTCATGTGCAGCTGATGCCATGCCTATGCAATTTAAGTCTCTGGAAGCCTGGAATTTGTGGCCCTATTCGGCTCCATCGAGGCAGTCTTCCTTTTCCCACAATTTGTTCGAAGCGGCCATGCAATCCAACACCGCGACAACGCCTGACGAAGAGCCGCCGGCAGTCATGCATTGAGATTCTCAGGATGTAACACTACAAGATACACTAAGCACAGTATAATCATAATATTTTATACAAACAGATAGATAGCAAGTTAAAGCCCAAAAAGGTAAAGAGAGAAACAGTTGCCTGACTTTTAGTAATCAGCGGGGTTATTAGTTGAACTTCTAGACTATGTTAACGGTGGGTGTTGCCTAAGCTAACGCTAACACCTGTTGAATAGTATGTAGAGTCGTTAATTTCGTAATGCACGTTCATTTCACTATTCGTGCTGTATGAATATCAAATCCTGGAATTCTTGGAGTACATAGCCTCTCTCAGGATCACATCAACGAAGAGAGTTCCTGGCTTAAGCAAGCTAGCGATAAGAACTACACCCAATAGTGCGACCGCCAATTGTCTGTACAAGATGACCCTTAGAACAGTCCGTACTCCCAGCCTCGACTTGGCATTTTACGAACATGGCTCTCCCCAAGGCTGGCCGGTTGTTCTATCACATGGCTTTCCATATGATATTCACGCGTATGATGATGTTGTTCCTATGCTTGTTGCAGCTGGAGCAAGAATCTTCGTTCCTTCTCTTCGTGGATTTGGCAAGACTCATTTCCATACAGCATCAACAATTAGATCTGGCCAACAATCTGCGTTAGCATCAGACCTGATTGCCTTGTTAGACGCAAATGGGATTGAAGCAGCGATTGTGGCTGGGTTTGACTGGGGAGGTTTGGCATCTTGCGCTGCTGCACTTCTCTGGCCATCCCGAATCACCGGCCTCGTGTCCTATGCTGGATACGATATCGTCAATCCCGGAGAACAGCAGGAACCAAACCATCCTGATTTAGAGCGCACCATGTGGTACCAACACCTCTTTCAACATGAACGGGGCAAGCAATGCTTGTCGAAGTTCCGACGTGATTTTTGCTATAGACTGTGGCAAGAGTGGTCCCCCTCATGGCCTTCAATCGATCAGGCGTTTAGCCAAACCGAAACATCATTTGATAATCCTGAATTTGTCGATGTTGTCATTCATGCGTATCGGTATGCACTCGGCACTGTGAAAGGAGACCCGTCACTGCAGCATTTCGAAGACAAGCTCGCCGCAAGACCCAAGATCACCGTTCCTACAATCACGTTAGACGGTACTCAGGATCCATTAAAGCCTGGAGGTACTGGGCACCACAATGAGATGTTTTCAGGCCGTCATGAGAGGAGAGAATTCAATGTGGGTCATGCTTTCCCTTTGGAAAATCCCGTGGCATTTGCGGAAGCGGTCATTGATGTCCATAATTGGGCCTCTTAAGTATGAGATAGGTTTGACTACAGCCCATTATTAGATGTCTTTATCAGTGACAATCCCTTGATTTTGGTAATCTTGGGCTCGTGAGCGATTTTTCTTTTTTTCTCACTAGACATACAAGCTACAGAGCGCTGGAGTCTAATTGAAACCTAATTTTACGCGGTAGTTTTATCGCAACCTTGTTATAGAATTAGAAGCTTCAAATATTGGAAAACCTATAATCTATCTTTCAATTACTTATAAATCTGTTTTCTGTATTCCGTATTGAAGGATGAGTTTCTTAGCCAGGTAGACAGAAGATAGTTGTTACAAAATGCTTCCGCATCACAGGTACAGCCCTTGTACAGGCAACGTAGGGAACCAACAGCCAAAATCTAGCGTTTTACAGATCAAAGATATATTCTGGTAATTCTGTAGGGTAAATTTCCACGGTTGGAGTTGATTGCGGGTAAAGTTATTAAAACTATGTAACTACAAAGCTAGTTGAAGAGACGCTTGCCGCTATGGGATCGATTTCAAAGATAACTTTAAGAAAAAGCATACGTTTATTAGAATTGATAAAAAAAAAACCGACCTTACAAATCAATATAGCAAATCATTGACAAATCTGAACCTTTTCAATATGTCATCATCTTGTGATACGGAAGGGAGAACATCAAAGCACACCAATTTGAGAAGAGTTCTAAATGTACGCCGCCGAGAGTTTGGTTGAAAGTGGAGAAAAAAGAGAAGCATATCCTCAGATCACTTCATTAGCGAAAATGAAGGCGGAAATAGAGCTCGGCACGTAAACTGAGTAACAAACGACAAGGAGAAGCGGAGTTAGGCATAAAATGCGTTTAGATAAGAGTTTTGTAACACTGCAAGTAATATTGTACAAGCGGGAAATTTAAAGAGCGGACAGGAGCGGCGTAGGAGCGGATAGGAACAGACAGTAGCGGGACAGGAGCGGACTAAAGACAGCTCGAGCAAAGGAGAGCGGACAGAAGCGGTCAACAAATAATTTTTCATTATCAATAGCAATACCACATTATCAATAAAAATGTTATATAATCAATTGAGATTTGTCATAAAGCCGCTCACTGAGACTTGGTCAAGATTCATGTCTTTATGCCATGATTCACAGGACTATTAAGCTGCATAAATAGACTATATAAGCAACGAGCAAGTTACATATTGATACGCAGGCACTTGATCGCCACAACATTTCACTTTCAAACAATCACATTGAACGACTCTATCACTTGTGAGCAAGGAAGCTACACTAGCCGCAATGTCAAATGTAGAATGGAGGTTTGATACCACTGGTGTCTCAGTCGTACGGGCATTTTCTGACAGAGTCAATAAGAAAACTAGTGCGTAAATTCCGCAGCAGTTAGTGGATAATATATTACTTCTACTAATAACAATCCTCGATAGTTCTCATTACTGGCCCTAGCCCTGGGGGCATTGGAGCAAAGATTCCAACCGATCTTAGTGAGGGCGCATCCCCGGCCCATATCATTCTGGCCGGCCGCGATTTAGTCAAAATTCAGCCGCTTGTCGCAGAGTTACATAAGCTGAATGCTTCTATCAGAGTTGATCTTATTCAGTTGGATCTTGCATCTTTTGAATCTGTCCGCAAGGCTGCTAAGGAGATTGCAGACCTGACCAACCAGATTCATTACGTTTTTAACAATGCTGGCATCATGGCGGTCAAAGATTTTACGAAGACGGTTGATGGTATTGAAGCACAGTTTGCTATCAATCATGTCGGCCACTTTCTACTTACAGGTTTGCTCCTGCCGCTGATAACAAAGGCTTCAACCGCAGCTGCCGCATCAGGCGACCATAGCCTTCCGGTTCGCATTATTAATATGACAAGCAACGGATATATCTTCCAGGGGGTACGCTTCAATGATTACAACTTTCAAGATGGAAAGGAGTATGATCCTTGGGTAGGCTATGGCCAAGCAAAATCTGCAAACATCATATTCGCCAAGGTCCTATCCAAAATGCTTGAAGGCTTTAACGCGACCTCGTTTTCCGCCACCCCTGGCCTAGTTCTTGAAACAAATCTGCAGAGTACCGTCGACAGAGATGTTTGGGCTTCGGTTGGAGAAGCGTATGATAAAGCATGGGAGGGTAGAGATAAGCCACCGTTCGAAGAGCCCAAGCCTCTTGCCTGTGGCGCGTCCACACCTCTTAGGGCTGCACTGGACCCAACACTTTCCAGTACTCCTGGTGAATATCTCATGGACTGCAAGATCATGGATGAATCGGCTAAGCTGGGCCATATCAAAGGTAGTGAGGTTGGACAGAATTTATGGGAGCTGAGCGAGAAACTTGTTGGCCAAACGTTTTCCATAAACTAGATTCAAACTAGCAGTACTGATATAGCCAACATGTAGCCCTATTTGCCACTAAGCCATTTGGCCTTTCAAGCAATCTATCGGAGGTTCAGCAAATGGCCCCTTTTGTCATAGGTCAAACGTGCGCTGCGAACTATGCCGGCTCTCTTAGCCTAGGCACCATTCGATATCGAGTTGGTACAGTATACGTGAAATAATCAAGTGTATTTTTGAGTAGGTAAGACCTTTGCCAATACATTGTCTTGCAACATGTTTGAATGGGATTTGATGTAGTATGGTTCTTATGTTTGGGCCTAGATCAATAGAAGGTGACAGACAGCTGGCGATCAGGTATAAAAGGTAGTCTCCAAATAATAACCTTGAGCAGTAAAAGCAAACCCGCTTATACCCCCGACCTATCTAATAAACCAATGAATAAACGGAGTATAACGAAGAACTTGTCTAAGCTTCCCTGTATTAACCTTTCCAGCGTTCTCTCGAGCAGGAGGTAACGCATTTCGGTGATATAAGGCGATGAAGGCATAAAGTCCGGCGATAAGCCATTCGGGGATAGCTTGGAGACAAAGCTGAATTGTCTCGTTTCCATTCCCAAGAGGAGAGAATTTTGGGTCTTTGTCAAAGATTGAAAGTAGAGAGTACGCGACGCGAACAGCCAGCAACAACATAGATACCAGCATCGTTGCTAGAGTAATGCTCAGGCTGGTTTGACAAGTGTTAAACTGTGGAGCCTTTTTGTGTTGACCATAGAGTAGTACGGCTGCACTGCCTATGCAGACAAAAGTCGCGACATATAGGCAGATTCCTGCTTTAAGTGCAGCTGTAGCATCCAAGCTACCTCCAGAGAGGTTGGCAGGTTTGAAAGACTGAACTCCTCCTACGAGTGTGACGATAGTCGATACTTCTGTACACAGCTCAAAGGTAAATAATGCGCGCTCCATCTGATTAGGGTTAGTTTTCACATGGATGAACGCATTATGTTGCGTTAGAAGACTCGTCGAAGTGAGCAGCAATGGACCTAGTCCGATTGTATTGCAAATGGCCGCGCCCATTACAAGGCTCTTATTGCCTCCAGTACTCCTCGTATTCTCCAAAGCCAGCTGGAAGGCATCTCCGATAATTCGTAGAACTGCGAATAGACTGAGGGCTAACCATGGAAAGCGGGTAGCGAAAAATTTGCGCGCAAGAGCATAGGCTGTCTGCGGAAGAATAATTGCGTATATGACGATCGATGTAATGGCAACAGCTCCTCGATAGTTGACCATGTTGGGCTTCGTGGTTCGGATGCCTCGCTGTGGTGTACTTGACGACACTGAAATACAGTGGGAAACGAGACTTGCTTTACATAGAAGAGCATAGTAGATATACTTGAATATTGATATTGTCAAGATGTAAGAGCTCATTGACTCTTATGCGTAGGGGGCCGTGATGAGAAAGGGGACTTGGAGGACATTAGTCCTAAAACGGAAATTCATTCGAGCAGCTCCGATGACCTTCCAAGAGACTCCATAGAGCAAGCGAAGACCTAACAAGCCAGCTGTTTCGAGGCCATATGAGCTGACGAAGAGGCCTCACTTCGAAAGCAGTTGCTGAATAGGCTTGATCCGTAATTTGAGACTGCTAAAGGGCCAAGTTTGGCGACATTTTGAAGTAGATAGATACCAAACAGGCGAATCGCGGTGTGTTAGCTCTTATCCTGACATCGGAAACGGCATCTCGAGATAGTTGGCATATTAAAAAATCGGTGATCGGCTTTGAGTCGGTGTTTAGCTTGCGTGTTGCTTGCTCGTGATTATACTCAGTTGGGGCGCCCCTCGCATCTACAGTAGAGGCAGATTAATCCTAATTGAGGTATAAAAGATGAAATAGCCTCCAGGTAATTTCTCAGAACACTCTCTATACATCACGATTACATTCACACCAAACTGCATCTTCCTTACTTATTTATCCAAATCAACATGCATTGGAAGCACTCTCTCTCCTCTCTGCTCGTCTTCCCGACGTTGAACAATGCTTCGCCATATCCATCCAAGGATCAGATCACGGCCATTTTTTCTTACCTGGAGGGGACCAACTCTTCATACTCTTCCTTCTTCTCACACGTCTCACCAACCGTGAACTGGACCATTGAGGGTACCCATCCTGCCGCCGGCCAATATACCAATCGTACTATTCTCGAAGCCACCTTCGCTCGAATAGATGCCACAGGCTCTGAAGAGAGACCATTAATAATTACTTTAACCAATGTCATTGGTGGAGGAGATGATGAATGGAGTGTGCAGGAGCTAGAAGTTTTAGGTTACTGCAAGAATGGTTGGTTCTATCCTACCCTCATTGTGGCTTAATGGATACAGCCGTATATATGTGGGCTGTAAGTTTGCTGAAAATTCTCAGGCCTGAAATTTGATAACCGCTATGCTTGGGCGACTCGATGGAACTCAAATGCAACGATTGTAGAGGCGCGAGCGTATTTAGACTCGATGTTGGTTTCGCAGGCGCTGCAACAGAATGAGCTTGGAATCCTGTTTACGTATAACGACCCTAGAGATGTTCTTGTTCCATTTGTTGAGCTTTCTGAAGCAATTGCTCTCGAGGCTACAGGGCTGTCTCAAGAATGACATTGGTCTCTTTTGCTAGCCGTGTTGTGGTAGCTTAGTATCGGCACGGTACACTTTCCAATAACTGCATATTGATTATCCTGCAAGTAGTAATAGTACATGTTTCATAAATGATATTTATTTGCCGTATCAAGAGGCAGCTACCGATCGGATCCGATGGAGCAACTGCAGCCCCCTTCCCATGGCTAAAAAGCGCCCCCAAGTTGGAGCAGCGCATAACACCCGGACAACCTCTTGGATAAGCCGCGCTGCGCCATCTGAGCCGAGGATGCAGCCCACACCCGCCAGGTAGGGGCGCATCGAGGCGCCTTGTTCCAGCCAGATCTGCTCGTCGTGCTGGCTATTCTTCTGGTCTAGGCGAAATGTTGGCGGCACACTTACTTGGCCTTGATCGAGCATTCGCTCAACATGCTGATGCGCAGACACACCGGAGATCTCTCCGTAGATCCAAAGGGCCTGGCAACAAACCGTCATCGCGTGGCCCTCAAAATACGCATGCATGTTTGAATGACGAATACAGCCGTACAACTTGCCCGCGTGTAAGGCGACCTGGCGAGCCTCTCCGCCGCGTTGCCGTATCCAAGCCCGGAGACGGTTTTGGCATTCGAGAATATCGTCGCTCGATACACGGTACCCGGAGTAGCAAAAGAGCTCGCCCATGGATATACCGAGAAGAATACCAATCGAGTGATGGTGTATCAGAATTGCAGATTTGAGCGAAGACAGCCTGGGAAGCTCCTCAATACCCGAACACAGTATCCGCAGGTATTCCATGGCCCTACTAGTGCCTGGGGAGGTTTCTTGCGTCATTTTCTGGACATTATTAGATTGCAGGCCGTCTCCAGTAAAACTAGGTGGCGACCAGAACCCGTCCTCCAGACAATGGCGGTACCGTAGCGCAGTTCTATAGACACCCAAAACAAGGAGCAGGGTAGAGAAATCACCGAGAGACTGCGGGTATGTCTTGTCTCTGTACAAGTGGTTCAACTCTTGTCGGATGCTTAGGGGCTGACCTGCTGCTGAATCACAACTGCTTAATCGCCTACCACATTATAAATATCGCACCCCTAGGAATCTATGACTCACCGTCCTTGCCTTGCTTCTGGAGGACTTCAAACCACGCAGCTGCGGTAGGAGCCCGCCATAGCTCCTCCGTGCCGGGCAGTGGCAGTCGAAGAAGATCTGTCGGGATAATTGGTGGCAGGTCAAAAAATAACGCATTCTGGCTGTCGAGTAGCTGATGTCGAGACCTGTCAGTGTGGTTTGGCAAAGGACGGGAATAAGAAAAAGAAAGAGGAGGGGGATGCATGAAGTGGTTCATACTGACCCAGACCGAATACGCCAACCGGCACATACTCTCTTTACGACTCCACAGTCTCCATGCCTCTGCGCATGGCTGCCCTGGGTCGATTGCATTAATGCGCGGTCCTATTTCATTGAAACAATTCACTTTTCGGCACACTGATGCGATGAGACTCCGGATAGACTGGGCAGACTCAGTGAGCCTGAGGTCACGCGAAAATTGCAAACCAATCTGGTTCAGTAAACCAGCCTGAGCTAACCATGGCTCGTGCGTTGTGCGGTAGTCCTCTTCAATCTTGTCCACATCGTGAGCTTCCTGATTCTCCAGATTTGGTGGGGATCCTGTATACGCACCGTGGCATGAAAGGCTCGGCGAAGAAATTCTTGGAAAATATCCACACAATCAGCGACAGCAGGGACTTTGGAGTAGCGACACCCAATCGTCACCAAAGCAAGGAGTACCAGCCAATGCTCTTGACGAGGGTCAAAGCTCGGTTTGTGGATGAAGGGGAAAAGGGGGTCGAATTCTTCGAAGAAGAGCTGCATAAATGCGTTACAGGCAGTAAGAGAAGGGAAAGCACCGGTTGAAAACTGCTTATATCCTGCTTCGGTCGTGTTGTTCAAGGATTCGAATTTTGCTACAATTTGATCGTACTTTTGTCTGGGGAGAGGATTGACGTGAGCGAGGTCCTCAGGACACCATATATCGTCACTATCCCTCGAGGAGAGTATTGGATCAAAGGTGCCCATGATGAGAGGATTGGCTTGTCTCTTGCCGATCCTCGCACTTTGTTTCCATGCTTTTTGTATGTAATCGTCGAATCTCATTGCTTGGCCTAGGTTCGGCTCGGGGCTGGCTCTTGCGGCGAGGAAGCTCGGCACGGGTGCCCGAGACTCCGGTAGATGTTGATCTGGGTCCGATGCAAATATTGAATCCCCAGCTTGCGAAGGAGAGAGTTTCTCTGGAAACATTACCTGTGGAAAGCCGGCGTTTGGGCATTGATAGAGCGAGCCAAGGTCCAGAAAGCTGTCCCAGAAAGATGCATCCTGTGCAGCCATGTTGAGGGGGCATCGATCGGAGGACTGGAGCCCAAAGGCCAAAGGCGCAAACTCAAAGTCCAGATTCAGAGCATTGACATGCTGCGATGCCCCTGAGCATTCCAGCTCAGCCCTATCCCCGGACGGGATAGAAAGGAGTTGCCCGCCAGCCACAACCGTGGGGATGAGCTGAGTGGAAAGGCCGTCAGAGTTTCTTGATATATCCAGGGGATTGCTCGGGTCGTCTGCACTTTGCGCCTTTGGCCATGATTCTTGTAGCTCAACACCCGAGTGGCTAATCCGAGGCGACGGATGGATGACCGTCCTCAGACGTCGCGGCGCATCATCAGCTGACTGCAAGCAACCGTTAGAAGGGCTCCTGCAAAGGTGCGCGCCTCGAGTGCACCACTTGCCTGGGAAAGCTGATGCTGCAAGTACGAGCAAAGCTGATTCTTGGAGAAGCATCGGCTACATGGCTGGTGGCCATCGCAACGCAGCTTGGATTGCGAGCACTCGCGGCATGCCCGCCTTACTCTGCTACGCTGGCGGTCGCGATGGCTCTCCTCGTGCACTGAGATATGCCGCTGCAGAGTATCTCTGCCATCGGCCAAGACGGTTAGCAGGCTTCCAGACCTCGATGCCAGCAGCAAGATGGCTTACTTCCGCGAGAATGCGCGCCGGCAGTGGGAGCAGGAAAAGGGCCGCTGGCCCAGATGTCGCATCCTGTGTCTCAGAAGATGCTCGGCACGGCGAAAGGTTGCGCTGCATTCGCTGCAGGCGTGGCTGGCCATGTTGGAGCGGCGACGTCTGCAGAAAACCATCCAGCCAGTAGCAAGTGAGGCGAGATGCGGTCTAATTGGAAGTGCTCCGAAGACAGCGGCAATAAGAGTCGTAAGGGTTGATCGATGTAGATTGCATGACGTGCCTTAGAGTGCAAGGACTATGGAGCTTTTGGAGCGGGCCGGCTCGGAGCAAGAAGAAAAAGCGAAATCCGGAGAAAATGAAGCCCCATATCCAACCATTACTCATGCTGTGTCGCGAGCGCCCCGACTCTCACGACATGTAGAAGGTTGCTACCAAGCATATCGAGACACGTTTACATGAGTTGAGCTCAAAGCCAACCCTGCGAGACCGGCCATCTGCTGACGGCAACAATATCAAGGGTCCGAACCGGAGATGTGACTCCTATAGCGCTGTAATGTGCTCAGAACCGTTGGCAGGCTTCGATTTGTACGTTTAGCATCAACCTTGACCTAGCCAAAATCTCAAGTCCAAGGCGGCTTTGTTTGTGATTTTCGCCGTTCACTTAGCAGCGACCCGAGCGGGGGACCCCACTCGGGGGTTGCAGTGGAGCATTGGTAAGCTGAAGGATGAATCCTTCCATACCGAACGCACCTGGTGGTTATCAGCGAAGTTGCGAGTGCCGAGCATCTGGCAGTTTGTTTTTCTTTAGGGGATATTCTATGGGGTCTAATGTATAATGCAAGAGTGGCATACGTCGCTGTGACTAACTTTCCTCTGAGACAATAAGCAGACTACTCACTCACAGGGCTCTAGTCTTCCATCACGCAAATGCTAGCTAGAAGAGTCCGTGAGCTGTCACGGATAACGATAGGTTTATTCCGATGCCGACCCAATCTCGGAGGCTTCTACTTCTCTTGTTGTTCAAAATGTGGACTAGGGGTAAGATCTGGCTTAAGCTAGTAGAGTTCATAACTTGTCACACATAGACCGAGATTGTATAGATGGAATGGTGCTTGAAGCTCAATATCACGAACAAAATCTAAACACAGAGGCGTGAGCAAGAACAGAAATTAGACACCACATATCCCAACAGCCCTCCATAAAGCAACCTAAAATAACTATGCTGTGGTGCCTCCTGAAATGAGGGAAGAGAGAGGTGATCACGAGTCTTAGAGACGAGAGTGAAAGAATATGTAGCAGCAGCCTCGCCTTACTACAAGAACGCAGTGATGAGTGATGTCGATGACAAGTTGATCCCGAAACCCTCTAATATACCCTTTCAATCACGGCATATGTCTGACTAGGCAAATTCTAACATATACTTATACAATAATGAACTGGAACTAGCTGCACGGCTAATCTCGATTATCGTATCTTCCAAGATTTCACTACTTTCATTTACTCTTGTAGGAGCTCTGACAAGTTGAAAATGAAACAAATTGGGGCCTGCTCAATTTAATATTGAATCCATATCTACACAATTGGCAAGACGACATAGCTTTCGTAGTCTTTGCCAATATGGATGTTATTCGTTCCACACAGAGTTCTTTCATCCCTTGACAGCCGTCAGTTTTTAAATCATCCCAAAAGGTCATTTTGATTTGGGATACTAACCTGTCAATTGGGTCGTAGCAGGCAAAGAGATCTGCGCCTACAGGGTCCTTAGGCGAAATCTCAACCACTAAACGTTCGCCTCTTCCCACGACTACGTTTGTAGGCCAAAGCTCAATCTGCAGATCGTATACCTCGCCGTTTCTCACCTCTTTCCTATCAGACCTTCTGTGGCTTGGCACCGGTACTGGAAGGTGGAAACTGTCGGGATATGGGTTCGGGTCGATGGTGCGATGAGAGGCTCGAAGCCAGCCAAACACTACGGGTGTGGGATTTCCCAGGCTAGAGCTGTATGAAGACTCGATTCCTTGTGCGTTGATCTTTCGAATAGCAACATAAACGTCGAGGTCTGGCTCGGTTTCGCCTTCATGATCGGTCAAGGAGACAGCAAGACGGACATGTCCATGACCTGTTACTTCATACTCCTCTTCAGCTACTGGAGTGGTGAATTGAATACATTCCCCACTGCATGAGTGATTAATGAGAGTGTCTATACGAGTGGCTGCAATTGACTTACTATAGTGCTTGGTAAGAGAAGGTTGCCTCAACAGAGGGTTTCTCTTTTAACAGCATCTTGTTGGCAGTAAGGTAGTGTTTCTCATACTTCGTGCGGGCGAGCGGCCATTCGTTTTCGTCACGGAACTTGTACTCCAGTTCACCTTGAATGCTGCCTTGTGGCTGTGTGCCGCGGCGAACTGCAAACGCGACGGGGGCCTGTTTGCCAGTCTTCCAGCCATCATAGTCGTCGCCCTTGAGGAAGCAGTCAAAGAATGACTTTTGATACGTAATGTATGGTTCACAGTAGTAAGGGAGATCATGACGTCCAGTATGTATACGCAGAAACTTATACCGCGAGCTCGCTCGCATATAGCCCAAGACATTGCCTCGGAGATGCAACCCAGTTCCGCCCTGCATATATCATTAGCCTAGAAAGTGCGACAAGCAGTACGCTTCACTTTACCCAATTGCCTGCGCTGAGCAACGGAACCTGAATTCTAGAGTAGTCTTCGCCAACCATATGATCCTTGTACCATTCGTCATCAATCCATTCATTTTCAAGGAGGAATTTCGGAAGCTTCTGGTGCAATCCATCTAGCTCGGAGTCACTGAGCTTGCCCTCGGGTGACGTTGGGCCCCAGCAACCATTAGACCTGTTCCGGCTGCCATAATGGTTTCGCATAATCTGCCTGAGATACCAGACATCCATAAACTGCAATCTCATTAGCATCAACAAAGCCAACAGAAATCTTGGATAGCGTATACACTGTGATAGATACCACCATGGCGGCCTCCCTCTCGATAATAGTCACCTAAACCCTCCCAAGGCACCATGCATGCGAGACCCCGAGGTTGGCGCGCTGCCGTTGGCCACTTGTATCAAACGTTAGCAGAAAGTGACGGAACTGCTCTTGAATGACCAACCTGGTTAAGGCCCAAGTAGGATATTCCTGTCAGGCCAACCTTGCCAATTGACCATGGCTGGTCTGCAGCCCACTCGATAGCCTTGGCGTAATCTATAATGCCATGAGAAAGTGTATTTGCATGCTAGCGCCTAAAGAGACCATCCAGGAGCACTTACCATCCCAATCTTGAGTGCTGAACGGCCTAGACGCGCCACTAGAGGCACCTGAACCTCGGTGGTCCATTATGACAACTGCGTAGCCATGAGGGCACCACCAGCTCGGCGCAGGTGCTTCCCACGACAAATGTTTACTCTTCATAACCTCGGGAAGATCTGCTGCAAATACTTTATACACTTCGTTGTCGATAAAAGGCCTAAGCAAGTCGTGTTAGAGATATGACAAGTCCGATGATACGAGCACTTCCTACACATCTTTTCCGTAAGGAGTTGCCGTCATGAGAACAGGGAATTCTGGCCCCCCTGAGCGAGGGAGAAAGACATTTAGGCGTATGCGATCGCCGTCGCCAACCTCGAATTCCTCGTTAATACGGGCAATGTAGCGGCTGTCACTCTCGTCAACAGTTGTAATAGCCCCAAGTGGCTTATAGTTGTCTTTGTAGCCCATAGGAATTGCGATAGAAGTGGTTGATGATCAGGAAAACTTGTTGTACCGGTATTGCGCACTACCTTCTGGATGATCGAGGGTCATTATCGAGGACGCCCGTCGCAGTCTTATATCGAACGCCGTGGAGCTCGTGAATCTGGTAAAGCAATCCTTAGGCTTTGTAACGGGCCGAACCGTATAATACACAGCACTCCAACTAGTGGAAGCCAACCATAGAAGCCGACTATACAAAGTCGCTCGGGTAATGCCGTGCGGAGGTGGGGTTATGGGTTATCGTAAATCTGATTATGTTGCAAGGCCACAGGTTTTTGCAACACAGCATAATCAGATGACCGTTTGCTTGTGCGACAACTAGTGACAACAGCGCGAGCCTACTTGGATACTATAGCAGAAAGGACTGCACCCCAATCTGGCGGTATTACTGGAGGCTACCCCGCTCGGGAGCGCGCTTCTCTTCTCCGTAAGCAAGTATTACTATATAATAGACACCCTGCTTGTTTCTTGAACTACAATTTAGTTCTTTTAGGGCAAGAGCGCTCTTTTGTCCTGTATTAAAAGTTCATCTACACGACTGGTAGAAATGAGGGGTCGTGCATTCATGCAGTAAACCCACCAAATCTAACCCCTTAGAAATAACCCGATGTGAACACTGTGCTATTGCCAGCTCCTTCTGATCCTACCCTCGGAGCTATCTTTGAGAGCATAATGCTCACATATAATCTATATCTACAAGCACCTCCTTCGTTAGATTCAGAGTGACCGCAATTCGCAAATGCCTGAAAAGACAAAAGCGAAACTCGTCGCTAATCCACCTGAATGCTAGGTGCACCAGCCTGGCTATGAGCCTAAGGTTCCAGAAGAATGCCGTCCACTATCTACCAGAAGCTAGATAGCTCTCTGCACAAAATTCGAGGAAAATAGAACTACATGGGAGCTAACGAGGTTCGCACTCGAGACTTCCCCGCCATTCACAGCGTTATCATATCTCTAGGGATATACCGCTGAGAAAGTCGACACTGAAGTCAACAGTCAACTTGTTCCAGCCACCTCAAGTCTTGCATTAGACCTAAGGCATATAACATGCTATTGGCGGCAACAATTCGTGCCGACAAATAGGGGATTTTTATCTCTGGACAGACACTTTATGTGTCAACCAGAGCGATGCGAACGAACGGGAAGAGCAGGTGAAAATGATGGCTACCCTCTATTCGGCGGCGGAAATTGAAATGAGCTCCCTGGGCCCATCAACTGAGGTAACAGATAATAAACCACTACCGCAAGTTAATAATCTGAGCCTTTTTGTTCCGACTATCATTCTAGATAACATATTGGAAGTTGATCAAGTCAAATTTATCAAAAGAGAAACAGGGCCTGCTGGGGTTGTTGGCTCATATTTGTCAAGGCATGTGTTGCATCCGAGTGGACATCCTGCGCTGCAAAGTGTCTTTCGCACCCTCATGAAGGATATACTGCTCGATGCTGATCCACAGGAACAGCACGTCATGATACACTTCTTCGGGTTTATCCGTGCTATGATTTACGGACCGGAAACAGGTATGATAAGTCTGAAACCGGAGGAAGTATTGGAAAGCTTGGGCTTTTCAACAGCGTCTCCATCTCAATTTGCAGAATTGGTAAAGAAAGTTTATCTTCCTAGCATGAGTGTAGAGACATCAGTATGGACAGAGCTGGCTTTCTTTACTGCTTCAAACGGCTTGGGATGGTACATGGTCTAGCTCAGCTGTACTTGATCTTTGTCTTCGCGTTGTCCTGGAGATTAGAGAGCTCAATTACACTAGCATTGCTGAAACCTCAAAAGGCTACTTGTGCATTGCTCCCATTGGGACTAAGGCGGCCGATCAAATCTGCTTAATGTACAAGAATGATAGCGCTTCCGTAAGTAGGCACAAAGGCGGGCACTGGGAGTATGTAGGGAGCTGTTACAGCTATGGACTACCTGGAGTTCGTACCCAAGAGTTTACTAGTGGCATACCAAGACATAAATTCTAGAGCTTTTAAACTAAATTACTGGTGTTTATTAGAAAACAGCCATATAAGATCCTCACGGTATGTACCTCTGGTAATACATAGGGAGTAATAAATAATTAAGAAGAATAGATCCTCTTTTAGTAAAGTATTTATAAGCTAAAAAAAAAAGTAAGATATTTACCTTCTAAAACAATCATTATCTTCAGTATATCAGCATATGGAGCACTTTATCATGGATTAATTAATTGCTTTTGACTGTTGTTCAATTAATAAGCGCTTGCTGATTAATTGTTTGAACTCCCTGTTAGTACTATCAAATCTAGACAAGGTTGTTTGTTGCTCAATGCCTACAACTAGGCTTTTCGATACTTAACAATTTGTTAATGTACTAGATCTCTTATTTCCGAATGGCTAAGTCCGGCTTTGTTAGCAATTTACGGCTTTAACTTCCTGGTCAAGCTTGTTTATTTACATTAGAATCGGCGATAGATTTAACCTTGCTTATCGCTACACACATCTTTGGTTGTATATATATTGTGAGATAACTGTTGTCGTTTCGAGTAATATAGAAAGGCAATACTCTTCTAGAATATATTATTCTAGCTACGGAGTATTTTGACAACGATAGATAATTGCAATATGCGTTTGAATAGTCCCATTGCTGCATTTGCCACTTTCGGCTCTTTGGTTTGGGCTCTACCTACGGAGGATGCTAGCAACACTCCTAAGACATTGCGAGATGTGATTGTCTTCCCCAACAACACCTGGGTAGAGAATATTGCTGTGCGATCAAACGGAAAATTACTTGTTACTCTGTTGAACATACCCGAAGTCTGGGAGGTTGAGCCACTCTCTGGGTCTGCTGAGCTCGCATACTCATTCCCCAACGCCAACGCATGTCTAGGGATTACAGAGGTGGGGCACGACATCTTTGCTGTTAATGTTGGAAATTTGTCTGCGCCTGCTACGGGTGCACCTGGCAGTTGGAGCGTATGGACACTAGACTACAATACGGCAAATTCCAGCTCTAACAGGCCAACACCAAAGGAAATTACTGCTATTCCACCGGCAGTCTTCTTAAATAGCCTTGCCAGCCTACCCACCAAGCCTGGTGTTGTCCTGGCAGGCGACTCTTTCCTCGGTCAAATCTTTGCGGTAGACACCACTGATGGCCATTACAACGTCGCCATAGATGTGCCAGAGTTCAAGCCTAACGCAACTGCCGCTATCCAGTTTGGTGTCAATGGCATCAAAATCCACGACGGACATTTATATTTCACTAATTCTTTGAAGTCACCTCTTCTTGCCAGCATACCATTGTCCACCAATGGGACCGCTTCCGGACCCGTGAAGACCATTGCGAAGAGTGCACAATACCCGGTTAATTCGGGATTTCAAGCAGATGATTTCGCACTGGATGCTACGGCCGAATATGCATGGGTTGCAACTAATCTTTCCAACTTGATTGTTCGAATTACCATAGCTACGGGAAAGCAGCAGGTTGTAGCTGGCGAGAGTTCAGATCCTGTGGTTGCGGGTGCAACTAGTGCTGCTTTTGGAAGAAATTGGTACAATAGGCATATACTATATATTGTTACAGATGGTGGATTAGGTGACCCAAGTTCTGCTGGAGTTACAGGTGGCAAGATTGTAGCCCTTGATACTACCAAATTATAAACCTAATATACAGATAGTCAAGCAGGTAGTAGAAAGCAATCGTTATTATTATCCAAGTAGCTATACATTTGTTCAAATCGAAGTAGAAGTTGTGATGGCCCCTCAGACCGTTTATAATAGTGAGGAAAGCTGCTGCGCCAATCGAGGTCCTCGCTGTTCAGCCGTAGACACAGTCTGCTACACACCAAACTAATTCGACGCTTAAAAAAGACGCCAGCATGCTGCGGCAGTCCTGCTGCCACGACAACAAAGAAACCAAATCCTAGAGCAGGGCAAGGCCTTTTGGCTTGGCCTTCCAAAGTAGCAGCTAAGCCAGTTCCAAATACTTGTCCGGCGGAAAGAGTTGGATAACAACGTTGTGCTGCCCGATACTACCGACTTAAAAAACATAGCCGTTCCCGCGGCCGACTGAAATTACTTCGCTGTGCTGTCTCTTAAGCATGACCTTAGCCTCGATTTCCAAAGGCGCAATCATGCAGGTCTATAGCCCCCAGGATTCAAAATATTTATTTTCAGTTTTGAGGTCAACAAAATGTAAAATATTCATTTACAAGATAGCACAATACTAAATCTTGACATGGAACTAAGAGTAGAGCAATATACCACACTGTTGAAACCACGGAATAAGCACACATCTATCCACCAATAATACAGTATCAGAATCAAGCTTTCTCTAATTTCCGAAGGCTGTTGACTGCATCCACAACAGTATCCTCCAAAGATCTGTAAATGACTCCGAGATCGGCGTTGGCCTTAGTAGTGTCTACAACATAGGCGGGCGGAATAGGTGCTCCAGTTTCTCCCTTTGGAGTGGTTTCACGCAGCTCCGGGAACTTGGCTCGAATAATATCGACAATCTGCTGGTAGGTGTAAGCCGTAGCAGCAATCAGGTAGCGCTGGTTTGCAGCTGCCGGTTTCTCGAAGGCTAGAACATGGGCCTCGGCAACTTAACAGAGCAGTAACAATTAGTAACAACCTTGAATGTTTCCATTGCTGAAATTGAGACTTACGATCGCGAACGTCGACATAGGAAAAGAAAGCGGTAGGCGGGACTTCTTTTTCCGATCCGTTGAAGAGGCGGTAGATATCGTTGGAAGAAGTGTTTAGCGCCTTGGGGCTCTCTACATGATGCAGAAGAGGGCCGTAGATAAATGGAGGGCACAGTGCCGAGACTGTGAATTTGGGCTAATCGAGATGGGTTAGTAAAAGGTATTGAAACTGGTGTGATCTCTTGCAGCATTGGACGTACCTTGTTGTTCTCAACGTAATCAAAAGCAGCCTTCTCTGCAATTGTCTTGGACGCTAGATAGGCGAGAACAGCGTTTCCACTCTCGATGGCTGCCTCTTTCGACACGGGATTCCAGTCCTTTTCTGTGTAGACGTATCCTGGTCTCTGGCCTTGCAGAGGATCCAGGATTGACGCAATTGAAGATGTTATGACCACGCGGCTAACATTTGCGTTGCTATTTTGGATTGCTTCCAAAAGATTAACCGTGCCATCCACGGCGGGCCTAAACAGCTGTGCCTCGAAGTCGGCTGCTCCCAAGATCATAGGAGATGCAACATGTATGACCTTTTGATCGTTTAGCGGTGGAATTCAAGTGACATAATCAGGAAAGACTTGCACCTTCTACTCCAGTCAGAGCGTTATCAAATGCATCCTTATCTGCAATGTCTGGGACAACCACATAAGAGAGTTTTGCACTGTGCTCAGGATGGCTGTCAAGGACTTCCTCTCCTCGTGCTTCCGATCGAACTGTGGCCTTCACAGTATAACCTTTGTTGAGGAAAGCCCGAATAACGTGAGCTGCGGCAAAGCCGGAGCCACCAGTGATTAGAACAGTGGAGCTCATTTTTGGTAGTGGCTATAAAGAAAATGTTTCTTTTGTATTTGTTGTTATTATTGTTGAGATGGAATGTTTATTCTGTAGCCGCGTTCTCAACGATCTTATATAGTTTTCAACATATACAACCCAGCTCCTCTACAAGAAGTGACGTTATTGACTGCACCATGAGATAATCCAACTCTTATTGATTGATGTTTCATATATGTTGCTTACAAACTCCTTATATTAGACGTGATTCCGTGAGAACTATTACCAATCGCTTGCTGTTAACGGGTCACTTACAACATTCGCGATTTCAATGCAACAATGCCTGGACAGATTCCATCGCGATAGATAGACTAGGACAAAATAAGATATATCGAATCCCTGTCACTGCATGAACGATTTGTTTAGCTTGTACACTAGACCCAAGTGGAGACACGCTACCCGCCTTTTCAAATACGCCCGATCGTTGACTGCTAACTGTGTATCTCTAAGCTGCCATACAAAAAGTATTGAACCGCCTTTGTGATTGAACCACGCTTATCTAAAGGATGTCTACATTTGGTAACTAAAGACAATTGAAAGACAATTGACAATTTTACTTTGTGACGTAGCGAATGAAACTATTAGAGGGAGAGATGTAACTATGCCAGCTTGTGAGTTGAGAGCTTTCGAGAATTTTGGGTCAAAGTTATATAAAAACATCTGGCCACGTATTCAAATGAATAGACCTATTCATTTCATAAGTCTATATACAAACAAATGAAAAATATTGAACTATATGAACAATAAACGCAACAACCATGAGATAAGCTAACCCAAAATACAGACTTATAGAGTAAGACAATAGCAGGTTTCGTAGCAGATTACATTACAAGCAACATGCCATGCTGAAACTGGCAGTCCAGTGAATTATATTGTTCAATGCGTGAAATAATAGTTGCCATCGGAAGACGGGGGATAAATATCTTGACTAACATACACATGCGTCATGTAGCTTTATCAGCAGAGCATCAATACGCTGAATAAATTGCTTCATTGGCTTCTCGTTGAGTCGCTACCTTACAAATCCGTCGACATGGGGGCAAATAGGGCACTAAACTCCAATCTTTCTCTATCAGATCTGTATTACAACTATGTTTCCTCATAGATCTGCCTCGATAAATTGTTCAAAGTCGCCCCAAAAGCTGAATCGCACCAAATAAATCCATTTATGGCGGTCAGATAGTCTTGAGAAGTGGCCAATCCTGTAGACCAAGCGCTGCCTGACAGCAATACCGCGAACTGTGTTCTTAGATCGTCGAATAGAATTGGCGAGCACGCAGCAACGGTGAGTATCCAAATGAGGAACTTATTAGACGTCTCCCACTTGGGAAGCATTCCTTCCGAGCCAAGTATGAGCAGCAATTTCGTTCCGTATAACATTCCCGCACCAGGCTCAAAGTCAAATTTGGATCGTAGATTGCCGAGGTACAGAATTCCTGCAAGGCGGAAGCATTCTCTTTGACGAGCATGAATCTCGTCATATATGGAGGAGCGAGGAAGACAGAGAAAGTGGTGTAACACTGGCGAAATGTGATAAACAGGAAACAAGGGATCCATCCATAGATTCTACGTCAATATTTCCGCTGCAACTATATCATTCAGATGCTTCAACTGGTCGCAAAGATACTGGGAGATATCACATCGTTCGACAGTGGGTATTACACAGCCGGACGAGAGTTTAGCCATATTGAATAATGTCAAGTCTAGTTTGCTTTGACTAAAGAGGATATCATTTGGGAGAGAGTACTGGGGCGCCGCATCTTGTCGAAAGCGTCCGTTGACTTCGATCCTTTGCAAGAGTCAGTCAACCTTCAATATATCAATGCACAGAGGCTTACCAGAACATAGCCAGTCGCAGAGGGCGCGATTGGATTGAATTCTCGCCGCCTCTGAGGTGAAGGATACGCGCAAGGCCATCCATATGGACCTGGAAGATCCCAGGCTCTTTGATCAAATTCTGCGGTCTGTCAGAATACTCAACCTTTCAGCAAGCAGAGCACCCAAACCTACCGCATACGCCGCTGATGTCAGAACGGCAATGACAACCTCGTCACTCGCACCAGTTGCGACACTATTCAATCTCTGCTGGAGATTTTGCGTGGATATCATAGAATACCGGGCGTCTTCTCCTGTATCGCTCTCGCAGCCCAGCCAATGAACGAGATGCCACGCAGATGCAGAGAGCATTTGTGATAGCGCTATTGTCTCTCGAGCGATATCCACGAAGCCGATTTGAACTAGCGTGTTGAATTTGGGGCATGTGCCATCATACACTATTCGATTTGATCAGAAAAAATTCATCAAAGTGGTGGGAGAGGCAAACTGTGATCCCAGAGGCGATGGGCTCGACGATCGCCTCCCAATCCAAAGGACTGGAACGGATCGGAGCGACTCGCATCTAGCAGAGTTGTTGGTCCAGCAAGTCTTCGCATTAATGAAGTATTGAAGTTATGGAGCGAACCATCGAGTAAGGGAGTTATGTCGAGTTCCACGGCTGTCTGACGCCGCTCATAGGGATGCTGACGGCGATAATTGGCTTGAGCGACGCTGCGGACTCGTCTCCGGGTCTCTGGATCTCTGCCCGTGTCATCGCCAGATAAGACAATGAACTCGAATTGCTTTGGACGAGAATTATTAGAGTCTTCTCTTGATTCTCGATTGGACATTTTCTGCTGACACTTTTTCTTGGCTTCTGTAAGAATGTGGCCGTGCTGAAGCCACACTCTTTGTTAAACGAGATCCCTTGGCAACTTGGTAGCTTGACTTATGATATGCTGACTAACCAGAGAGACCCTGTCTATTGAGCGTTTAGTTGGGCCCTAACACTAGAGTCAAAATTGGCTTTTCTGTCGTTTACTGGACAGAGATACGATTTCTTAATGCACCATTTCCTGATAAGATCGGCCCATATAAACAGTAAAAGAAAGGGCGGAGGCGAAGAAATTAGTTGACAAAAGCAAGGGTTTTTACTCAACGGCAAGATTTGCCTTCAACCTCAACTGCATCTGGTCAGCTGTGCAAAGTTTATACGAGAATGGATTACATACAGTTTAAACAACCATCTACTGGGACTATGCTAGCCAATGATTCATTGTCTTCTTACTAATAAGAATTACTAAAGTGACACTCACATTTATCCGCCTTATTTATGAATATGTACGGATAACGCAGTCGCATGTTGGGTCCGTGGCGAGCACTCTGACAGAAACACGCCAGCTCGGCCGGACCTTCGGCAACGAATCCAATAAATAATCACAATAAGTTAAAAAGGAAACAGTCAACTGATAAAAGACCACTTTTTTTGGACTGCCTGCGCTCAAAAACATTATGTAGTCTTTGGAAATAAAGATGGTTGTCTTTCTCAACTGTCTCCCCTTGGCGCACACGCTGACCAGATATTTCCCTTGGTGGAGTTTTGTTTGCTTCGTTGGGGGTCACTGTCGTCGCGGCCATATATGTTCCGGGTCGAAAACCAGATCATCCAGTTGGTTTCGTAGATATCTTCTTAGAGAGCGGGACATATTACTATATTTCTTTTGTTAATACTAATTGGTCGATTTACATTTTACTATCACTCGCCCTACTGTTAGATGATTTGGACAGGCTGTTGATAGCACATACCAAAAACTCACGGGCGGCTTGAAATCTGAGCTTTTGCTTTATAAGAAATTGAAGAATTTTATCAAGATAATTGTTAGCGCCGCGATGCCGATACCAAACGCCATGAGTACCTTTATCCCTGAAAGATAAACAACAATCACGGGAAATGAGCTTTTCTTCATAGTGGTGCCCTGCCGGGTAAGATTAAAGGATATATCTTCCGTCAAATATGCTAAGACACTATTGCACACGATCTTTTTCACGTTGGGTAACCTATTAAAGTCTGGTACTGTTAATGATTAGCTCCACAGGCGATCAAGTTGGGACGGTAAAGCCTCAGCGAACATGCGCATGAGTGCTATTAGTGTTTGTGTTTTTGACTTTCAATCAGGAAAATTCTCTTACCAGCCCAGATACCTTACACTAGCCACTCTGTTGAAGTTTTGCAAGCCGATCAATTGATTGGTCTTGTCCTCCTAGTCCAAGACACACGTGTTTTAACACCATTTTCCTTTCGTTCTAGGACCATCGCCATATAGAAATCCGTATATACCACAACCAGTTAGATGACTACGTAAGTTGCCGATGCTGCGTTTTACGGGCGCAAACTAACTACCAACTTTAAAACCATCAAAAATATTACTGGGAGTTTCTGAGGCTGCTGTTTTCCATAATGCTTACTTTTCGACATCGGATTTGTGCAGTGGATGCGAAAATGTGATAGAAGCCACATGCAAGTGAAGTGTGCAACGACGCATAACATCGAGGCCGCGCCATGAGGCGACCATGCGGCGAAGGATTCAAGCAATATAGGCTCATCATAGCGCGTTGAAGGGCTCACAGGCAAATATGGTATCCAATCGTGTGTTCAATACAAAGTGGCGGACGACCGTGCTGGGGCTCATGCCATTACAAGGAGGACGAGAACTAGGCCAAAGAAGTGGGAGTGCGCTGCGCGAAGCGTATAAAAAGTCCTTGAGATCTTAACGGCAAATTTGCTTAAGCCTAAATCTAATTACTTAGCTCTATCTTCAACGCTCATCTTCCTTTACTACATGAATCTTTGGCTGAACATCGATGTATACCTATGGACTCTAAAACTTAGTGTCCAAACTCCTTTGTGCTCTCTCATACTGATGAGGCCATTTGACGTTCACACCCAAGTCGTGTGCCGACCTCAGGACCCACTCAGGGTCTCGAAGAAACTGTCTTGCTGCCACGACCAAGTCAGCATGCGCCTTATTGTCGTCATCGACCAAGGATCGCGCCATTTCAGTTTCGGTAATTGCTCCGACGGCAGCAATGGTTAGATCAAGGCCATCCTTCCGCACTGCCGCCCTAATCTGCCCCGCAAGGTCAGTTTGGTAACGCGGGTGAAACTGTATACGCTGCTGGGCATTGTTGCCTCCGCTGCTGACGTCCAAAGCATCAATACCAAGGTCCGGCAGAAGCTTTGCAAGCCGAATGCTTTCATGAATATCCCACGATGGCTCGTTGTTCCATTCCATCCACTCAGTAGCGGAGATCCGAATCCACAGGGGCATGTCTGCAGGAATCACACCTCTGACGGCGGTGACCACTTCTCTGAGGAGTTTGGTACGATTCTCAAAGTTACCGCCATACTCATCCGTTCGTTTCTACGTTGAAAAGCGTTAGCTGACTTATTCAAGACCATGTTTGTAAGAACACAAAGAGTACTTACGTTGGATAAAGGAGACAAAAACTCATTAATGAGATAACCGTGGCCACTATGGATCTCAATAAGATCGAAACCAGCTTTGACAGCACGAACTGCAGCATCCGCAAATTGTTTAGACAGCAGTTTAATCTCCTCGATAGTCATGGCCTTGGGCTGAGCGTAATCTTTAGAGAGGGGAATTGCGCTAGGTGCCACAACATCATCTGGCCATCCACCAACATCCTCGGTCGCAAGCTGTTTCTTGGAGACTTCCGAGAGCCAAGGAGCCAGTGTGGTGGCTTTGCGACCTGCATGAGCCAACTCAATGCCTATCTTAGTGCCCTGGCTATGTACAAAGTCTGTGATGCGTTTCAGGGGGGCGACCTGGCTATCAGTCCATAGCCCGGAGTCGTGGGGAGTAATGCGACCCCGAGCTTCCACAGCGGTAGCTTCAAGCATGATGAGCCCAGCGCCTCGCAATGCAAATTGGCCCACATGCACCAAGTGGTAGTCGGTAAGATGGCCGTTGTCAGCGCTGTACTGGCACATTGGTGACACCACGAAGCGATTGTGCAGCTCAACGCCACGCATTTGGTACGGCTTTAAGAGAGTTGGTACTGATTTACCCAGAGCTGTTCCAGCCGTGGGCTGCTGTTCTGGCGTGTAATATGGCACGCCTGAAGCCGCTTTGTTGGAAAGATCAAAAGTCGGCATGTTGCTGATGATTGACAATGTCGAGAGTAATTTGTTAGTTGTTTCCAAGTATGTGATTCGGGCAAGCCACCGAACTTATGTAGAGAGGCAATAGTAATAGCTTTAAGTGTGAGTTTGGCAGCTTTTTATATGCAACAAAATATATAGCTTTGTAAAGTCTTTTCGGATATTGCTTTATAAACATTTTGCGTTTGTCACCTCCTATGTTTTTTGTCAGCACGTACATGTTTAGGAACTTTTGGCATGAGGGTTTAGAACGTGGTGAATCAGTAGGCATCGAAAAGTTGCTTGGTTGAAAATTTGGTGGTTAGCGGCAGCTCCGACTAATCTTTGATGCTGCAACTCTGGTAGTATACTCAAGCATCAAGCATCGAAGGCTTAAAACGCTAAAAATAGCCTAGCGAGTAAACAGGGATTCAACTGCCTGGAAAGAGACTAGTGTCTCTCCTACCCTGCCGTTAAAGGCGGGCGATTCGCTACATGGTTTCGCTTAGGTCGGTTTCCATCGCATAGCTCGTTTATTAACCGAATACTAGTAAAGCTTGGGGTGCTACAAGTTTGGACTTACACGCGGATCGATCATAGTTTTATTATTAACATTACAAAAGCAAAATAATACTTTATGTATTATTAATACAGCAATAGTAGGTATATTAAAAGAAAGGATTCATGTGGGTGCGTGAAACTTTGTTATTGCTACATTAAGATGAATCATCCAAACCTCTTGAAATGCTTGATTATTTCCTAACTGATGCTTCTATATAATGAACGCATAATTTGCCTACGTAAACCAAAGATTCTAAACACTTGTTCCGAAGTTTGTATCTGGCATGACACATGTTAAGGTGAATCATTTGGGGGGTTAACATTACTGCCCACAGTTTTGGCTAGGAAGGAGATGCTGTATTGAACAAACTACAAGCCGTAGAGGCCATATGGTGCAATAGTTCCAAACGTGTTACTTTGTCTGACCTGTTGTCTGCAAAGCATTCTAATTAAAATGGCGTAAAATATTACTTGAACTTTACCAACTTCTACCACAATGGTAGCAGTCGCAATCTTGGAGTTTCTTTAGTTTTCCTCGTAGATTTATAATTGCACAATTATATATTATGACACTTGTCCTCATTTGGGCAATTGATACCCTGTGACCTCACCCCACCACGACTGATAGTATGTATTGGCATGAATCTGGTTCAATGGGTTCAATGACATGAGGGCTAGAATTACGTAACACAGATGTGCCAACGGACAGTACGGACGACTTCAAACCCTAACTCAAGGTGTGGCGTTGCTCACTCTAACGCCACGCAGGCATTCGGATTTACTTAACAGAAAGGCAGCCATGTCTCTAATGCATGGCCATTTGACTGCATATTCCATCTACTAACACGGAGTTACGATTATCTATAAACTATTTTTACAGACCTTACACGAAGTATTTAATCAGCATCATACAGCGATTACACGGCGCCGGCACCGCATTCATACACGCCATCATGGATGGGGAACAGAGGGCATCCAGCAACAGTGGCCTGCATTTTGTTGTTTATGAAAATGCAACAAGCTCGCAAGATCCAACAGTCCGCGATACAATTCGGCGTCATGCCATGAGACGTTGCAAATACGCGTAGGCGAAGACAAAATTATAGCAATCCCAACGTTGGGCAATATCCAGTGGTTGTCTCAGAAAATTCCTTTTTTGAGTCTTGTCGAGTCCCTCATTGGCCTACATTTTGAGATCCCACATCTGAGATCGGAATGCGGTAGTTACAGAGAAGCGTCGCACGCGCCACTATCACCTGCAGACAGTCGGAAGCTTCTATCTTTTATTCCCAGCCGATATGGACGAGTTCCATCCTTAACCCATGCAGCAGACTGTCTTAGCGCAAGATTACAACAGATTATACAAGCCGATAGTCAGCGCACGTCGATTGGAGAAGTAGTCATCCTCGATCACCACGCCATGGCTCTGAAAGCTCTTCAAGTGGCCATCGATGACCCAGATGCGCGGATGCTGCCTGAAACTCTCTGTGCAGCGGAACTCTTATATTTCTTTGAGGTACGTGGCTTACAATGACACTTTTATCCCCAACAGCTTAGAAGGTGATACGAAGAATTCTAATTTCCTTGGGTTACTACTTTGCTCCTCAACAGCTTCTGAATGGAAGACCAGAAATTCATCCCTATAAATATCACGGCGCTGGTGTGTCCAGATTGATCCAGCTACGAGAGCCAGAGAATTTTACGACAGACTTTGAGAAAGCATTATTGATGGCTTACACTGGACCATTGGTAAGTCAAATCCATAGCGCTTCACACTGAGCGAGACCCACAAGCTGGTAGGCATTTCCACTTACTATTACCAAGTTTAACGAGGCTTTACTGGATAATACTGCATGCTTCTTAATGGAAGATAGATGGCTGAAGACTTTGAATACATCGATCGCCCAATATTCACCTTCATCTCCGGGTTTAGCTGACAGCGTGCTTGAAATTTGGTCACATATTGTAAATTTGCCAGCTCTTTTCAAGGAAACTACCGATCTGGTTCTATCATAACGGCCTTCTTTACAAGTTACAGTCCAAGGCATCATAAATCGCCTAGTAAATGATCTTGCCATTCTAGATATACGACTGGATGCAATTAGAGAACGAAGGGTGTTTCATGAGATTGCAGATATCAGAAAAGCGGCTTCGGCCATCAATCCAACTGCTTCAAGGAACGATAGGTTCTTACACTCGGGACAGAATCAGCCATGGCCGGTTTTGGAAGCAAATTATGTCATGTGCTGGCTTATAAGAGCGCGGCTGCTCTCGGCACTGTCTCCTTTCCATTTCCACAACTTAGAGTCCAAATGTCAAGCGTGGTCAAAGGAGACTGTTAGATGGAGATTAGACTCTTCCAAACTTGTACAATCGGGGCTTCTTGGCGGGCTGTATATGTTTCAGAGTGTTTGCGTGGCTAATAGTATAATTTATACTAAAGAAGTCTGGGCTGATGGCTGGACTGAAACTATGAACAAGTACATTGCTAACCAAGAAAATAGAGGGATGATTGAGAAGTGGAAGTATAAAGCATGGTGCCAAAAGATTGGGCGAAAAGAGTCTTGACGTTATTTTGAGAAAATAAAGGCTCTATAGACGTTTAGTCTGCCTTATATAGCTTTATATATACACGTTCCGGGATCATATTTAGTACTTTCTAAAATATACCTGCAACAAAAGGCTGTCTTATGAAAATATTAGACTACTCATAAGCAACAACCACTATCAATAAGGAAACACCACCTTTACTCTCAGTAGGCTATCTCATCCCAAAATATCGATGCCTCCGATATGAAAGCTAGGTCTGACCAAATAAAGTCTCTCATAATCTCAAGTATTTTTGAACGGGCGTTACAGCCCATGAAAGATCTTGTGGATATATTCGTCCGAAGAAGCTCGATATACTTGGATCGAATGGGTCCAGCAGAAGCGAATGTGCCGCCAATATACTGGAGCCAGAGCAGCATATCAGGATTTGCATTCCACATAGTATCTTGTTCAGTCCTTTGAAGTTGATCAAGGAGCCGTGAGGATAGATAAGACTTCAAATCATACATCAGTACAGTATATTCAAAATATGCCAGAACACAATAACTTACTGGAATGGCTAGAGTGCACCAAACTTGACAACATAACATGACAGAACATATATATGCTGCAATATAGCAGCATTTGAGCATGGGAGAATTTTTGACCAAATTCACAAGCCTTGACTGAATAGAGGCTGTATGATTGTTTATGTAAGCCATGATAAAAGGATCGCCTTTTTTAAAGCTCGAACAGTTCCGTATGCACTGCAATGCGTGCAGATCTTCAAGCACTTCGATGAAATCATCACTTAGCAAATATGCTATTTTCTGGAATCCCGAAGGAAGTTGGTAGAAACTAGGTGTGAATGAGTCTCGTTGCCACAGTAGTTCTGAGAACGTAGTGTGGTCAACAGTTCGATCAGAATCTGACAGAATTGACGCATTTAAATCTTGCCTATACTATTGTCAGATATTGATATTTCCAGTCCCATTAGATGTGATTCACCAGAAGATTGCACGCTTAATACCAGCCGTGAGATAGATACCTTGGCTACGAGAGAGTTCAAGTAATTGTCTCACTGCTGCCATATGAAGTTGCACTTGAGAGGTCATCCCCAATTGAGCCTTGTGAAAGAGCATTTAGTATCCCTGCAAGCCAAATCCGGGATAGATGCCTACCTCTACACCCACTAGTAGGAGAATGGCTCCAATTGTGGACTCTGATACGGCCCCTTTGGCGTAGGTCACTTTGTCCCGAATGCAGCCGATAGCACAAACCTTGTATTTGAGGCATTCGACGTCCAAGTTTCCCTCCGTTACTGCAAACAATAGCGACAGCATAACGGCATTCGCAAGAGCAGGGTCAGTTAAGCCCGTACGGAAGACCGTGTGGAAGTTTTGGAATGCGAGCTCCTCTGTAATGCTAAAGACCGGTTCAGAGGCCTTCCTAGCCCTATCTATGCCGTTGAAAGTCAAAAACCCAACTCATGTCCCTCATGGTAGATAATTTCTTACTATCATCCAGTAGCATTTGCAGCCGCGAACTGTCCACAGGAAGCGTACCAAAAGGATCAATCGCGCTCGCAGATAAAGCCGGGATGAATGCTGGGGGTTCCATGGGATGTGATTCTTCATTCAGCGTCTCAGGCTCCTCCTTCAAAAGTGTTATCCGAAAGTTGCGTTTTGATTCTTGTTCGAGCAACCGTTTCGCCTTGAGAGCATGCTTAACTGCATGTGACTTGGCCGAGCGATTCGCGCTACGGTCCTGTTTGCTGCAAGGGCCTTTGACCGGAACGAATTTAAATTCATTGGCTGATAGTGTTTAGAGCTTAGTTATTACGAGATGCATGGGATTTGCGTAGCCTACCATCTTGGTTGAGCGGCTGGGTAACCATATTGCCACCAGTCATGGGGACCACGTTCTGGATTAAGTTGTACAAGGATCAGTAGTAAGACACATCAACTGAGCTCGGTTTTCCGGCTTCCGGAACATCCTGTGCAGACCTGCTGGATGGATTTAGGACTGGAGATTGGAAAGACATATCAAGTGCGTGGCTTATAAATCACGAAGTCCTATAGTTTCTTCTAGCATGGCGCTAGCCCCACAGCACTCTTTGGGAAGAACGTCACTACCCGATTAGGAAGTACGTTAACAGTGTGCATCTCCATCTTGCATTCGGAAATACATCAACTTTTTTCATTAAAATTAAAACTCGTCAAGTTAGAATATCAATTACTGCGCAGTTGGCTATCTCCGACGCCTTTGTTCCCCATAAATGAGAACTACAAATGGCAGATGCTGCCCGTTCGAAAAGTTTAAGCTTCCAAAACAGACTACAGCTAAACAAGCCTCTTAACTCCTATTCTTCTCTTCTCAACAATGGATAACTCTCAACTCTTCAAACCATTGAAAATCGGCAATGTTATGGTTGAGCATCGCATAGGGATGGCCCCGATGACTCGACTCCGTGCAACGGATGATCGTGTGCCATTGCCACTTATGGCCGAGTACTACGGCCAGCGCTCTACTATGCCAGGTACCTTGCTGATCAGTGAGGGCACATTGATCTCGTACGAATCTTCAGGTGGATTTGCCAATGCACCTGGCATATGGAACGAAGAACAGATCGCAGGCTGGCGATCAGTCACCGATATTGTCCATGCCAAAGGAAGCTTCATCTTCTGCCAGATCTTTGCCATGGGTCGTGTTGCAGATGAGCAGTTGTCTCAAAAGGACGGAGTTGAAATAATAGGCCCTAGTCCTATTCCAGTGGCCGAAACCTCGCCAGTACCACGCCCCATGACACTCGATGAGATCAAGAAGACTGTCCAAGATTTTGCAACAGCTGCAAAGAATGCGATACTTGCCGGTTTTGACGGTGTAGAGGTTCATGGTGCAAATGGCTACCTGATTGATCAATTCATCCAGGACAATAGCAACCAGCGTCATGACGAGTATGGTGGGAGTATCGAGAATAGATCCCGCTTTATAGACGAAGTCATGAAAGCTGTCGTCGCTGTTGTAGGACCGGAACGAGTTGGTCTTCGCCTTAGTCCCTGGAGCTCATTCCAAGGAATGAGAATGACAAACCCGATACCGCAATTTGCAGACATCATCAACAAGGCCAGCGAACTTAATCTGGCTTATCTTCACCTTGTGGAATCACGAATATCTGGCAGTAGCGATAGCGAAGGCAGCGAAACATTGGAATTCGCTTATAACCTCTGGAACAGACCGCTCCTAGTAGCTGGCGGGTACAAGTTGGACGATGCCAGGCAGCTTGTTAATAGATATCCTTCTAAAGATATTGTTGTTATGTATGGGAGGTACTTTATTGCAAACCCAGATCTGGTATATAGGATCAAGGAAGGGTTGCAATTTGACAAGTACAAACGCGAGTCGTTCTATACAGTCAAAAGTGCACTAGGCTATGTTGATTATCCATTCAGTATAAGATACCTTCAAGACCAGAGTGCTGAGACTGCATTTACTCAGAAGATATGAGAGACGAGAATAGCAAATCTTTCTCTCCGGAGGTTAGAGGCAACTCTTTCTCGACGTCACTGCAGTAGGCCGGATACAACATAAGAAGGCGAAGCTTCGCGACGATCAGTGGCGCCATCGTCAACAGCAGCCGACTCATCGGTGTGGATATCGTCCGGCAGAGGCGAAAGTATGTATCATCTAAGTAATCTGCCAACTTCTTCAATGCTGCCTCTGTGTCTTGAACGCCCGCTGCTTCCCCATACGGATGGATAATACTATTATTGCTGCACGAAGCAGCCAGCTTCCACGCTTCGTATCGTATCAAAGGAAACGCCATTTCCGTGTAGTCATGTCGCTCATAGAGTACAGTAGAAGCAATTTCCATGTCGTCATCATTGATATTCAGCGGCATTCTTGTGTCGAAGCTTGGGGGCGTAACGGTAGCCTCCAGGCCTATGTCTTCCGAAATACGCCAGTCCAGCAAGCATAGATGCCACCAAATGCGGCGTCGCATCTCCGTTTCGAACGGAGATAGGTTGAATACAGAGCCATCTCGATGCAAGCCCATAGTTCGTGAGATCCGGACTGCTAGAGAAACAAGGATTCCAATGTTACGGGCTTCATTTCTAGGTACGCAGGTCTAGATGGAGATCGGTAAATATTACTTATTTCTCTCGGGACAATAACTTTGTTCAAAAGTCTTACCAAATAGATAACAAACGCCTGGAGAACCCGCAGGTCATGAGTTTGAAGCACTTGAGCGTCGGTCAAAGCCTTCTCAACCGCTGTTCTAAAAGAGGTAATATAGCTTTGGACGTCGAACGCAAATTCGACTCTAGCTTGAGACGATGAAAGAGAAGATACTGCACTGTAACAAATTGCTAGTAGTAAGGCGCGCGTCTCGGAGCCAAGACTGCCCTCCCATAGTGATAGATCAGTTATGTTTTGTTCAATGGTAGGTTTGTGAAGAACCCTAATGAGGGGGTCGACGTTTTGCAGGTATATCTTCCACAATCGCAGTATCTGGCCAAGGTGAGGATTCGCGGCCGCCGTCTGAGTTTTCGGTATCGCATACGGGAAAAGAAAAGTCCCGTAAGAGAGGTTTTCTTGAGGGATTAAGTCAAGCGCGTACGCTAAAGTATATCCTGAGCTGGAATTGGGCTTTTCAAGCTATTCTCAGAGATCCCATTTTAGCAACTTTATCCATGAAGTTACTTCCATCTTGGAGGCAGGCAAACCTTTGCTGGAAGCTCTGCCCAGAATGTTTTCATCACAAAGCGACTTTTTCCAGGTTCGTTGACTAATAAACGGCCTGGGCGCTGTTGAAAACGCCTTGATTCATCATCGGCTGAGTCTTCAGCCTCAGCTGGTAAATTTCTCACAGAACTTTGATCATCGCGTGAGCCGAGTAGACGTTCAAGGTCAGCGACTCTTTCCGCGAGCTTTGAATCACGACATTTAGATTTTCGATCTCGACGAATCGGCTCATCAGTGTATAAACAAGCGACGCTTCCACGAACGCAGTTCGAACAGGGCTGATTTCGGTTACATTTCAGTTTCCGCCGATAGCACTCCGCACAAGCTCTTAGCGGCCGACGTGTATTTTGTCTTGGTAATATGAGACGGGGAGATCTTCCGCCATTCATGATTAGCAGGCTTTCAAAAACATAATAAAACTTGAATTGAAGAATGAAACCATTCAGCCGAGTAATTGGTAGAAGCAAATGTTGACGCTGCGGGGTTGAGACAAGCCTAGGACAGGACTGCGACGCGAGAGGCCCGAGAGGCCCGAGAGGGCCATCCGCTGGCAACCGAATGCGCAAAACCTTCCTAATTCCGAACATAAGCAAGATGATCGGCCGAGATAATGATTGAAAGGAGTCGGACATACGACACAATGGATCTTGCGGCTGGGCCATCTAACATGATACGTTGTTTCGGCTCTTACGGATTGTGTTAACGATGATGTTACTTCAACGGGTGTTGAATGCTTTCCAGCATAAAAGGCCAATGGTTTCATGTAGACTTGGAAAGAACGACAAACATCATTATATCGTCTAATTCCACTCTACCACTACTAAAGAAGCAAATTTTATTCACCAAGAATTTCCCGCTGCAATGCCTGATATTATTATTGTTGGAGCTGGCCCGACGGGCCTTTGGCTCGCATTGGAGCTTCGCAGCGCTGGGCTTGAAGTCACCGTAATCGAAAAGAATATTAATCGAGATATTCGTTCGCGAGCTGCTGCAATGGCAGCCGGTAGTCTTGAAACGTTCGCGACTCGTGGTATAGCTCAGCGATTCATTGATGCTGGAACACCAATACACTCAATCCATTACGGTTCATCAGAGAGTCGGCTGCACATGTCAAGAGAATCCTTGGGTACCAAGCACCCTCACTCTTTGATGATTCCGCAGGCAGTGACGGAACAGCTCTTAGTAGAGCTTTGCCAGGAAAAGGGAGTCGAATTCTTCTTCGGTCACCTCGCGAGTGGTCTTGTCCAAGATAGTAACACAGTCGCCGTCGAAACCGAGACCGGAGACGGCACAAAATCTACATTCACCGCTTCGTGGCTCGTTGGGTGCGATGGAACAAAGAGTGCGATCAGGAAATTAGCAAACTTCGAGTTCCCTGGCACTGATGGCAATATATCCGGTTGGCTTGCAGATGTACTGGCTACCGACCCTCCTTCTCAACCACTATCCGTCAATAACGAATATGGGTCGTTTCTAATGCAGCCTCTCGGATATCAAAAGTACTATCGGCTCACCGGAGTGAGTATAGGCACCATGAATTTGCCGCCAAGTGCAATTCCAACGCTGGATAATGTCAAATCCTTCGCAACTGAGGCTCTTGGGACAGATTTTGGGATACACTCTCCTCTGTGGCTCTCTCGCTTTTCGAACACCACTCGTCTCGCGACAAATTTCCGCAGTGGGCGTGTCTTTATCGCCGGCGACGCTGCTCACCAATTTTTCCCAGCTGGTGGTCAAGGAATCACAACAGGAATTCAAGATGCTGCGAATTTGGCGTGGAAGCTAGTTGCTGTTGCTCAAAGACGATTGACAGGGGAGAACGCTGATGAGCTTCTAAACACTTACAGCACGGAGCGAAAACTAGCATTGCAGGCCATAATCAAGAGCACACTAGCCCAGACTGCTCTGTATGCCTCGAGCAATTCAGTACAGTCTGCTTTGGCAGATGTTGTATACGAGCTGATAGCCCACCCTGACTTGAACAAGTTGTTGGTGAGGCGCATCACGGGGTTTGGAGACCCATTCCCCACGAAGGAGGGCGGTCAAGATCCGTTAGTAGGCGCAAGGGTAACTCACCTCGAAGTGGGCGGTGGATTTGAACTACTCCATAGTGCCATGGCTGTGGATACCTTCATTCTGCTTGTGCGAGATCTCAACCTTGAGCCACTTCTTTCCGACTGCATTAGTCCTTGGGCCGCTTACATAAAGTGTCTTGGACCAAACGACGGTATAGTTTCCTTTGGTCAGCAATGGGAAGGCGTGGATGCAGCTTTGGTCCGGCCTGATGCGCGTGTTGTTTGGGTTTGCCGAGATTCATCTCCCAGAGAGCATATTCACTTGTCTATTAGGAAATTACTCGAAGAGTTATGTAAGGAAATTTGACCTAGAATTGAAGTATGATTGCACTTTATGGCAATATTACATCTAGACTCTTAAAGTTGTGAAGGCGTTTGCAGGGTAGGATGCACTGAAGCTAAATATACATAATTTACCAATCAAGAATGGACTATTAGCATAGTCGCATCATACAATTCAATCTCAAGTAATAGTTTGGTCTATAGTACTCTAATCGATTATGCTGTTGATTGCCGAGCATCAAGCTTGCTGTGCACTCCTCTTCTGAGTAGTACATTCGAATCAGCAAGTAGCATTTAGCCATTTGAATTGCTTACATTACTCATCGGCTTGTGGATACACCCAAACTGTGTACAATGGCATAATTTATGGTGTTACATAGCTGAAAGCTGCATTTTTAGTAGATCATATTAAGAGATATTTACATAAATCCCAGTAAAGCATCATCTAGGCTCGTAGCCTCCCGAAGTGGAACTGATTGGCCCTTTCTGGGTAGCCCAACCTTGTTATGCCACACGACTTTCATGCCAGCATTTGCTGCGCCTTCGACATCTCCTGCACTGCCTGCAACAAACAGTACGTCTTGGGCCTGAACGTTCATAGCCGTTAAGATAGCTTGGTAAGCTTGTTTGGCGGGCTTGTAAAAGCCACTCTCCTCTGCGGTGACTACTGCATCGAAATTCCCAACTATGTCCGCCGCAATAGTTCCTAGACGTTGCGAACAATTGGTTACTACGCCAAGTCTATAATCATGAAGTCTCAATTGCTTCAGGACTTGCGCAACTTCAGGCCATGGCTGCAGTTTGTCCCAATTTTCCAATAATGTCCGAGGAGCCGAGCCAGGCAAGCCAACATCCTGTGCGGCTTTGTGAACGAGCTCCTCATACGGCACATAGGCGCCGGTGCCGAAGGTCAGTTCCAAGTACCGTTTGCGCCAGCCTTGAGCTCCTACTGCGCTCGTGGAAGTGGTAGATGCGTCCCACAGAGCCCAAGAGTCCAGCAGGGCAGTAAGGAGGTCGAAAATAATGGCTTTTGGTCGCCAGGTTGACGATGGGGTTGTCATGATGATAAACAGCTTGTGAAATATGAAGAACTTCAATAGGATCTGGATAAGGTTGAAAATCTGTCGACTAGATGCTTCAGAGGAGCAGATTGACTACAGATATAAGACCTGTGCTCACACCGAAAAGCATGGATTTCCTAGCACCAAGTGTAGCGTCTGTGGCTTATACCTCTTCATAGCACGGGGATGACACCACCCCACTGATCGCAGCCGTACACTTCATTGGGAATAGGCGTAATATTCCACATACCCGATCCGCTGTCATTGCGTAACGTCGCACCCGCACACTCTTTTCGGTTAATGGCTTCGTAACCCACATCTCGTATAGATCGCGGTAGAGGCATACATATAACAGTCTATAAGAAGCGAACGACAGCACACAACAACTTAAGTACAATCACGCGCACTCAACAGCAAATTCATCGCACTGTCATAATGGAACCGCATCGAATGTTGCAGACAGCCGGGGATTTTCGACAATATTATGTCGGAAAACACGTCACTCAGCTACCGAAACCGGCTTTGATACTCGACAAGGCCAAAATGTATCGACACTGTCAGTCCCTGCTTGATGCCGTAGAGTACTTAGGCGTAGACTTTCGGGCGCATGTTAAAACACACAAGGTACACAAAATCATTCTTCCAATGCTTCCAACTCCCGAAACTAACTTCAGACCTACAGACCCTAGAGGGGGTCCGTCTGCAAGCTGGAGAGGCTAACAAAGAGGTCCGACTCGTAGCGTCGACTGTTGCCGAAATCGAGTTTCTACGGCCACTGGTGCGCGAGTTCATAGAAAGTGGCCGCCCAGTTAATATCCTTTACGGCATTCCCCTGCCGCCTTCGCAGGTTGATCGCCTAGCAGCTATCGCCCGGCAGCTAGGTCGAGGTACCATTTCTGTCATGATCGATCACACGTCCCAGCTGAGCCATGTAGCTCGCTTTGCAGAGCAAGCCGCATTTCCGGCCGGGGTCTACCTGAAGGTCGACACAGGCTACCATCGAGCGGGCTTGCCTCCTTCTGGCCTCAACAAGGACGACTTGGTCTCCAAACTGATGAGTCTTGATAACCAGGGCACCATAAACTTCATTGGCCTTTATTCGCACAGCAGTCTCAGCTACAATGATTCGACTGCTGAGCAAGCAATGGCCAATCTCAAAGGCGAGCTTAGCGGGTGTCTTGATGCGCTGGAAGAAAACGCGCGTTTGTTCCCAAGCGATAGGGAAATCACAATCAGTATCGGAGCTTCGCCGCAGGTGACTTCAATAGAAAATTTGCTTGGAGCTGAGGGCAACTTATCAGAGGGCGCCCAGTCTTTGAAACAGGCCTTGCGCAACGCCGTGACTGGGATGCAGTGTGGGTTTCGCACCAGACTGGAACTTCATGCTGGTGTATATTCCGTTCTGGACGTGCAACAGCTGTCTACAAATTCACGAGCTCACTTTGGAGACTATGAAGATGAGATAGCGGTCTCTGTCATGGCAGAGGTTTGCAGCCTCTACATCGACGGTGAGCGGCAACAACCTGAAGCCTTGCTTGCTGTTGGAGTGTTGGGCCTAGGACGTGAGCCCTGTGCAGCATACGAGGGATGGGGCATTGTTGATCGCGATGCCTACTCCCCTAATAGCCCCCATCCTGATCGCCGACTGATTGTGAAGCGCGTGAGCCAGGAACACTCCATTGTGTCATGGGGGCTCGTCAATGGGCATGGCGATGAAGATTCTCAGCAACCCATACCGCTGCAGGTGGGCCAAACCGTGCGCATCTATCCGAATCACTCTTGTATTACGGGAGCTTTATATGGCTGGTACTATGTAGTAGACTCTTCACAACATCCCGAGCAAGTCATAGATGTCTGGGAAAGGGCAAACGGATGGAAAATGCCGATAGCCAACTAAAATTCAGATTGTTCAAATAGCAATAATTACAGGCATTATTATACACACCACCTGTTGTCATTCAGATAGGTCTTGTCTGTCATGGCAAGATAAGTCAGTAATGCTGAAATCAGTCAGCAACTACCGCAATGCATTTGAGCTCAATATCCGAACCATAGGGCAGTTCCTTCACAGCAACGCAGCTAAACAACAATGGTTTCAGAATGTGTAACAGCAGAGGTTATTTTTTGAACTTACGTTCGCGCCGGCTTGAGATCTCCCCAGTAAGGTTTGTAAGCGAGAGACAATTCGTCAGCGTCGATGATGTTTGTCAAAAATACCGTGACCTCAACTACGTTCTCTATACTGGAGCCAGCTTGCTTGAGAATAGCCTCAACGTTTCTCATAATCTGATGCTGCGCAAATAAAGTGAGCTGAGACGAATAAAACTGGACAAGCTCAGGTGACAAACAAATCGATCAATGACCGTGCCGCGAACCATTTTCTTCGTAATGGGATCAGCACCTAACACGCCTGATGTAAATACAAAACCATTGGCGATGATGGCTGGCGTATAAACGCCTGGACGAAGCGTGGGAGCATCGTCAGTAAACACGCCGAGTTTGTTGAGAGACATTTGCGAGTAATGAATTAGAGTGTATTTTTGACGACACAACACTCAAGAGCCATAAAATATTTATTGGGATATAAGGTGCTTATTACTTCACTGGTTCCATGAGGGCAAGATTTCTAGCTGTGTTTTATACACTCGTAGCATCTGCGAGCACTCTCGGGGGAATAAGTTGTTGATTCTTACAGAGGGATAACCGCATAACGGCGGTCTCTCGTACTCCGAAAGAGGGAAAGCTTGAATGTCATCTGCATCATATCCGACATTTGTTTTGAGACTTCGAACTTGCCCGCTGGGGCGCGCTCCCGTGCACCAAATGCGGCAAGGCTCGAAATTATCCGGGACAATCTGGGATGCTGTCCGACATCATTCCTAATATTGCGTTCCCGTGCACTACAAATGGTAAGTTCGATTCAAATTCGGCATATATTAGAAAGCAGGAGTGAGTCATGATAGTAAGATTACAACTGGTAAAGTGTCTATGACGTGGCGGTCGCGGGAGATAACAAAATGGAAAATTACAAGCTGTGAATTGACCACAGGTAATGAGTGCCAAGGAAAGTTGGCCACTACGGCAAACGGTCTAAACAGAGAACGGAGGCCTGGCCACTAACACCGGTCGCGATTTGCACGCATTGAGAGAAGAAGTCGATATAATCCCAGTTGATCGAATTACGCGAATGAATTTGCTGCTTATCAATAATACATGTACGCTATGAGATGTATGGTACAGGTTCCTAATACCGCTTACAGAAATAAAGAGCGGTTATTTCCTCTCATCTCGGCGCAACCAAACCCTCTGTTGAGACATGGTATGAGGCCAATTCGCCCGTGCTTCTACATCGTCCGTAAACCAACATTGAAGAGATCAACTGGCTGGAATACGATCCAAACTTACCCTTACCACCCCCGTCATCCACCGTCTGAAACAGCGCGACCACATCCAGGCCATTTCTGCGCTCGCGATTAATAAGTCGCACCGCATCTAGAATTTGAAATACTGGAAAGTTCCCCTCTTCAATCCCATCCCGACCCAGACGCGTTTCTAACCACCCCTGGATCCAAAGTCCAGTTTCACTATTTCGAGAAGAGAGAGCACATGTTAATAATAGCCCTGCGAACCCGATGGTGTAAGCATTGAGACAGATGCAGTCCTCCCAGTTGATTCCAGCAGCAATGCGCAGCAAGACGAAGATCCAAGCCTCTATTTCTTCATACTGATCATCAATATTATGCACAGACGCACTCGCAAAGGTCTGTAGCGGTCCCGCGCAGTGCATGACGCGGCCCACCACGTAATAAGCCATGTTCATGGCGGACTGATGAGACGAGAAACACAACGCTTCGTCTTCAGGGATTTTTAAGTCGAAAAGTTTCGGATGATTTGGATTTGCCTCAATCTCTACCAAACTTGGGACGTAAGCGCGCCACTCATCCAGCTTCTCAGAGTACATCTTGGTCAAGGCCACAACCTCATTAGGGATAGATGAATGTTCGGATGCTGGATTGGCATTGTCTACAGATGTTGAAACCGTTGTTGTTCTCATCTGATGACTTTTTCTTTGTCTTGCCCAACATGCAATAAGAGCGGCGGTGTTAAGACGATGCGATTCGCAAAGGATCCAAAGGATAGTAGCCGTACGACCGCTTCCAGTATTCGAAATAAATTGCAAGTCTGGACGAAGTAATGGAGTGGAGTAGTCCTGAAAGAACTCGGGAACCCCAAAATACGCTCTGCGCCACCAGTTTTGCATCTTGACTTCCACCCAAGCCGCAAGCAGGCCAGCACCGTGAGGAAAGATGCGATCAGCAGATTCACTGAGGAGTTCTTCTATTCCTTGAGAATGTATATAAAATCCTTTGAAGTATCCCATTGATGATTCCACATAGCAGAAAAGGACAAGCGCAGCGAAGGCCAGCATTGGGTTTGAGACGTAGTTTTCAGGCCACCAGCAAGACATTCGGCGAAGGGCTGAGCCGTAGAGCTCGCTGCTGCAAGCTTCATGGCCAAAATCTGGTCGGAAGTAGAGCCCTGGTGAGTCGGATGACGTAAACAATCGCCTCTGTGGAAGTTTGCGACTCATGCGACTGGCTGCAAGGGTGGCCATGGTGTCTGTGATGAGTGACGATTGGTCGCGAATAGTATCCATAAATTTGAATGTCACATTTAAAGCTGGCAAACAATGAAGCTTCCAAATACTCATGTAGAAGCCGACGGCATCACCGGCTCTATGCTGTGGCACAGATAATGGAGCCAAGTTCATAGTTGTCCCCTCGGCGATTCCCAAGTCCAACGGCTCGTCGAAAAGCTCGGAATCAGAATGAATCTCCCAGATTCTGTTCTGATTCTCGGTAGCATAAGATAGGCTGGGATCCGGGAATGGGATCATGTCCGCACTCAGTACATGATCCGAGTCGAAAATGGTATCAAAACCGCCCTCTACTCCTATAGGCGAGTGCTCTGAAGGCTTCGACAACGGCCTTGTAACGGCAACAGTTTTGCTTGGTGGCGGGTTTGGCGCATACAGTGGAGTGACTGATCGTAGTCCAGCCTTGCGTGATCTTGACGGGCCTGACACGCTGCGAAACTCAAACGTGTGGGAAATCTGCTCACAGGCTACCCCGAGCCTCTTGCAGAGGCTGCAAGGTTTCCGCTCATCGCACTATAGGGCTGTCAGCCGAGACATTGAGTCTTAGCACCATGAATCAAAGTGAACTGCTTAGCACACCTTTTTCCGTCTTTGCCTGCACGTTTTGCATCCAGAACGAGAGCGACAAATGTTGGTCTTTTTCGGCCGAGGCGGAGCTGGTTTATACATGTTGAGACGTGCTGACGAGAATTGTAGAAAGTGAAAGCTGCTTGCAAGTTTGCTACGAGTAAAAGTTACCCTGCAGCGCGAGATCGTCCCCCGGTATTACGATCAACTCTCTACAAGAAAGCTAAAGTATGACTCAAGTCGCCCAGCAGTAGGGGCTAAACTAGTCCACCTGGTCATTCAATCGCGGAGACGGCGCAGGTGAGAGAACCCGTACTTCTCAACGAGTGAAGTCTTTTGTACTGGGATTTGCAGGAGAGCTTTTCAATATTGGATAAACGTGAAGAAGTTTAGGTGCATAAGACGGAAGAGTAAACCATTACCCATTTACTAGTCTTTGCCGACCAACTAGGTGCTAGCCCAGGACTTGCCAAATTGTGAAAAGAAATTGCCGAGCATTATTGGATTACCCCATGAATTTCGCCCGTGGCAGGAGAGGTTATCAGTCTAGCCTTTGTGGCTATTTGTTTCAGTGGCTCTCAAAACACCTATCCCATCATGTGAACAACCGAAGGAGAGTGAAGACGTGAATTCATTCAAGTGTGTCATGTCCCACATCAGCTTTTGCCCGAATTTTCATTCTTCTCCATTGGAACCAAGAACTATGAAATAGTTCATTTTTATATCTCATACTTGATGCATTTGCACTTTCGTGCATTTAGGTACGAGACTTTCTCTCCTTACTGCACCAAGGCCATAGAGTGAGTTAGGTAAGCCTCACCCTTCGGTGTTGTTATTAAACCTGCCCTTGGTGGTGGTTGGAGAGACTACGAAGCATTTTTTTTTTTTTTGCTGTAGTGAAGGCAGGAGAGAGCATAAATCTGCACAGAAAGTAGTTTGAGAACAGAACATTTATATACCAATGTAACTTCCATGTAGTAAAGTGCTAAATCGCGATTGACAATAGACTCGCAGATCTCAAATCCTTAGGCCCGCAACTTTTGACAGTAAGAGTCGGAATGATGTTTATATCGTTCTACTCTGAAGAAAGCAAAAGACTTTGTAGTGGTCTAGGAGCTCCTTTATGTATCGATCCTGTTATCGAAATGCTCTTCCCATCAGGCGTGCTGAGAATGATGGGGAAGGAAAACATCCACTTTGTCAATTTAAACGCATTTACTGATATAAATGGAGATATGTCTAGCTTTTGGCAGAGATATGTGACTGCGCTTGCTCGGGGACGATGCCATTCGTTGTTGTCCAAAGTGTATCAACTTGAAAAATATAGTGTAGCTATATATTGAACCATTTTTGACTAGCTACGGTAGGTACAACCACCATATTTATGCTAATAATATGATTATTGCCTCTAGCTCCTAGATAAGACGCGGCTGTAGGCCAAGAATTGAGAATGTGCACCACACAGCTTAAAGCTTATAGAAGCAGATGACGACAAGTATATCCTGTAAATGATCGACGGAAAAGAAACGAGCCTACAAATTATTTTGTATTCGAGGAAGTGTAATATCCTCCTCCTGTTCTTTCTGTACGCATACTCGCTGAGAAATCCAAGATGAGCTGTCTCGGACCGAGCCACAATATCCCCCAACAACCTCATACGGCATTTCGTGGTGCTGGGCTTCTTTAAGCGTTAGCACCTTAAAGAATCACATGACGATGAACTGGGTATGACCATATTATAAGCAGCGCTTTTCGAGATCAGCTCTGAAATGAACTTCTACTAGGCATTTAGAAGAGCAACGATAGTCAATACAACGGCACTATGAAAACGGCCCGAAACTAACTGTGGGTTGTTCGGCTATATTCCGCCGGTACAATCTGATTACGAGCGATAGTGATTGCAAATTGGCGTGCGCCCGCAACCCCTCAGCTAAGAACTATAGCCGTCTCCCGAGGAAGCTGCAAGCGACTATTTGGTGGCATTACAGGCGCAGAGTTAATGGTGATCCTGGGGAACGAGGCCGAGTACAACCTTGGTGGAGCCACATATAGAAATTACAACCTTAACTTGTGCTTAAAATGCCTCCGCGGGGGTCAAGTGGAGGAAGCAACGCAATTCACGCCAAGTTTAGAACGGGCCGGGCCTAGAGATGGGAATACGGAAAGCCCCTTTTCTCGCTTGAAGAACATGCTTATACAGACGTGTTTACCCAATAAAGCAGAACAAAGACGTAAAGAATAATACCTCCAGGGGGCAGAGATCGTTATAGTGGCCCATAGTGCGCCATACTATGGAAACCCTTTACGTGTTTCCAGCGCTGATCCCATATTACCGGCACAAAACTCCGCATTGGCACAAATATCCATATGTCGGTCTTGGCAGGAGCTTCCCTCGCGTCTTCGCAGGAGCGAAGCGCGCGAGAATAGTGCTACATACCTAGCTCTGACCGCTTCCGCTAATGCGTGACTCCTTGGTTCTCTCCAATACATCTGGAGCCAGAATCTTTGAGCTAAACCTCACGTTGTTGCCAATGGCCGGCATGCTCGGAGATGTGTCTTTGTCGCGATGAAAGACACTAAAACAAGAATAGAGAAGAATACAAGACAATATGCAGATGTGAAGATATAAAGTTGCCTGCTTACTTGGGACCTGTCTGATTTCTTGAATCACATTACCACGACCGCTCAAGAGATGATCACGAGCCTCTCTCACCAAGCAACTGCCTTTTTCACGTGAAATTAGGCATCATCACAACTAGTCTTCATATGACCCTCTTTCTTGGCAGGTCTGGAGAGCCCCAGGGTTGCATTCAAGTGCCGCGCACCTATCATGTACCGTGCTACCCCGCAACAGCCGACTGAGGTTGCACTTTGGTTGCCTGTGCCCCTGGCTGATCCCCCACGGGGAAACAATCCATGCTGCCTGGATCCCATGCAATTCCGATCAACGGGCCTTTTCTACATGTCATGCTGCATAAGTGTCAACTCCCACCCTACTTCATACGTCAGTATGTCTCTACTAGCGCACAACTCCTTTGCTAGAGAGTCGATATGGACGCCCAACGAACTCGCGTATGAGGTAGTTACCCAGAATGGGTATCGTCTCATTGTCGGAGGTTGTCCGTGAGCTATGGTCGACTTCTAACCTGCTCATGAGGAGGCAATGGAGTATGTCTTAGACGAAGAAGTGTATAAATATGGCGAGGGTGTCATGCGATAGGTTTTCGGACACGGCCTTACTCACCAGCAAGCAAGTTTCTCAGAATGAAAAAGGCGTGGGCATCCGTCATCATCGGGACGATCGCGTCCACAGTCCATGGTTCAACCATAGATGACTGTCTCGGATATTCTGCCTCCCATGTGAGGCGATCATCCAACGGGCTTGTGGCAGACCTCACGCTGATTGGCTCCCCTTGCAACGTCTATGGCAATGATATCAAGAATCTGAAGCTCCAGGTCGACTATCAGGGAGGTGAGCTGTCATGGCCGATATGACACAATCTGTGTCCCAGGTTCTAACTCTCATCTAGATAGTCGTTTGCACGTCAAGATCTATGATGCGAATCGCCAAGTATATCAGATTCCTGAATCGGTCTTGCCCTCGCCGCCTAATGATGAAGGCAATCCTAGTCAATCCGCCCTGAAATTCACCTACACTACTAGCCCATTTTCTTTCGCAGTCTCACGTTCAGACTCGGGAGATGTTCTATTCAACACCTCTGGATCGCAGCTCGTATTCGAGTCCCAGTACGTGAGGCTGCGAACTCAGCTGCCTCAGAACCCGAATCTCTACGGCCTGGGAGAACACACTGACACGTTCCGCCTCCAAACCAATGACTACATCAGGACATTTTGGAATGCTGAGTCTCCATTCGTCCCCAGAAAGTCTAACCTCTACGGAAGCCATCCCATCTATCTCGAGCATCGGGCTAGTGGTCATAGCCATGGTGTATTTCTAAGAAACTCTAATGGCATGAACATTGTTATCGACCAGACAGAATCAGGCGACCAATACCTAGAGTATAACACCATCGGCGGCGTACTTGACTTCTACTTCCTTGCTGGTCCCTCACCCACAGACGTGAGCAAGCAGTATGCCGAGGTTGTCGGACTGCCGGCCATGGTCCCTTACTGGAGCTTTGGGTTCATGCAGTGCAAGTACGGATATTGGGATGTCAACGAATTAGCCGAAGTCGTCGGCAATTACTCTAGTGCTGGCATCCCTCTCGACGTCTTATGGTCTGACATCGATTACATGGACCTCCGCCAGGACTTCACAACCGACTCGGATCGCTTCCCCATTCCCAAGATGCGCGAGCTTGTCCATACTCTCCATGACAGGGGACAGAAGTTTGTCATGATGGTCGATCCTGGCATTCACCGAAAGGGAGACTACGGGCCATTTGCTCGTGGTTCTGACAAGGACATCTTCCTCAAGGCGGCCGATGGCTCGTACTACCGCGGCGTGCAGTGGGCCGGCGAAGTCGTCTGGCCAGACTGGTTCAACCCCAACACTCAAGACTGGTGGACCGACGAGTTCCTACGCTTCTTTGACCCCGATACCGGTCTAGACATTGATGGAGTCTGGAACGATATGAACGAGATCTCCAATTTCTGTGGTGACATTAATTGCGACCCAGCTCAACAGGCTAAGGATACCAATACACCCCCGCCGCCATCCCATCAGCCCCGACCAAACACGGGCCGGCCGATACCGGGATTTCCCAGCGATTTTCAACCGACCTCATCTCGGATTCGGGCCCGACGAGATGCTGAAAGTCGAGGAACTATGAAGGGACTGCCAGGGCGCAACCTTTTCACTCCGCCATATCGTATCAACAATCACGTCGGCGACCTGAGTGCTAGTACTGTTTACACCAACATCACAAACTACGACGGCACTGTCCAATATGATACGCACAACCTGAATGGTTTTATGATGGCTGCGCACAGCCGGGTTAGCATGCTCGCTCGCCGCCCTGGGAAGCGCCCCTTTGTCCTCACACGATCGACTTTTGCTGGTGCCGGAAACAAGGTCGCCCATTGGTTTGGCGACAACTACTCCGCTTGGGATGACTATCGCTTCTCAATCTCTCAAATGCTCGCTTTTGCAGCCGTCCACCAGATGCCCATGGTTGGATCTGACGTCTGCGGCTTCAACGGCAATGCCCAGGAGAATATGTGTGCTCGGTGGGCGTTGCTCGGTGCCTTTCAACCATTCTATCGTAACCACGCGGATATTTCTGCACCTAATCAAGAGTTTTATCTCTGGGCATCTGTGACTGAGGCTGCTAAGAAGGCTATTGCTGCTCGTTACCGGTTGCTGGATTACATCTATACTGCCATGTATCGGTCTAGTACCACAGGTTCTCCGATCGTCAACCCCCTGTTCTTCACATACCCCAACGATGCCAACACTTTCGGTATCCAGACTCAGTACTTTTTCGGAGATTCCATTCTTGTGTCACCTGTCATTGAGGATGATGCCCAAAGCGTTACAATCTACCTTCCAAATGAAATATTTTACGATTTCTGGACATTCAAGCCAATTCACGGCAATGGACAACAAGTCACTCTAAACAACGTGGCCTACACGGACTTGCCAGTGTATATTCGCGGAGGCAGCATCATTCCTATGCGTAGTGATGGCGCTAACTCAACGACCGCCTTACGGCAGCATGACTTCAACATTGTTATCGCTCCTGGTCTTGACGGCAAAGCTTCTGGTTCTCTTGTTCTGGATGACGGAGAAAGCCTGGACGGACAGGCGTCAGATATTAGCTTCTCCTGGGATGGTAAGGAATTTAAGGCCAATGGACAGTTTTGGTATCAAACAGATGTTCAAATCCAGACTGTGATAATTTTAGGCGACGAGACCATCACTAAGAAAGGCCCCTGGGGACTCAACAAGGGATTCTCCTTCAAGTCTTGAAATATTCAAAGTTGAGCGCAAATGGAAGAGCGTCTTTAAGTAGGCAATTTTTCAATGTTACTGCGTCTTAGAATATAGTGCTTTAGCCTGCGAGTGTTGTTATCGTAATTGACATATGTTTAATACGCTCAAATGTAGCAGATAAAGCAATACCATAATCAAATAGCCGGATGGACTACTAGTGGATATGTCGGCACTGAGAAACTTACTACACATTCTCTTTGTGAGCCTCATCAGGTATCAAAGAAACGTAGCACAACTTGTCAGCATGAGATAGAGTCAGCAGGGCCCCTTCTACTTGAAGTTCACGAAGAGAACAGGATTGTACAAATAAAGCCGCATAGGAGAAACTTCGAAGTAGAGCAGTATCTTACTGCTAAGCGCCAAGCCTACCATCCCAATGACTACAAAAGGAATGTCAAAAGCCATCAATGCAGGTCCTTGATGACTAGTCAACTAGTCAGCTACTCTGTGCTCCTGATGCAAACTGCATCACTCAGTCTCAACTGGATCGTTGCATACGTTTGGGGCAGTTAGAATAAGCGCTCATCATGTTCACTATAACTAGAAGGCCATAATAAAACACCGCGAGAGCCTAGAGTTTTGTGTCCGGTGCTAATACGACGAATTAGGCAATTACAAAGGTATAGCGCAGGTACCACTGGACTTAATTGGTCAGTTGGCGAACCATTTGTTTCCTGGCTGCCTAGGGTTGCCATTATAGGCAGTTGGGAAACGCCTGGCGCCACGATAAGGCATAAGGGTCAGGGGACTCGCAGGCGCAAGACATTAACTATTAATTAATAGATTAACTGGAACGCGATATAGCCTAAACGTGACTTGAAGCTCCCACGTTACAATATCACAATCGGCCAGCAAATTGTAACCCAGCTAAACCATATGCCGCTCAAATCTATCGCTCCTAGACAGTACCTGACCAGGGATGCGGTCATATCTACAAGCATTAGGCCTTGTACCTTTATGTCTCACCAGTATACCACTCCGCAATTGACAGCTGCTATTGCAGCTGTAACTTGATGACACTCTTTTTTTTTTTTTTGGTTGTTGTTTGTGGCTGGGTCTCATTCCCTTCCTCTCTTTCCAGCCATCCTCTGGCCCGCATCACTTGACCAGATCAGTCACCTGGCATGCAATATGATACCGCATGAGTATGATCCTCTGTGGTATCAAACTCACACTTGATTCCTATTTACTGAGGACTTTTGAACTAGCTATTACCATCTTCTCCAGATACAACGTTGTGCTGATATCGTGGATCGTGGGATGCTGTTTCGAAACGTGGCACGCCCCGCCTATCCTTGTGAAGTAAAGCTCGGAGCGGTTGCAATTCCTCAATACTACCCTGCAATCTGAGTTTCTGGTTTTGAACTTCTATTCTATGAGTTGATTATATATAAATCTTGCCAAAGTAGCAATTTTTTCGTTTGGCATCGACAATTATCTGGTGCTCTACCAATACGTTGGTCAATCTTGTCAGCATGGTTCAATCATCAGTCTATCTAGGGGCCTTACTGGCTGCTTTGCCCTCGGCATATGCCGGTTTCAACGCTAGCTCCACGCAAAACATCGCCGTGTACTGGGGTGAGTTGAATCGACTTTTTTTTTTTTTTTTTTTTTGCAAATTGAGACTTCCAATTGACATATACGTGTAGGCCAAAACTCGGCAAACCAAGCAGACTCCCAGCAACGCTTATCCACCTACTGTGCCAGTAAGTTCAAGATCGGCTTGGACCAATTCGCGGTAGCTAACGAGTGTTTTTAGATGCTGAGATAGATGTGGGTATAGCCAAAAAAATGGAATATCGTTTAGCACCCCTAGCTGACCTCTCATAGATCATTCCGATTGGTTTCTTGAATGGCATTAGCCCGGTTATTACCAACTTCGCCAATGCAGGCAACAACTGTACGGCTTTTGCTGATAATAAGAATGCACTTAACTGCCCACAAATTGAGTAAGTTATCCTGGATTCATACAAATTCTGCCGGGGCTCGATGCTTATATATTCTTCAGGCAGGACATTATTACATGTCAACAAACATACGGCAAGACAATTCTCATTTCGCTGGGAGGTGGATCTTATACTCAGGGTGGCTTTTCCTCCACCGATGTTGCCACGTCTGCTGCCCAGACGGTCTGGAACATGTTTGGTCCCGTCAACCCAAACAGCAATGTAGACCGGCCATTTGGCTCCGCCGTAGTGGATGGCGTCGACTTCGACTTTGAGTCTGGTGTCAACAACTTGGAACCTTTTGCCGCTGAGTTGCGGAGTTTGATGGACGCTTCTGCATCTTCTGCAAACAGGAAGTTTTATCTGTCTGCTGCGCCGCAATGCGTCTATCCCGATTACGCCGACAACCCGGCCCTTAATGGTTCTGTTTTCTTCGACTTCATTATGATCCAGTATTACAATAACGGATGTGGAGTCAGCAGCTATGTTCCAGGAGCATCGACTCAGTGGAACTACAACTTTGACGTCTGGGACAACTGGGCACATACCGTCAGCAAGAACCCCAACGTCAGAATTCTGCTCGGTATTGCCGCCAACACTGGCGCTGCTAGCGGATACGTATCCGGAACGCAGCTCTCTGCGGTCATCTCATTCACAAAACAGTACTCAAGCTTTGCAGGTATCATGATGTGGGACATGTCCCAGCTGTACGAAAATTCCGGTTTCCTGGACCAAGTTGTCAGTGATCTCGGGGCCTCTGGTTCAACCCCTCCCCCCACTAGTTCGTCTGGTGGTTCCAAGCCTACCTCTACCAGCGGCTCTACCGGCCCGACTGGTGGTGGCGGCGGTGGTAGTGTACCACAATGGGGTCAGTGTGGAGGTCAAGGATACACTGGTCCTACCCAGTGCCAGTCACCTTACACGTGCGTTGCTAGCAGTACCTGGTGGTCATCTTGCCAGTAATACTGAGAGCAACACCAGAGGGCTCCGGCATAAACTCATGGAGATGTGCGATGAGCTATGTGCAAACAGAACGGTTGATTTGATGGGCCATCACTTTGGACGGTCGCTAGTATATATCTTGCACTTCTATTGTCTATACTTGAACACGTAAATAAAACAATACATATCTGGAACATGTTTTTAAGCATGCACCGATAAGGACTAAGGAAGTGACCCGCTAACCTTACAGGACCCTATATTGAGCCTATAGGCTACCCCACACAATTACGCTCTCTGTAGAGATGGCCTCTGAATATATGAGAACAAAACAGATGGAACTTCTGATAACATATTCCACATCTGGCTATTAAATATTATAAGAATCACAGTATTTTCCGCCCTTAATGACGAAGCTCTGATTAGATGTGTTATTTCATATCTAGAGAATTTAGCAATCACTTAGTATCCCCGTCCCATCTCACTTAGCGAATTACAACAATAACTTTAATGATAAAAGCCTAGCATTGACATTGACGTGTTCTAAAGATGAACTCCATTCTAGAGACTTATTAAAGCTAGGTACCTAGTTCACAAATGACTCTTCGGTTTCTCTTTATCCTTAGTAACTTAGATGGATATATCCCACAAACCTGATGGCATGTTGCCACTATTTCCCCGTTGTCATCTATAATCTTAATATTCTCTTCAAAGCGACTACCATATAGCCAGCGCATATGACTTTTGCTAAGTAGCCACTCTTTGCCGTCGATATTGGTGCAAAAGTCCAGCTTGAGAGAGATCGTTGGAGGTTGGTATTTCACGATACCTTCCAGTGCATTGTCTTCGTAGTTTAAAGGAAGAGGAGGAATTTGTAAGCAATTTTAATTAGTTACTGACAACGCAAACTGGGCTGCGCGTAGATTAAGATAGACTAGTCCATGAGTGTCGCGATAATGATAACAGAGGGCGAAAGTATCGACTGGTACGCCATCCTGTGGAAGATGGTTGGTTCTCACCAGATCTACTAGCAACGGCAAGTACTCCAGTCTGTACATTTTTCCATTGTCTAGTTTGTTCCACATGTATCGTATATTCCGGCCTCCATTTTGGAATGTGAGCATTAGCCATGGCACCTGTTAACGCCATGTCGAAATGCCAATACAGCAACGAGGGAAGCAAAGTCTCTTCTTATACTCTATTTATTACGCACATACGGCCAAGTGTATATCACGTCAGATGGCCTTACACTGACTGCTGATAGCGCATGTTATCGCGAAATAGACTTCAGCGAACTTTAAATTCCGATTTATGGAGCGATTCGCAGCTGGCTGAGCGACCGGCTGGTTTGCATTCTGGCTCTAGAAAACCTGAGAATAGTGCATCTTAATCCAACACAGCATACAACTTTGGCCCCGCCCAGCGTGACAATAAACGGAATGCTCAAGAGGATTTTAAAATTCTTTGCGAGATACTTGCTTTCTGTGTTGATTGCGAAGATCGTCTTATTCGCCCAAGCCCAAGCCAGTAAGGATAATGAGATGGCGGCTAGTCCGTTTTTTGTGTGTTGAAGAATCTCCTTCGCTATACTGTCGTTTTGTTACATCTTAAAGAGGCTATATATATTCTTGCATTGATAATGCATAATGCTACGTGGATGAAACAGGTAGCAATTGCAACTGCACTCAAGACGCCGAAATAATACGAGATTATAGTAGAGAAGTAGCCGTTACAGCATATTCCACGACACTCTATCGGGCAACCGTATTTCTAGAATTGCTTCAACTATTACGCGGTTTTGCGCCTTTCGCTCAAAAAAATACTAATTTCCGCAAGAGCTTTCTGCATTGTTTCTGGGGATACTGTGATGTGCATTCGAGTATATCCCTGCAAGTTCGCTGGTGTTTCCTCCCCAAAGGAAATACTGCCGGGAATGAGCAAAACCCCAAATTCCTTCAGGAGATCTTTGCAAAATTGGACGTCATCAACGGCATCCCCGTTCATAGTAAGAAATTTCACAAATGCTGTTCCGCCCGCAGTAGGTCGTGTCCAGGTACACATGTCACTATTTTGCTCGACAAAGGCTTCCAAAAGATTCAAGTTTTGTTGCGCGTAATCGAGATGTCTTTTCAGGATCGCTGGCCGACAACGAAGGCTCAAACACTCGGTTGCAATTGCTTCGTCGATATTGCTTGTGGCTTCAGAGATGTATCGCTTCGTGTTTGACATAAGGTCCATAAGATTCTTGTCACGGCAAGCAATCCATCCAATTCTCACGCCAGACATGCCCCATGCCTTGCTCATGGAGCTCGTCGTGATGACTTTGGTGAACTCATGCTCCAAGAATGATGGGATTGTTGTTTGACCGTGGTACAGTGGACGGAAGATTTCATCCACAACAACAATGATGCCGTGTTGCTGGGCCATTGCCAATATTTCGAGCTGAGCTTGAGTGTCAAGCACAGAGCCTGTGGGGTTATTCGGATTGTTTAGCATGATCATTTTGGTGGACGGTTTGATAAGAGCGCGAAGCTCGGACATATCGGCGCGCCATTCGTTGTTAGGATCCAATCTCCATGGAGAAACATCACACCCAATGCTCTTAGACAAGCTTGATAATTGCGTGTAGGTCGGATACGTGGATATCACATGGTCATTCGGCCTGATGAAGCTTTGAAAGACAATCATGTTGGCGCATGTTGTCCCCGGTGCCGTCAAGAAGCTGTCAGGCAGAACCTTTTCATTGTACAAGGCCGCCAGCTTGGTCCGCAGCTCCAGAGAACCTCTATTGGTGCCTAAGCCTAGAAAGTGTTCATCAAACTGGAGTGCAGCTTCAGTCTCGCTCGGATTGTCAGAGAGAGATACCAACTCGCGCAGTGTCAAGCTCGGAGCGGCACTGCCTGCGATATTGTACTTCGCATGCTCAGAATTCTGGAGGATCCACTAAAATTTTCCCATTTAGCTTATGAGACCTCATAAAGGAAACTTCTAACTCACATTAGCAGGTTGAAATTCAACAAGTGACGCCATCTCTAATTTAAAAGGAAAGAAAGTGTTGGCCGAGATGAAAGTTAAAAGAAGGAAATTAGAAGGAAAGGGTTTTATGCAAAGCGCACCTTTCAGACTTTGGTATTTTGGGGGATACTGTAGGATCATCATTAGACTCATCATGTGAGTCATTAATAATGAAAAACAAGCGCTAGAATATCCCGAGACTCACAGATCCTTCGTCTCTAAGCGCTAAAGGGCGCCATGGATACCATTAACCGTTAATGATTATAGCGGGGTTAATTACCGTAGCTAACCGACCATGCACCTATCCGATGACGTAGTAAGATGTCTGTCTTGAAGGGACGGTATTATTTTATACTCCAGAGATGTCAATTTCCTAGGCCAGGAGACTTTGAATGCTATCATAGACTATTGAATACTGTCTCCCCTATTTCTGGAGGGGAAAAGGCTCCTGAGACCCTATCGAAAGCCACTCGCGCTGAAAAGAAGAATCTGAATCTGTAATTGCATGTATGTTCTGTAGCGCAATACAACCGGATGTAACACGCCGCCGACCGCTGAAAAATACATGTGCGAGCTTCATAAGGATATTGATATTGATCTTAATTCACAAATCAACAAAGCATATTTAGCAGAATTAATAAACATGTTGACTTCTGCTTTCATGTCTTGCGAGAAGTTGAGTGAGTAGTTAGGTAAGAGCTATACAACTTCAGACTTTGAGTAAGAAGGATGACAAGAAACAAAAATAGGCGATACAGAGTAAAATGAAGTGATGCATGTTCTCTGACTATGTCTCTATGAACTTAAATAATACCCAGAGATTACTGCTGTTTCTAATATGGACAAGGCATCTTTCACGGTCCTTGCCTAAGCTTTGGAGGTAGTCCATTAGCGCTTTTCCTTCTCGAGCGCTTGTAATTGCAGAGAGTGGTTTGTAGAGGCGCCACATCAAGTCGCTAGATATTGGAATGTACATTCCAGTGAGGCTTGTGAAACGGGTGCGTTGGATGTCGTCCAGACACTGTGATACAAGTCTTTTGCCTGCACTCGATATATATCATTGTACCTGTGTCTTCAGTGTTCCGCACCGGTGGGCCCATTGTATATGGCATATAAGCTATTGAGAAGCGTGTCACACGTATTCGCCTTGGTACACGAGACAAAGCTATAGACCAATTGGCTACTGTAAGCTTTCAGACGCAACGCCATGTGTAGCAATGGAATCTGAAACGCTGCTTTTTCAAGTTCAACTTTAGCCTTAACGCCTCTTGTACCAGATAGTTGTCCCTACCGGCCTAGCCTTGTTATCAATGTATTTAAATGCCCTTGGTTTAGCCTTACCTATACTTCTCAGTTCTTTACTTTCCATAGATCTTAGGGCTAGGTGCCATTTTTATGTATCTAATTAAGAGTGAATATTGTTCAGTATTTTAGGTGAAGCTTTATGGGGTTTTCTACTGTATGGGGTGTCAATTGCTTCGGCATAACAGATCTTGTTGAAATCGAAATCATGTATACATTGAGCTCTTGAAACACTAGCTCCAGCCGTACAGTGACCTCTCAGATGTATGACCCTACCAACTCCAAATTTCTACGAAATCATGAATCAGGTCACATGCTGCATTGGCCTCTTGGAATTCAGCCACTGATATTCAGCTCGGCGGTACGGTTTGAGCTGATTATGCAATTCAGTCACCGAAACGCATTCTCAGTTTTCGATAGACACGGTGCAAGCCACAAGACCCATAACGCTGGAATGCCATAGGCTTCCCCACCAACTGTGAAAAATGCATGATACAGCGCCTACTATTCCAAGGCTTTTTATATACTACCTCACTTTTCCTGTCATGATAAATGTAATTATAGGGCGGTTGTTAACAAAGCAAGTATAGGGAAACTATTAACTTAATCTTTGTATTACATGGAAATAAATGAAAGATCAGTAAGGGTAAAATTATACTAGGTTTCCATGGTCAGCCTTCTTCCTTGGTTGGCTTTTCACATGTACACTATATAAGGCAGGAAAAGAAAGCGAAAGAGGATGGCATATACCTATAGTGCATTTTCTGGTAGGGGGAGATGGATGAAGAGGAATAGAGAGGAGCAGTTAATTGGTCGGTCGGTCTGGCGAAATAAGTAATATATGTATAAGGGCAGAAGAAGCGCAGAAATGGGGAAAGGAACGGATTTATTGTTGGATCAATGGTGCATGTACAAGATAAGACAGAGAAAGAAGGCGAGAGAAGAGGAAGGAAGTAAAAGGGAAATGAGAGGATCTGTCAGTTAGTCAGTCGTTTCTAAACGAAACGAGTGATGCCTGAACAAGAGAAGAAAGAGCGCAAAACAAAGAGTAACAGCTATTAACAAATTAGAAATACACAGATAAACTAAAAGGGGTAGGGTAGGGTGTATAATGAGCGGGTAATTGCGTTAATACAATTGGCCTACTAATATGTCTTTGAGATCTTGATTACCTGATGCTCTTGTCTTTTCAAGTTTTGGATTTCGGTTACTATTTTCCATTTATATTATACGTCACAAGTAAGCATTACACCTGACTTGGCTATTGCAAAATGGGAGTTCAAAGAAGGATAACCAGTATCTTGTTATAGCCCAGAACTGTAATTATACAGTTATGAAATGAACGTTACTAGGATAACTTTTCGAGCTCTTACAGTTCATATTTAGTATAGTTCCTCCATATTGTTCATGGTATTCCTTAGTTAGAGCGACACCTCCTACCATCGAAGTGCTTTCCTCGACTGCAACGGCAGTTCCTCCGTTGGTTGTCCCAAAATTGATCACCTCTGCAGCGACACTGATGGCCGTCATAATATTGATCACCCCTGCAGCGACACTGACGGCCGTTGTAATATTGATCACCCCTGCAGCGACACCGATTGCCGTCATAATATAAATCATCCCTGCAGCGACACCGATGGCCGTCATAATATCGATCGCCCCTACAGCGACAATGATTGCCGTCATAATATTGATCTTCTGGGCATTGGCAAAATCTGCCATTTGGGTGGTATTCCTGTCCCTCTTTCTTGCAGATGCATCTCTGAGAATATTGGCTATAGAACGCATCGTTGCCGCAGTTAGGCTTAGGGTCACGAGCATCGAGGTCGACTTCAACCTCGGGGCCAGGGACAGCGCTGCCAAGACCAACAGCGAGGAGTGTTAGAAAGAGGAAAGTAGTCTTGAAAAGCATTATAGGCAAAGAGTAAAGAGGGTTTGACTGGCAAGGATGAATGTAGAAGTCAAATTAATTATTGATGAGAAAGAGCATATAAGAAGTATTGTCTTCACTAGCATGCTTCTTTTAATCACGTCCTATATGGCGCGGTAAATGAAGAGGATTTATATAGACGAAGCCTGAGCATTAAGATTCACTAATAAGTGAGGAGAAATACTTCTTTTTACACTAATTAGAGCCACATATGCAAAGATTGTCAATAGGCTTAATTACATTCCAGACAAATAGACGTAAATGTAGTTAGCGCTATTTGGCTTTTGGAAGCATTTCTAATAACTCTTTATTAGCTAGATGAACTACAGATTCGCGTTAGGAAGGTAGTCTACAACACTTTTACATTCAGCTTCAACAAAGTCAAATGATAGTTGAACATAGCTCATAAATAAGTGCATTACAAACTTTTCAAGCCTCTTCATCTACGGTAGAAACATAGTCATTGTTATAGGACAATCGTTGTCTATTCAAGTGGATTTCAGGTAACTTGCAATGAAAGCGTCTGACAGTAACAACCCGGTGACATATATTTTAGTATAGATAATGCTTTCCAAGGGACAAAACGTGCGAGTGAGTGGAGTTACCGAGAGGGCCATCCCGATTTATGTTGGTGGAGTGGCCAGGCCAGACTTCGGCCGCTCAAACGGTCACGCAGCGAGTAATTCGGATGAGAGAAGATCTCTATATTTTCAATAGAGATGCTTTGCCAATAACAGTCTATCAATATTTGGTTGCCGGTCAAGGGCCGGTGAAGGACAATAGTTCCCGTCCAGAATGATAGGACATAGGTCGTCATCAGGGTCAAAAGAAACCTGCAAGGCTTAACCAGCAGCCTTAAGACATTACTTCCTTTTCTTGGCTTTTCTTGGCCTGTATATTGAGGCAAGCTTCCTGTGTCATCAGACTCGTCTGAGACAGTAGACAGCAGCCGTCGTAGATAATGTTTCCTAGTCATTATATCATGGATCTCCACTCAAACAATAAGATAATGTCATAGAGCAAGCAAATTTTCTCATGTCGTCGAAGTTTGTGTTTCAGCTATATATATTAGCGCGTAAGATTAGTGAAAATCTTTTTACTATTCATCAGGAGATGACGTCGACTCTATCATAAACCCTTCTTCTAACTAATAGACAAGCCACTTTTTCCAGCTCTAGCGCTTTTCCAACCTTATCGCTCAAGAGGCGATCGTGTGGATGAAAGTATCTTTTTAGGCTTCATGCAAGTGAAGCTAAACCAAAATGCACTTCCGTGAACGAGAAGAAGGAGAGAGCGACAATGGTCTCTAAGGTGATATATCAACGCGCTCTAGCATGACACGAAGAGCTTAGAGTTTGATTGCATTCCAATAGAAACTTAGAGTTATAGAAGACTATAAGCGAAGATATTGTCATTTTTAGTCAGAACAGGGTGTAGCTGGGAAATAGAGGAATTGCTGGAATGGCTATGACACCGATCGCATGTAAAACTTCATTACGTTGGCATTATTCTGATTGCATGGGAAAAGGCTGCCTCTGTGCAGAAGCGTAATAACAATGGAATGGTGGCGCTGCTTCTTGTAACCATATGATATCAAGCGTAGTAGAAAAATTCAATACCATCTTCTATTCAAAGTTTCATATACATTCTCAAGACAAGCCGAATATCGTCATGCAATGACGGCATCTATCCTCTGAATCACGTCAAATAGCCTCTACAACATCTACAATGAACAATTCCAAAAAGAACACAAAAAAGGAAATAGACGGCAAAGATGATTTGATAGTCTGGATATATATGGAGTTCAGGGAGGTGTCTCGCATATAAAAGGAAACCAATCCTGCTCCCGAAGTCAAAGTGTTTCAAAACATCATAAACTTGATTCTACATTATCAAGATTTATCTCACAATATAATCTCTATTAATTTTCAAGTCAAAACAGTACTCACAAGATTCGCTATTATGAAGCTCACCAGGGCCACTCTCCTTGTCGCAGCCGCGTCGGCTTTGGCCAGCCCCGTCGCTAAAGAAGGTCCCAGCGGCGCATCGAGGACTGATATAAACAAGCCGGCGTACGGAGACTATGGAGGCCACAGAGACTATGGAGACCACAGAGACTATGGAGACGACAAATACCATGGAGACGACAAATACCATGGAGACGACAAATACCATGGAGACGATAAATACCATGGAGACAACAAATACCATGGAGACAACAGAAACCATGGAGACAATAAATATCAAGGAGACAATAAACATCATGGTGACAATAAATATCATGAAGACAATAAAGTCCATGGAGGCAACAGAAACCATGGAGACAACAAATACCATGGAGACAACAAATACCATGGAGACAACAAATATCATGGAGACAATAACTATCATGACGGCAATAAATATCATGAAGACAATAAAGTCCATGGAGACAACAAATATCATGACAGCAATAAATATCATGGGGACAATAAATATCATGACGGCAATAAATATCATGGCAATGATAAATATCATGGGGACAATAAATATCATGACGGCAATAAATATCATGGCAATGATAAATATCATGGGGACAATAAATATCATGACGGCAACAAATATCATGGCAATGATAAATATCATGGCAATGATAAATATCATGAAGGCAATAAAGCCCGAGACAACAAGGACCACGGAGACAACAAGGACCACAACAAGGACCATGGAAAAAACAAGGACCACAACAAGGACCATGGAAACAACAACGACCACAACAGAGATCATGGAGACCACAACGACCACAACGACCACAACGACCACAACAAGGGCCACGGAGACAACAAAAACCACAATAAGGACCATGGAGACAACAAAGACCGCAACAGAGACCATCAACACGATGGCGAACACGGTCGGCACACGGACTAAGAAGAGTACAATCCGCCAAAGGGAAGATACGGGGACTATAAGAAATACCCGGAACCGAAGGGGGGCCACGGCGGTCATAGAAAGCCTCTGCAGGGAGAGTAAGATGGCAGATATGGGGCCATATAATAAGATAGCCCAGTCGACAACCGGCAAAGCTGTCAAAAACGGAAAAGCAATTTGGAATTTTATACTCAATTTGAGGGATAATCGTTCTTTTCAATAATGTATGCTTGCTATACTGGAGTGAGGCACTTCAACTATTACATTCATTTTTTCAATAGCTCAAGGCTTCTCCAACGCCTAAGTAACTATAAATCTTATAAGACTAGTACAATAGGCTTCAGCACCATGCACCACTCTTTTATACTAGATGAAATTATATATAAATAACATCGCTTATAATAACAGTAGTCTGTATTTTTTCCAACATGCATATGTTTAAATAGTTATCATACAAGGAATTAATTATAATATCCATGTCCAAGAAGTCCCCTTTCTTAGAGTCGCGAATAAAGCGCCTTGTTGGGTATGAGCAAAGATAGCAATAAAGTAATGCTATTTGATCTAATGGCCCGCCCTTGGGTTCACGAGTAGCCTGCCCATGAACCGGTTTTCGAGAGAATCTTCAGGCTTCACCTTGCTGAAGCTAAAGTCTCCATCTGCTGGAAAGATCGTAGGCATTAGCGTAGCGTTTGATATATGAGATAGCGCGCCCGTGGACGTCCTCAGATGCTACCACCACCACATCGCGTGCAGAAAACCCGGTCATAACAGCGGATGGAATGATTTGCTAACAGTACAAAGTTTCGATTTCAGCCAAGTAACTGTAGGTATTGGTCTTATTACTTGATTCTCAGTTTAAGCATACTACAATCTGATATAGAAGGCTACTAGACTGATTCTGCATTGCGCGTGTTGCAGAAAATTATAATGCTATTTTTATAAGACTTTGTAAGTATTGTAATATATAAACTGACAGCCTAGTGGCTCATTCAAGCTGTTCCAGCGTTGTGTATAAATCGGGTCCTTGAGGCATCCAACCGAGAGATTTAGAGTTGTTACATTCTATGAGCATGTTACCAGCAATGTATCTTGCTGTAAATCCTGCGTCATTATAGGCCACGGACTTGGTCTCGGAAGAAGGGATTTTTCCACGTCGGGCTTGGAGCTTAGCCAGCGCAGCAGCAACCTTTTTGCTCGGCTCCTCTCTATAGATACCATTATACCAATAACGATAAACGTCTTCTGGTTTATAATTGTCTGCAGTGTCGAGTATCTTCTGATACACAAGCATCATGAGCGAGACAATGTCATCGACATGGACGACTCCAAATACCGAAGTGCCACTGCCGACATAGACACCAAAGCCTAGTGATTCGATGTTTTGTGTCATGTAGTCTACCCACCGCCCTGGGGCAAATGCTGACGCTGATCCAACAGATTTGCCAACGTGACGTTCACTGTGACCATAAGTGCCACCAGGGCAAACGAAATAAACTTTCGCCTCGCCTTTCTCAGCAGCTGCAAAAAGTAGTTCGTCACATTTGGCAGATTTTCTGCAGTGATGTTACGAACATCATCCGGGTTCGCATCATCAAAGCGGTGCTCTGTTGGTATGTAATCTCCAGATTCGCTGTTGTCGACAAAGTTGCCTGCGCCACTGAGATGATACACAACTGACGTCGTGCCCGTCTGAGACTTTCGTGTACGTACTCCTCGGAGGATGGCATCCGTTACTGAAGGATCCATTGAACTTGCAAAGTTGAAAATCAGGGAATGAGACGACGCCAGATTCTCAATCTCATCTAATTGGTCAAAGGTTCCATGGGCGACAGTTGTGTGCCCAGGTCGTGCAAAATTCCATCTAATTCAACACTGCGGAGGTAGAACGTGATCGGAATCTGGGGATATTTCTCGCGGAAAGATGCAATAAAGGCTCCTGCACTAGATTAGAAGAATTATCTATAGCTGGTGGTCAAACTCACCTCCAATCTGCCCAGATACTCCAAGATACAGTATAGAAGCCATTGTAACGACAACCTGGTTCGCACACAGAAGATAGGTAAAGTCTCAAGTAGTCCTTGGTCGTCGTTAATCCCTTTCCAGCTGGCAAGTGAAAAGCCTATTGAATGGAGTGAACCTTCCAGTGTCGGCCTTCAGCTCTTTTATAGTAAATCTCAAATGTACACCAGTCAGAACTTTTGGAAAAGATGTTTAGCTTGTTGTATCGTTAACCATGATTGGCTCCACGCTCAGCAGAGATATCAGGAGCCGCTCTCTTTCTAATAGGCGCTATGTACAAAAGTTTATTAGTACTTTGTCGGTGCGGCTATAGCAGAGGCTTCTTAGGAGATGACAAATTGGTCGAGTATTTTGTTCCTTCGGCTTGAGAGAGACTTTATAGCTCCGAATCACAAAGAACAATGAAGAAACATGATGAGAATTTATCGAAGTGAGTTGCACTACGATGATGGAGGTCTAGATGAACACTTTGCTTACCTCACAAGATTGGCCACCATCGTTTGTGAAAAAATACCTAGATGACATTGAGCAGTTCAGATCTCGGTTAGAAATGTCGCGCACTCCGCCGACATGCAGCTAGCAGACACCTACTACCACTTCAAGGCTCGCCTTGGACGCTGAGATCTAAGATTTCTGCTTCCACTCAAGGGCAGTCTATGCAGAGCAACAGCTGGATTAGGAAATGTTAAGGGTATGCTAATTGATAAGCCGCACTAACCGTTGTATCACACAGTGCTAAGCCATATTTGCTGAGGCACAGTCCCAGGAACTTACGCCGAATGGGCCGATAATGTAGCCCAAGTTGTCAAAGCACTCGGCATCTCACAGATTGACTTGTTTGGCTTCTCTATGGGAGGTTTTGCAGCTCAGATGGCAGCTCTTAACTACCCAACTCTTGTTCGCAAGCTTATCCTTGCGGGAACCGGTCCTAGTGCCGGCGAAGGTATCGAAGGCGGTGATTCGGCCGCATTTGGGCGTCTAGCTGCAGCTTCTAATGATGAAGAAGAACACGGGGGCTTTTTGGAAGCCTTTTACTCTCTGACGCCAACAAAGCAGACTCTGGGCGACAAATGGTGGAAGCGTATGACGACTGCTCGCTCAAACAGGTCTGACTACGTGGGACCTGAGGGCACAAAGGCGCAAATTGACGCAGTTCTTCGCTGGTCAAACCGTGAACATGCGTCAGAAGGCTCATATGACTGCCTGCATGAGATCAAGATCCCCGTTCTTGTCGCAAATGGCGATAATGACATTCTCATCCCAACTGTCAACAGCTGGGTCATGTTCAAGAGGTTGACCAACGCCGATGCTCATCTGCACTTATACCCGGATGTGGGACATGGGTTCCTGAACGAGTACGCGGGTCAGTTCTCGAGCCTAGTTACCCAGTTCCTAGATGACCGGGCGTAAGGCGGAGTTCTTGAATAAAGAGGCCGTGTAATTGTTATGAAGCATAGAGTCTTCGCTTATAGATAGAAATGATAGAGATTACTTTGTTTTTTAATGGAGAACGTGTAACTAGCTCTTGTCATAAATTTAGTGATTCAAACCGATTAACTGACTATTTTAAAAGCCATGTTGGAATACTTTCCTACAAACACCGAGGTATATCATTAGACTAGCTATCTAGTGATATCAGATGACTAACAAGGGTGCGTGTAAAACCAGCCCAAAATCTCTTCCTTTGTTTCAAAGGCTCACGTCTTATGAAGAGTATTATTACCCAGTTAAAACAGCGGTTACAGCAGTGTGTTATTGTTGTGAGCCTCTGGTGTCGAGCACAACGCTAGCCTGGCGGGTTTTTGCGCTAGATCACCTATAACTTTCGGGCAATGCGTTGCGTGGAAGCAAAACGATAGAAGCCTCCTGCAGCGGTTAGCGGTTTATGCGTGTCATTTACCGCAATAGGAACTGTGATTGGCACTAATGCATTCATAACTACAGTACCAGCAGATTCTCACTTCCGATTACGATATCGGTTGCGAGCGCCGAATATTCGATATAGATTGGTACCCAAGTCTAGCTGATCCTCGCCTCGAGCTCACTACTCTGGGGCTCAAAAGCAATAGCGACAACGCTGCAATCCTTGCGCCGTGTCGGAAGACACACCCATCGGAAGCCGATAAAGATGAAAGAGAAATACCTCGTGACGTTATTGTCCTTGCCAACGGCTTCGAAGTGAGCAGGTGGTTCCACCCACTAACGGTTGTCGGTGTAAACGGACAAAATTTGGACTCTGTATTTGACAGCAGAGGGGGGCCTCAAATGTACAAAGGGAGTGCTTTGAATGGGTTTCCAACCTGTTTTGCCTTGTTTGATCCTAATTCTTTTAGCGGACTCTCAAGTGTCATCTTCGGTCTGGAGAATCAGATTACCATGCTATTCAGCGAATCCGTCCACTATTGCAATTTGAGGTTCCAAGATAAGTTTAGAGAAAGAAGTGGCACTATCATACAACTACGAAATACAAGGCGCCTTGAAAAATATGGTTTGGAATAGTCGCGGGTATTTGAATTGGTACCTCTCCAGCGATGGCCACAGTTCAGTGAATTATCCTTGAGTTGATACCAAGAAAGGATTCTAATGGACTAACAGCTGACATACATTTGGTAGATATAGCATGTTGTTGTGGCAAACTTGGACGTGCCTCTATCCAACATGGACAGATTGACATATTACACGGACTTCACGGGGTCACAGGAAATAATTGTCCGAAGATGCCAGCGGCTTGCTATAGTAATGTAGCATGACTGTACGTCTTTGCAAGCTTGAAGAGTAATAAGAAATAGACGATGATTTAGTTAGAAAGCCAATCAGTTAGGAAGTCAATAACAAATCAGCAGCCCAGTCTCGTTATCGTATACCGTTGAATATGTTAGAATCTGGGATTGCTCATGTGATAATAGGCTCCTACTATTTCCAGAAGCGTCTGTTAATCGAGTCTAGTTGAATAAATTCTAAATCTATGATATTCACTTCTGGATATGATAGAACAACTAATCTAATTCATTGAAATGTATAACTTCCGGCGCATATGTGACATTGCCGTTTACATTTCCACCGTATGTTAGATAGCCTTCTACATCAAGCTCACCCAACTTCATGATATCCGTTGCGTTGCCATGCACCCAAACTGTCTGCATGCCTTGGATCATATGATGGATGAGGTGACAGTGGACCATCCATACACCAGGCTGATCCACGCGAAGCCTCCACGCTCTCCATCCCTGCTTCTGATTAGGAGCCGTCGTTGTAGTGTATCGATAGAGCATGGTCGTATCCCGACGGACGGGCGTCGTCCCCGCTAGCTGCTTCTCCATGGTATCAGCATCCCATGCTCCATCTCCGCCGCCGATATCCCAGTAATGAGAGCCATGAGCATGCCAGGGATGAGTATCTAGTGACCCGCCGATATTGGGGTTCACAGACTCAGCTGCACCGTACTGCTGGAAAACGATCTCAATGACTTCTCCTAAGAGAGCAGGATAGGTTTTGGTGTGAGGGTCCAGCCCATTGTTGGCTAAGGCAGCGTCGTAATTTGGCAAATATCGAGTCTGGTTTTCGTAAAGAGCGACTAAGTATGGCTCTGATGGGGTTGTATGAGGCACAGGATCAGATCCATCTTCAGTCCAAGTGTTGTTATTGAGGGACCAGAGAAAATAGCCATTTGCAAATTGTTGAATATTGATCATGACGCGCCGAGTGACTTCGGATGATGATGGAAAGTCGTGATTAACTTGAAGTGGCTGTAATTGGTAGTCGAGGTAGCCATTGATTGTCGGTGGAAGCTTGATGGGAGAAGTGCTGGGATTCTTATGCGTTGGAAGCCTATCTACACCCAGAAGCCCACATCGATTGGTATACCGAAGGATGGCGTAATTTGTTACCACGGCGGTTCTATCTCGACTTTCCAATTGGACGTAATAGTCGAGCTTGCCCAGCTTCTTAAGCTCGTTACATGACTTGGTTTTGAGGAGTACGTCATATCTCTGCCCTGAGCCCATTTGCAGGACGCTCACATTCTGAGGCTTGGTATAACTTCCATCGGCGGCAATAACATCAAGCTCAGTATGATCTTGGAACCCAAATTGAGCAAGTGACAATGCGGTTGCTGCGACAAATCGAAATCGATAGGTCTTCCCTGGATCAATCTCAATAACGCTAAGAGTTGCAGAAGACGGATCAACGATGCCATAATTGCTTATGCCTTTCCCATTGATCAACCATCCGTTGGGCTCCCCAGTCCAGACGAGAGGATTAGACTCCAACCCTTTAACAACCTGTTTATCTGTTTGGTTCCAAAATTCTTGAAGGAAAACGATTCTCTCGCCGTCTGTCTTGTAGGGCGGTGACTGAGGGTCCTGTACGATAATGGCTCCCGTCGCAGTGCTTGGTTGAAAACCGACGTGTGAATGGTAAAAATAGGTACCGGCTGATCCATTTGGAGCTTTGAGTTCATAGTCAAAGAAGTGTAGAGGCGGGATGGGCCACTGGCTAGCAAGCGGCGTTCCATCAGAGAATGGGTAAGTTGCTTGAGAGAGTCCATGCCAGTGCTGATATCAATTAGAATTAGTCAAAATTAGTATGATAGAAACGTTGCTCACGATGGTAAGATTTTCGTCTTTCATATCATTGTAAACTCGGATCCAAAAAACTTTGTCCTCAGGGAGATGGAGTGTTGGACCTGGGACAGATCCATTCACGAGGGTTGAGTATCGTTCCAGGCCTCCGATTCCTATGTTTCCTTGAGTGACAGTGAGCACTGCATCTGGTACAAAAGAATCATCGTGGGTATGCGTCTGTAGCGACACTGCGCACGCAGCGAACGAAATCAAAGAGAGTCCTTTCGGTATCCAAGCCATGGCTTAGTGTAAACAACAAGATATAATGCTTCAAGGCTAAAGATTCTTTTCATTCTGGATTCTCCTCTATCGTTATATACCAGAAAATGGACCCCATCAGCTTCATTCATTGCGCCTATTGTAAGCTGGACACATTCATGGCATGAAGGATCGCGATCAGCCTTCTCAAAATGCCGAACCGAGAAGCCCGATAGTTACTATTCTTCCTGATTGCCCGACTATTGGTTCACGTTTCGCTTGATCGACCAAGAAAGCTACAAGTCACAAAACATTTACCGCGAATCCTTTGACGCTTAATTAGTCAATCTCCTAAACTGCGACGGGGTTACTGGTCATATCAGCGCTACGTAAATCCGAGACTCGGTAAATTACATGGCTCTCCACAGCACGTTATCAAGCAACTGCTATTGCACCTAAAATATACGATCTTCAAATGGATCCTGAGAATACGTGTATTGGCATTTGAGTACTAGAACTATAAAAGTAAGTTTATGTAAGATTGACTTTTGCTAACCCATGTGGCGGGCTTCTCTAATATCGGGCTTTTGCTATACACAGCCCAACCTATATTTAGAACGGATTTAAAGCCTGCGAAACTGACATGATCTACCTTTTGAAATGCTCAAGCAAGAAACGGTAAGCGTACTACTTCTCCTACACACTGAAGTGTTTGAGATGTGCTCTGTCATACTGAAGCTTTCTGTGCTTGTTTGTAGCGTTTGAGCTGTTATACTATTCAGATGCGCAGATACGCCAACTGTCTCGGTAAATTCCTCGCAGTGTGGCCCTCCGGAACCTTACGCGAATAGAGCGGTGGTGGCTCTTTTAATCCGGATGCCCTTGAGGATCGCTATTTTTTTAAGACTCTCTTCTATACATCAAGAACGTCGAGATCAGCTCTAGGACTGCCAACGCACTCCAAAGGATTGACTCCAAACGATTGTACAGTTGCCGCAAGACTGCAGTGTCTGTCCTACCTGATTGCCTCCACTTTGACGTAATCGGCCGCTCCACTAAGTCTCCTAGCCTCATGGACCGACTAAGCTGTTGCCCAAGATTCCTCCAGGAACAGCCACAAGAAGCTAAGTTTTTGAAGCAATGACTTAGATTGCCTGCGAGCTACCGCGATAGTACGATTGACCGCTCTGCAGCTAATTCGTCCGTGCTGTCACTACATCACGGACATCGCTGACATCACTGACATTGGGTGATGCATACACTTGCCTTCTCAGTGGCGGACTCAAATAATTCTAGACTTATAGAACAGATCGAACCCCATGATGTTATTGGGTTTCTTCGGATCTTCGGCGACCGAGGTCTTTGACATTGTATTCAACCAGGAGAGGGATCAAACGTGCTACCCTAAGTATGGGACCAAAATCTCTTTGAACCGGCACCTCTGTGGGAGTGTTCGCTCGCGGCCCTACACCTGTCTTCAACATACTATCAGAATCTCAAAGATTACCCACTCCGTGAGGAACAAACTTTTTAATCAATGCCTTGTAAGCAATGACTATATATTAGCCACTGAGATTCATTATTCGTCGTAATGAGCGTTCAAAGAAACAAACAGTAGTGTAAATTGAGTAACTACTGGAAACGGTATAGAAAGGCTTGTTGTTGTATAGCAAAATGTCGCAAGTGCAGAATTCGTTTGCAAGTTATTTGAACTATTTACTTCAAAAGTTTTCTGTGAAGTATAGAGGCATTATATCATTGATCCAAAGAAATCGGAACTACTAGCAGTGCTAAATGCTCCAAGTAGTCTAAAAAGGATTCAAAGTTACTTATGAACGTAAGCAGGTTGTGGAGCAAACATCTTATAGTGTAATGCTCAGCAACAATTCTAGCAGGACAAAACATCGCTCCTGAAGCACCGGTGTAATCTCTCGACCTGCACTTGTTGATGGAATCACGTGTGAGGTCAGCGATATCTGAGCCACCGATATAGGCAGCAACCAAAGAGAAGTGGTTACCGATCTCGAAGCAACATGTCCCAAACCAGGCGATAGTTCGCGAACCGGAAATAAAATAAAGATCCCATTCTTCGTCTCTTGACATAAGGACGTTATGCATATAAAAGCAATTGAGACTTAGCGGAGAACCACCGCTGGTACTGTATTTGAAGCTGCAGTCACCGCAGAAGCTTTGCGGGGTCTACCAGCAAGAATGCTTGCCTTCGAGTTCTTAAAAGACGTGCGTGAACATCTTGTGTTCTTTGGACCATATCTGGAGAGAGCCACATCGAAATCGGCCGATTCAAGAAGATCGATATCAAAGTCGAGACCAACAGACGCGGTGGCTTTATTGCTGATTTCTGGAGCGACCGTTGCGGTTATAGAGGCAACAAGCGGTAGCATGGTATTTGACCTATTGCTCACCAAACGCAGGGCCAGGAATAGCATGGCATACAAGTGTTAATGAAATTTTGGCCGATAGCTGACGATAAAGGACGGCAAGCAAGTACATCATCGAGGCATCGTTCTTGACGGATTTCTATAGAAGCGCATCAGCCGAACGCAGCAATCACACCAACCAATTGCAGACCCAAGGCAGAAACTCCTTGAAGACTGACAGTATCATCTGTTCATGGCATGTATCGTTGGAAATCAAACGCAAGCACCCCTGTATCTGCTGACTCAATTATACAAGATCTAGACTTACCGTTGTAGATGGTCCATAGAGTCATCACCACATTATGTGACGAAGATACAGTGGAACGTTTCACTCGTAGATACTCGTAGATACGCGCGTCATGCCACACTGTGAGACCGGCACTGTCCTATGGGTCTTTTCTGCGACGATACCCACAGTTTTCGCTGTGGCGTACATAAGGCGCGTCTTACACCAACAGGCGGGGCCGCCTCTCCTGTAGCTGTGGGCCTAGAACACTCGAGGCTGCTAAACGGTTCTAGTGGTTAAAGGCGGCGAACTGCATTCAATCTCTTCATCAATCTCAATATTGGAATAAGGGTCTTTGGTATACCGTTCAGCCAGCGGCTTAAATGCTGACTGTCTTGTAATTCTCTTGCCAGTACAAGGCCCCATAGTCAGTTGGACGATGCTATCAAATGTCTCTAAAGCCGGCCATTAATAGAACCGGCCGTCAACACACGCCAATCCTTGACTGAAGCGAAGAAACTTTCATCACTTCTCTGAAGCTCAAAAGTCATGAGTCAAGAAAAGCCTTTACAACAAGAGCTGGGTACTTCATCGCAGCTGGCTTCGACCCAGTTTTCGACCAACGACGCGATTGAATGGGCTCAGCATCCCTCCAATCCGTTCAATTGGTTGTTGTGGCAAAAATGGACAACCATGGGCATAGCATGCTGGGTCACATTCATCGTTGGACTTAATGCCACCTCCATCACGACAGCCTCAACTCCTATCTCATCAAAGTTTCACTTATCGAATAATGCTCTCGACGTCAGCTTTTTCTCTTCGACTGCATGGAATGCCGCAGCGGCCGTCGCTCCGTTAGTCACGCTGCCTTTGATGGATACATATGGAGTGAGGCTTGCATATGTGGTAAGTGACCCTGCCTGTTTGATGCTGTCTTTGCCGACTTATGCTTATAATTGTTCATACTTTAGACCTACTTCATTTTATTCTGCATCTTCCTCATACCACAAGCTTTAGCCGAAAATTTTGCGACCCTTGTGGTCTGTCGCGTGTTTGCTGGCATTTTTGGCGGTACTGTGCAGAACGCAGCTGATGGCATTGCTGCCAACATGTTTCCATCTCACTCCGAGCGCGCGTTGCCCTTGACTGTGTACGTACTTTCGCTTCTTCTGGGTGTTACAATGGGCCCTGTGTTGGGCGCCGTCGAGGAGCCTTTGGGATGGCGTTGGTGAGTTGAGTTCAAAGGCCATGACGTTGGAATGTTTTATTGATTGCTGGTAGGATCATCTGGATTCAACTCATCATCTGTGGCGCCTCTATTCCTCTTGTCATCGTATTTATGAGAGAGAGCAGAGGTTCCGTTATCCGTAGCCGTCTCTATAAAGCTGGCATAGTGGCTGATCAAGATGAGATGGAAGAATCTCCGGCGAGCATTCTCACGGAAACCATTTTCCGCAGCGCTGTGCTTCTAACTACGGAGCCGACTATCATATCCATGACCACCTGGTCTTCATTCACATTCGGTCTTATTTTTATTTCGACTCAGTCGGTACCGCTTGTCTTCACAGATGTTTATGGCTGGTCCGACGCCAGCGGTGGTATTGTGCAAGTCAGCATTGGAATAGGGCAGCTCTTAGGGTTCGCAGCCTGTTTGCTACAGAATAAGGTCTACACTCGTAGTGCAGCATCCAACAAGGAAGCATTGGGAGCGCCATTTCCCGAATCTATCTTGTACCTTTCAATCCCAAGCACGGCTATTGCTCTGGCCGGTGGGCTTTTTATGTACGGTTGGGGCATTTTTCAGTCCCACTGGATTGTCCCGGCAATAGGATTGGGTCTTACTGGATTTGCAATCATCACAGTAGTGCACGCTGTTACCATATACGTTACCGATGAGTACGCGGCTTGCGCAGCAAGCGCCATCGCAGCCGTGGCATTTGGGGAAAACCTCTTTGCGGCATTTCTCCCTCTGGCTGCGAAGCCGATGTACTTACATTTAGGTTTCCAGTGGGCAAGCACACTACTAGCATTTGTCGCTTTGCTGTTGACGTTGGCGCCTGTCATAATTGTATATAGAAGACGTGGTGTTGGGCACAAGCCCATTATGGTCAGCACACAACTTGATATGCGGCCTGAGATTTAATAGAACAACTGGCGCGATTCTAATATCTCTATTGCAAGAGAGAGGCTAACTGAGTGATGGATAGAAGTACAAGCAGCAGGAGCTCTGCCGACTTTCTCAGCCAGCTGATGTTCTCTCAAAAATGCAAAACCACATTTATATATAAGTAGGATAGTAATTATAGATGAAGTGCTGCTCATAAATGTCAAAATGATCACCGCAGAGACGTTAGCTGCTATGCCGTGTCTTCTCCGAATGGAGGCTTCTTATTTGCCACTTATCCTGACCGCAGTTTGCAATTCGTAGGAACACTTACTCCACCACAAGATTGTTTTTCTAGAAACATAGTCACTTCCTTATATGATATCAGGAGGACTTAATACATAATTGCATTAATTGATTATCGTTTGTCAACTGCTTGCACTCCTTGTTTTCAATGTTCCCTTTTCCTGCCTTGCAGGCAGCGCAGCAGTTATGGATAGCGGGCTTACCTGATCAAGTGGGTCCTGGTGGCTTTACCAAGCGTCCATCGTTTCCTAGATTTTGGCACTTGAGTTTCCAATTCCTTTGCATCATGCAAGTAGCATCGGATGAATACCAATCTACACAGTAATTTGACGATCCATTTTATCAGTTTGATCCCATCCATGTGAAATGGCAGGTTCTGAGAGCGAATTTGTCCAGCCTCGCCACGATACAGACCTTGACACTCTTCTACTCTCGGGGCATCAGGATCAACCGCCACTCCAAGAAGACGTCACACAGCGCAGCATTTCGACTCAAGTTCCAAGCACGCATTTTTCGGAGCAACCTTGGGATGCAGTAACTACACCTCGTCTACAACTTCAAGATTGCCTCGATAATGAATTTTGGGACTCTCAAAATACGGCATCAGCGGCACCATGTGCATCTCGCACTGTAGCTCCAATGGATGCTAGTTTTCGCGTGCTTGATCTGCCATCAAGTCAGAGCGGTCCAGTCGCAGGCAATGAAGATGTTTCTCAAGAGAATTTCACGCCTCTTTTACATGAATCCTTTACGACGCCACCGCTGCTGCCCAATGCGAGTTGGGAATCGGGTATCCAATCTGCAGGGTCTGACTTTGGCCATTCTACTCTGAATGCGAATCCTCCAAAGATAGGCACACGCTTTTCTCGGGAATCATCCAGAATATTGACAAAGTGGTTTGAAAATAACTACAATTATCCGTATCCAAGCAAAGAAGAAACAGAAACACTACAGGATCAGACCGGCCTGTCTAAAACGCAGATCAAGAACTGGCTCGCCAATACCAGGCGGCGAGAAAAGATGCACCAGAGCATACAGTCCTCGCGGAAGGCAACACCTGTATTCCATTCCAATAAAGAGCCCATAGATATTCCAAGACGACCAGATACGCCTACAGTCCGGACAAAGAATGATCACCAGGCCATGGGCCCTCTTGAACGCTGGGTCGACTCACCTCCAGAGAGTGAGCCTGCAACGGTCACTGCTATTGCCAAAGCAATCCAGCGTGCTACGTCGGCACGAAGTAAGTCACTGAACGGGTTCATAGACCGATATAACAAACAAGAATGGACACTGACATGAGTACCAAGGTGAGCCATTGTCGAAAGCTATGGACGATGGATCCGGCCACTCTATCAACGAATCGTCAGACAATAGCTATGGGACATCCAGTGGGAGCTCACTCACCTCAATATACTCATATGGCTCCAGTGGCTCTTTCACGGGGGTGCCAGCTCCAATGCGTAGCAAGTCGCGACGTCGAAAGCGGAGGCTGCTTCCAAGACCGAGGAGGTCTCTGATGGGCAATAAGCAGCACCCATTCCAATGCACATTCTGCGCGGAATCGTTCAAAACTAAATACGACTGGCAGCGACATGAAAAGACTCTTCACATACCTCTTGAACGGTGGATGTGCTCTCCAGACGGACCACGGGCCATCAATGGCGAAACTGGCCAACTGGTTTGTGTCTTTTGTGGTAAACCGGAGCCATCCGATGGCCATATCAATAGTCACAACCCAAATTCTTGCCAAGAACGAATCTTTAATAGAAAGGACCATCTTAAGCAACATTTACACCTGGTACACAAATCGAAACTAGTGGATGCGGTTACAGAAGGCTGGAAAAAGTCGACTACCATAATTCGATCACGGTGTGGGTTTTGTGGAACCTATCTGGACTCGTGGAATGACCGAGTTGAGCATTTAGCTGACCATTTCAAAATGGGCAAAACTATGGCTAATTGGACTGGTGATTGGGGCTTCGAAGATGCCATTATAGGTACACTCGAAAACGCCCTTCCACCATGTAGGACATCTTCGCATATTCTCCCAAACCTTGGAATAAGCTAATTGCCACATAGATCTTCTCGGTGAAGAAAGAAGCAGCCCGTTTCCATTCGAAGCAAGCGATATATCACCGGAGTCCCCTCGTTCAGCTTACGAACTACTCGTCGTCGAGCTCTCATGCTTTGTCGAAGCTTATCAAGACAGAACTGGGCTGATTCCTGGTAATGACGCAATGCAGCTTGAAGCCTGTCGCATCATCTTCGCCTCCGAGATATCGTCGCTGGAAGTAGACCCACAGCCTTCATGGCTGCGTGACTTAGTCTTGTCAAACGAGATTATTACTACTCAAGCGCAATTTCTTCCTATACGAACACCATCTGAGGGAAGGCTTCGAACACTCGAGATTAGAGGAAAGAAAACGTTATTCGAAGAATGTCCCCTTGAGGCGCAACTTCATACTTTCGTCCTTGCAGAGGCTTTGGTCAATCAGACAACAATCTCCGATGCTCGTTTACAGATTGAGACTCGTAAAATAGTCACACAAATGCAACAGAGCTTACAGCTGTCCTTGTCTGATTTGGTGTACACGTGGTTTATGGCGTTGATACAATCGTCCTCGACTGATTGGCTCAATCACTTTAGACAACGCGCGAATCTTCCTGCCACTCAACCTAGTATCTCATCTATATCCTCGACTTTGATCGGCCACTCGACTCTATGGACTACATCTGGCACAATTCTAGACTCACCATTTATTGATACTACGCAGTTTGACACTCTCATGATACATAATGAAGAGACTATCCATGAGGGCAGTCAAAATAAGAAAGCTTTGCTTGGGGAGTCAAGCACTTGGCCTGCAAATTCTGGTACTAGCACGCTTTCATCATCACAGCAACCCTTTCCACCTCGAGCCCCGACATTGGGCCAAGAAATCTTCACTCACGGGCCGATAAACTTTGAAACAGCGGTCAGCTCTGGTTCAGAGGCGAGCAAAAGCACATTTCCTCCAAACCAAGTGGATGCTGGCTCACAGACTCAAAACGCTGGTGTTCATATGGGAGCCTATAGGCTCCATGATCCCAATTTCTACAACTGGCTGGGTCGGGAGCTGGGACGCTGGGTTACGTCTACCATGTCTCCAAATAACCCAAATTGCCATATACCATCCGACAAGGAGATACAGCATCATGCTCGCTTTTTGATGTATGACGAGTAAGTAGCTATCCTATTCCATAGTTCTTCTGCCGTACTAATTGACTTCCAGCGATGATCCGTGGAATCAGACAGTTGCTGATAATGCAGAGTGGTTGCACCGGTTCAAGACCGGTGTTGGCATTGTGACAGAATGAAAATTGAGGGTGGCAATAATGTCGCTTGGAGATAAACAGAGGTTACTGCTACATCAACTCGGTTGCTGATAACAGCGACTCACTTTTTTCACCTCGTATATGCGCCTGTCAAGTTATATCGAAGACATTATATGTTTGGAGTCTCCTACGATACTTACGAGGCCGGCAGCGGATTTAGATGCAGTAAACCAGGATATCTTGGAAGATTCTAGAGTCTTTATTATACTTGCTAGCTAATTCAACAGTTTCATAAACCGGGCCGAGGCCTAGCTAGGTTGCCAACCTACTAAGCTTCTAGCAAAGCTACAATACTAAAGTATCTTACAATGCATTTTCTCTATGCAACACTACAACAGGCATTTTCAACGATTGAGCATTGCTTCTGATGAAGCCAATCTCGTTCCTACTGCATGCCAAAGCCAAGAGGGTCCTCCCCTCTTTTCTCTCTCCACCTGTTCGTTACCAAAAGTACATCATCACAGCCTCTGAACACCCATTGCCATTTGCTCCAAAATCCTTCCGATAGCTCCCACCCGCTGACATCCCAGGGCGGCCACCAGGCAATCACTCCGCGACGCTCCACTTCGGAATGAGGGAATCCATCAAATAGACCACCAATTGTGTCGGCCCACAGCTCGTCCTCATCGAACTGCCCGATCGCGAGCAGCAGGTTGTCGCGCCACACGGGATGCGGGATGATGTCGACCCATCCCTCATGCGAGATCGTCTGTTGGAGAATCGTGGGCCGCAATGTCTCGGGGACGGTGTCGCCGTCTGGAAGAGGCCAGGGGAGCACATGGAGCGCTGTGGAGGAACATTCGTTCCGGGGATCGGGGAGTAGGCGTGAGACGAGCTGGCGGTTGGTGATGCAGGCTCTGAGAACGTTGTACTGAAGGAGGGTGATGAGATGGTCGGGGCAAAGTGGAAAGTATATGGGTTTTACAGAAGATCGTTTCGACAAGAGGTCATTGTGCTCATGTGGTATAAGTGGTTGTCTCATGACCTCGAGTGTTGAAGATGGAGCAAAGAAGACAGTCTGCTGACTCTCGGACCAGTAAGGCATGCCTTGTCCTGTCGACGCAATGCACGATGTATCATTACCATCATGTTGCTTGCCTTCAAGCAGGAGCTCCCGGGCTTTCCGTCGTCCTGAAACAATGTCAGGTGTGCGGCGCGGTGCAGAGCTGGAAATGGCTGGGTCCTGTGTGCAACTTACTGTACGCTCTCATGTTCAGACGATTCTGGCGCCGTTTCCGAGCTGCGGCGTCCGTGAGGCCAGTCCAATCGTCGTCTTTCACCACAGCCTACGATCCAGTCAGCAAGCCGGGCGACCAACAAGGATGCTCCTTTGCTCAAAATGTACCCACCTCTGTTAACTGCTGCATGGGCGTGAGCTGGATTGCACCAGTGGGCAGTACTGGGGGCTTCATCTGCATTGCATCCATGGGGGGGGAACAATCTTGTGTAGAATGAAGTAGTGTTGTAATCGGCAATGAACTTCATTCTGGTTCTGAAAGCTCAGGCCGAGGACTAACTGACAGTTACCTACCTGTGCCGGGGTAGGACAACCTTGGAAGCGTATTGGCGCATGGCCCATCTCCTAACCTAACTTGGGCTGGGCTCATGCACCTGGCTTACAGTACAGCCACAGAACTAGCCAGTGGAGTTTCCCCATATATGAAGCTAGCATCATACCATTCCAGCAGCGTTGTTAGATTGAGAGCACTTTATAGGGAAATCTACTACCTAGTTTTGCGAGGTCATATGGTATATCCCAGATTCAGAAGGAGATGATATGTAACTTAGGGGTAAGTATGGGCTGCGGCTAGTTGTTTCACTCGTTAGAATGTTGATGTTAAAGCACGCCTTGCTAGTACAAAAGACGAGAGAAATGTCGACCTTGAGAGCCCGCCTGGTTGACAGCTGTTATCTTACAACATTCTTTTTGTGCTCAATTTTGGAAATCACTGTACAAACGCCATGACGTTTCATCCCGATTCTTTGCCCGATCTCACTGGCACAACGTATGTTGTGACCGGCGGAAACTCTGGCATGTTCGTTCTTCCCGTCCCTTTCTAAATTGTTTCTCGCCGTGTACCCAGTTGGTTTATTAATATTAGGAACAGAGGTTACGGAACCGTCGCCCGTCTCGCACAGCATGGTGCTCACGTCTACCTTTGTGCTCGCTCCATCAGTAGGGCATCCGATGCCACTGCTCGAATCAAGAGTCTCTACCCACATGCGAATATAACGCTACTCGAGATGGATCACTTATCTTTGCATACGGTTGTCTCTGCAGCCAAATTTGTGCTCTCCAAGGAGAATGCGCTCCACGGACTTATCAACAACGCTGGCATCATGGCGACTCCGTTTGGTATATCTGGCGATGGACATGAGGAGCAATGGCAGACCAACTACCTTGCTCATTGGGTCTTCACCTCTCACTTACTCCCCTTGCTGTTGAAGACTTCACAAGGACTCCCCCCAGGTAGTGTTCGCGTTGTCAACTTGTCCTCATCCGGCCACTACTATGCACCCAATGGCGGGATCAACTTTGACAGCACATCACTGCAGCATGAGAGCGGTATGGCTCGCTACGGTCAATCTAAGCTGGGCAACATTCTCCACGCAAAAATGCTCAACAAATGCTACGGGCCTGGCTCGCAGCATGCTGAGGCTGGCAAGGGCGAGATATGGACGGCTATTGTGCATCCCGGTCTGGTCGAAAGTCAGCTAGGTGCGAAAGCAGAGATTGCTAAGCCATTGAGAATGATATTCGCAATATTTGGTTTCATGGGTGCGCGATTTGACAACGACAAAGGAGCGTGGACCAGCTTGTTCTGTGCTGCCAGTCCACAAATGAAAGCTAACCAAAGCGGCACGTATTTTCAAAGGATTGCAGAAGCTGGCCGGGAGAGTGTTATAGCAAAAGATATGAAACTAGCTGAGAGGCTTGATCAATGGACAAAGGAGATTATGAAAAAGGAGGGATGGATTGAATAAGGAACTAACTATACTATTATAACTATAAGATATTATTCTTATATTCTTTCCATACTATATTAGCTTAATTAATTACTAAGGTATTACTATCTAATACCCGTTTATTTATTTATTTATTTATTATTGATTACCCAGACAAAAGCTATTTTACAACAGTAAATGCTAATTAGTTTCTATGTTATTTACATCACTTCGCTTTTTACTATTAGTCGAATACTAAGTCTGGGCTTACTATTTGAATCCCAATACAAGGTAAAATGGTCAGCCGGAGCTAACTCGATCTAATATAATATTATAGATAAAAAAAATTATTATTTATAATGCGCCAGGTAGTAAATACTGAAATTCTTTTACCGAAAATTAGCCTACAGCTTCTAGGTTCATCGCATCGCTGCCTTATGCAATCTGCGCAGTTTTTTGTACAGCGCCTTCGCCTCGCCAATTTAGCAATGGATTCGAAAGTCTTCTCCCATGTCCCGCTTTCCACCGATGGCCACTATATTAGGCTTGTCAAGATCAAAAATTTCGAAGACCATGGAGCAAAGGAACTTATGTTGGATCTAGCCGTCCAACAATTCACAGACGATATTGCATACAACGCGGTGTCATACGAGTGGGGTAATGCTGAGGCGGCAGCTCAAATCCAAATTAACAACGAAGACGTTTCAATTCGCCAAAATCTCTACGACTTTCTCCAAATACTCTCTCAGTCTGCTTATAAAGATGAGTGGCTGTTTGTAGATGCCATATGCATCGATCAAGGCAATATCCTCGAGCGAAATGCCCAGGTTCAGCGTATGGGAGATATCTACCGACAGGCCCGGGTAGTGCTCGTCTGGCTGGGGCCAGCCACGCCAGAGAGCGATGTCATCTTCGACATGTGCGAGACACATGCTGTATCTGCCGAAGATGATGCTTTAGCAGCAATCAGCTGGGAAGAGGAGGTCGGCGACGCGCTAGACACAATCTATCAACGAAGCTACTGGACTCGACTTTGGATCATTCAAGAGCTGTTACTCGCGAGGTCAATAGTCTTCTTCTGTGGTCCAAAACTTACTACTTGGTCGGTGTTCAGGCGTCTCCCGAGATCGGTCAAGGGTATATTCTACGAAGGGGGCTTGACAGGCGGGGATATCAAACTCGGGAGCACGCCTCGAGGACGCCACGCCCGGTCTTTACTGAGTGCACTAGAACGGCGGAGTTCCAAAGAAGATCAAACAGAGCAACAGCTTTACAAGCTAGTTGTTGATTTTGGAAAGGCACAATGTCTTGACAACCGAGACCGTGTGTTTGGTTTGCTAGGCCTCGCAGGTCAAAACTCCACCGAGAGACAGTCACTCGATGTGCTTGCCGACTATTCGGCAGAGCCTTGTGAACTCTTTGTGCGTCTACTAAGCAATATGCCTCGAGAGCTCAATATCTATGCCGCTCGAGATATTTTTGACATATTGCAGCTTCATACAAATCTATCGGCATTCACTGAAGATGGTCAAATCGTGAAGAAAATCTTGACATCTATCTCAGAACTGACCTTCGAAGTCGACTTTATCCATCTGGGACATCTCAAGCATGTGTCAGCCTCAACATGCGATTGGTGTGAGATGTGGAAAGAGCGCAAAGAAGCAAGAGAAAAAGACGCTGAAGCTTTTTTATATCAGGGCTACGCGCTTCACGAGATTCAAGCCGGTAAATCTCAGACTTCGTGGGCAGCACACAATGTTGGTCCTTATCATGCGGTGTGGCCCAATGACTGCTGTGTCGTGAACAAAGATACTAGCGTTTGTGAAGGTGACGACGTGTTTGTGCTTATGGGTACAAATCTGGTTATTATTCAGCATATCGAGAGCAAAGATGATTTGTCGGGTGAAGCGGAGGTCAGATTTGAATTGGGCTACATGGCGCATACTAGAGAGTTTGACAGCATGATTGCAGCTTCACAGAACCTCGCAAGATACCTATCTAGGCTACCGAAGAGGGTTGTGGACCTCGGTTGGCTTACTAACGAATCGGGCACGAAGCTGGAAAAAAAGATAACGCAGCAATACACATTGACAGATGTCGTGTTAATTGTCGCGCATGCAGCTACTCACAGCAGCCACTGGAGTCAAGATCTTTAGGATTCTGCCATATGTTCTATAGAGAATTAATCCTATACACGACCAATATGCCTGAAAACAAGCCATTGAGTATCTCAGTTGGACGCATACTCAGTAGAGGAACGGGACGGAAATTAGACTGGGTGCTTGTTACAAGACCTAGAGCGGGAGCCACACGACTTGCTTTTAAACATGTATGACATATGTTCATAGTTATAGTACAAGCTAAATAGCCAATTAAATCACATTCAGAAGATACTTCATAAAATGATGACAAGCCAGCTGTTTAAGATGCGGCAATAAGTCTATAGTATACTTCAAATGCGAGAAGTGGTCAGCCATACTTGTAGCTTTGTTAGCGGCGTAGGAGGTCGCTGAGCTCTTTGGTTTCCTTACGTATTCATTATCATTGTACAATCAATTTAGAATCCGTTTAGTGTCATACTAAGCAGTCAGACAATCCATCTAATTGATCATATTTGAAAGAGTGCATGCGGAAGATACCGAGGCTGTGACGTTAGTGCCGCTTACCATGGCTCGATGCCTGCCGAGCGCCGACCTCCGACCTCCCGAATACTCGGCGTGCTCTAATTGCGGGTGTTAAGATTCCATTGTTTAACCTTTTAAGCAATAGATCATTGATTATATATGTCCTCCATTACTGTTGCATATTCTGTTGTGTTCCATCATCACAGCCACTTCCATATTCATCGCTGTACAAAGTCCAAAATGCCTTACTACGAGGTTCACCACTCTTACCCGCTCACCAGCGAGCAGCAGCAGGAGATAGCTTCAGCCATCACCAATCTACATGCTACCACATTTACCACTCCATCCCTGTTTGTTCATGTTCAGTTCACCAAATCCGATGAAAGTGGCAGCACTGTTCATTTCATGGCCGGAACTCGCCGCTCTGCGCAAACAAATCGCATTGTCGGCGTCGTGCGCACCTCAGCCAAGCGAACGAAAGCAGACCTTGATCGACTCGCGCAGCGTATCGAAAATGCCTGGTACTCCGCTCTTGGTGTGAGTTTCGACGAATCTACCCAGCAGCTCCCACCCAGTGAAGAGGGAAAGAGACTTGCCTTGGTGGGATTCACACCATTGCTTCATGTCCGTGAGTGGGGCTTGGGAGCTCCTGAGGCTGGAAAGGAGGGCGAATGGATGAAGGAACTGCTTCCGTATATGCAGAGGATTGCTGAAGCTGGAAATAAGGATGTTGCCAGTATGTTGAAAGAGTTTGACGAGAGGGAGGACTTGAAGAAACTGCTCGAGTAATGGTGTTATGAACGTGTATGCAATACGAAACGGAATTCGTCCAGTATTTCTCTCTAGTACGACAGAAAACAGTAGTGTCTTGTTCGCTCATCTGTGAGTATCTATTTGCCTTTTGTTTAGAGTTCGTGGATGGTGTGGTACTGTAAGCTGCCAATTTCGGTGTGTAAACCATGTGTTGCTATTATTGAAGCTGGACGAAAGGTATCGCCCACGCTGTTGTTACTATTATACAACAGATAATAGAATGGAATAGCAAGATTTTGTTTTTACAGGAGATTGGGAAAAAAATTCTTTTATGAAAAACTTACATTGAGCGCCGTAGATACCGCTAGCTTGGTGAGCGGAGCGGAAGACGGTCACCAACATTCAAGCATCCATGTTTGTGGTGGCATAATGCCCGCTAGCATCGTCGCTAGCAGGTTGCCATTGAAGCAGTTGCCATTGAAGCAGCTTGGAACTTAACCATGAGGTGAGCTGGCACATAAATATTGTTAGAGAATTTTGACTCTCATCCCCCATCGGATAACAAGGCACACTACTTGGCCGTATCCTTGACGCTATGGAAGAACATCGTCGTCCGATACCCCGTTGAACGCTGGCAATACCTAGTCATCGCATGGGCTCCAGTTGGACATGTGGGGAGACCTCATCAAGGAAAGAAGCGGGGGCACCTGCAGCAGCTCAGGGATGATGGACTGGCGGTAGAAGATCGATATGACAAAGTTTAAAGAATACATCATGCTATGGCTTGAGCATCCTTGATGAGAGAGCTGCTGTGCCAACTGCTCTGTCCATCTGTACTTGCTAGTTTGGGGGTAATTGAAGATGACAAGCTTGAAACCCTCTAACATAGGCTAGATTAAAAAAAGAAGAAGAGTATCCAAGATGCTGCGCTATTGACCGCCCTTTGTGTTGTAAGCTCGAAACTACTCACAGAAAGAATATTTATCGCGTACAACATTAAGCCGCTGGACCCAATGAGCGACATACATGATATACGTCCTCGCGGGATTCTGTGATAATTGCTGCCTAATACTACATGATACCAGGATCATACGAAAACGCCACTGTCTTTAGCATGTCCTTGGTCTGAGATCGTGCTGAAGAGAAGCTCGTCCCAAGCAATGGTGCAGACTAGATCATAAATGCCGAATCGGCAGATCCGGGGTTGGGACCTGAAGCCACCGAAGCTGGCATCTGACACGCCCCACTGAGTCTAGGGCGACGTCCAGGGCTATACACTCGGCTGGAGCTGCACCGAGAGTGAACGCCGGGCCTGTCTCATGGTGAGAAGCGCGGAGTTGTTCAACTCCCGAGAGGCCTGAAGTAGCAAACTTTCAAGATCGAACAAGCGGCCAAATTGGCCGAAGGAATCAAGTGCATCCCACTAAACGTATGCTCAACTCCATCTTGCCCCTTGTCGGTCCGACTTCCTTGTAGTTTCGCTGGTTGTTTACCTTTTGTCTTCACAGTATGGCGAATTGCCTATATATAACACCATCGCCAAATGTTCTTCGGCAATCTTTATCAGCCAACAATCACAATGCTCTCCAACATTTTTAGGCTATCGGCCTTATTGGGCATTGCATCCACAGTTCATGCTGTGACCCTTACCGTATCTACTGCGCAAGGCAATGCAACTAGCCCTATTTTGTACGGCCTTCTCTATGAGGTTTGTTATAGAAGTGGCCGGCTAAACGACTTCAAACTGATTGCTTTTAGGATGTCTATCACTCTGGCGATGGAGGTCTATACTCAGAACTAATTCAGAATCGTGCCTTTCAAGGCGCTGATGTGTTCAATAACCAGGGCCCGTACCAGACTCTTCGGTATTGGCACACCAGGGGGTCGGATACTCTGACTCTCGATAATCAGGCGCCATTGTTAACCAGCGCTCTTCCCTGGCAGATGCGGGTAGATGTCGCTAATGGGGCAACTGGCGCAACCGGCTTCTGGAACGAAGGATACGGAGGCATGAATATAACAACCGCCACTCGCTATGCAGCCAATTTCTACCTCCGTGGCAATTACAAGGGGCAGATATTGGCCGCTTTCTGGAGCAATACAACAAACTCTATGCTTGGCAGCACCACCTTCCAAGTCGACCAAACAGAGGCCAATGGCTGGGTCCCTTATGCACAAACCTTTACTACGCAATTTTCTGCCCCGGATGAGAAGAATACATTCCACCTTACCTTTGATGGTGCTAGCACTGCGGGTCAAAGCCTCCGTTTCCAGATGATTAGTGTTTTTCAGCAGACGTACAAGAATTCACACAATGGACTTCGGATGGACCTCTCTGAGGCCCTCGCTGAACTAGGTGGCAAGTTTCTTCGATTTCCAGGAGGCAACAACCTCGAAGGAATCGCTTCTCCGTACAGGTGGAAATGGAATGAAACCATTGGGCCAATCATCAACCGCCCTGGACGTCCGGGAACATGGGGCTATGTCAATACTGATGGCCTCGGTCTTTTGGAAATGATGCAGGTTAGTTTCATTCAGGGCTTCAAAGGTAACCATCAATTTCTGACAAAAGGATCAATAGTGGTGCATTGACATGAATCTCGAACCGATATTGGCTGTTTGGGGCGGGTTATATCTGGATGGAGAGATTATCTCCGAAGCAGACATAGGAACTTATGTTGAAGATGTTCTCAACGAGCTAGAATTTCTTTTGGTATTTCTTATCTTCCTATATCTCCCAAATTTTATTTCTAACATACCTTAGGGTCCATCAACATCGCATTGGGGCAGTGTTAGAGCTTCGCTAGGTTACCCAAATCCGTTTACCATCAACTACATCGAGATTAGCAACGAAGACTTCCTCAACGGCGGCATTCCTAGCTATGTCGGTAAGTTCCCGCATTTGCACATTGGTATAGACTGTACGAGTAACCATCTTTAGGCTATCGCTTCAAGGTGTTTCACGACGCCATCAAAAATGCATACCCGAATATGAAGATTATTTCGTCCATTTGGTCTGGATACTTCACCAACCCTTCTATGCCCGCTGGCGTCATTCAGGATCTCCATGATTATCTCTCCGTGGACGATATGGTCAGCAAGTTTGGTGGCTACGACCATGCTCCCCGCAACCAGCCCGTCCTGGTGGGTGAATACGCTGCTATCTACGACGCCGACCACGTCAATCCGAACCAGCTAGACAACCCAACATTGCAGTCGGCAACATCTGAGGCTGTTTACTTTTTGGGCTTGGAGAGAAACTCGGATGTTGTTGTTGGAATATGCCATGGCGCACTGATTAAGAGTCTCCGTGATGAGCCAGACAACGTCGCCATCATCAAACACACTGCTAACGCTCTTGTCCGATCTATGAGCTACTACGTATCTAAGCTCTTCTTCACCAACATTGGCACAGAGACTGCTGCAGTCTCTGGGAATGTAGGGTATGGGCCACTGTACTGGTCTGCGACGAAAAATGATGCGGGGACATACTTTGTTAAGATTGTCAACTATAACGGTGCAGCTTCGACCCCAATCACAGTGGTCATTCCAGGCAAGACGGGAGTTGCGACTTTGAAGACTGTGACTGCTCCAGATAAATACAGTACCAATTCGCTTGGAAATACGCAGAGCGTCTGGACCGAGACGCAGATAACGGGATCTGGGGGACAGTATTCGTTTACCCTAACAGGAAACTATGTCAACGCTGTTTTAGTCGTGTAACCATTGGTCATTTAGTCATTAGGAGAGAATTGAGAGAGAGGCTACATATTTCTTCATAAAGAAGGTATAGAACAGAAACACTACAAAAAAGCTATTCAAGTATTAAGCAATGTTGTCGCAAATGGTTTATCCGCCCAATCAAGTCTTGTCCCTCGGCTATAGCAGTATGAGGCACAGTAGCCGCTACATTACAGCGTGTTTGGCACGTATTATATGATCAAAAAGAGGGGCAAACAACGAATGCAAACACTAGCTATTTACCCTAAAACATCGCTATTCATAGACGCTTCATCATACCATTTGTAGTCGGACCGATCTTATCATGGAGAGCTTAATTAGTGGTTGCTTACTCTAAAGGAATACTGTTGGCCTTGGAGAATCTCGCCCACAAAAGCGCCAATTAGGCTCGTGCTAACCAAACTTTTAACATTGCAACGTTGATCAAGCGTTGCCCCATCTCTGCCAAAAGTATACAAAGCTCTCAGTAACAATGCTTATATAGGAACATCAAATCGGGAAAAATTACTTTTGAAGGTTCCAATGTGGGTGATGATCGCACAAGCACGAAAAAGCTATACGAGCTTGCTCAACTGAGAATGATGATCAAGGATATCTTGCCTGGAGTTCTTCAAGCTTTAACGCCGCGAGTAGGGAAGCACTAGTGCGCCCTGTCTATGTGGATCACATAATTGTGTATATATAGATGGTCCTGTCATCGACTTCTCATTTAGATAACCCAGACTTCTAATTGGTACTGTTGCTCTTAGAATCATTTTGACAATCCCTCCTCACGAAATGTTGCCCAAAACACCAGATCTACCGAATGCGACCTTCTCTGAAGTCACTCGAATCAATGGTATCAACCTTTGGTACGCTTTATTCGGGCCCCCGATAGGCTGCGGCCAAATCCCCGTGGTCTTCCTGCATGGGGGCAAGATCAATTCCAACTGGTGGGGCCTCCAGATCAAGCATGTTGTTGATAAAGGATATCCTGTCATTGCACTCGATACACGAGGGCATGGTCGCTCCAGTGACGATGATGCAGTATCATTCTCATATGACTTGTTTGCAGACGATACGGCAGCTTTACTAGCATATCTCAAGGTGCCCAAGGCTTCCGTTGCCGGTTGGTCAGACGGCGCCAACACCGCTCTGTCTTTGGCCATGCGCTATGGCGATAAACTAGACCGCGCATTGATATTTGGTGCCAATTACCAACCCGATCAAGTTGATATTGAGGGCATGCTTGCCATACCTTTTCTGGGCGATGTGAAAAGCAGGATGAGGTCGGAGTATGAAGCTCTATCTCCGCATCCGGACAATTTCGAAAGATTTATGGCAAAGATGGGCTTGATGCAAGGCGCGCTTCCAAACTGGAATGAGGAATCTTTTGCGCAAATAAAGACTCGACTGGAAGATCCTATTCATGCACCTATCATGTGGATTGTAGATGGAGCTTCGGAAGAAATCATTCCCCGGAGGGTTTTCCGCGAAATAAAAGACATGATCCCAGGGTCTAGTCAAATTGTGGTTCAAGTTGGACATTTCGGCCCGCTTCAAAATCCAGATAGTTTCAATAATCTTCTTGACTGTTGGCTAGGAGAATCTCGATAATTCGTCTAATATGCAAGGAATATTTTTTTTCGGTTTATACGGAGCATAAGTCAAGATACCTGGCGTATTGTAGAGAAAGGCATTGGTATAACATATGCCAATGGAACAAAGACTTATAGCTATAAATCAAAGTAAATAAACACCTTATTTGTAATACTTTCCAATTTGTCTAACGTCCTCTGCTAGCGCAGCTACATTATCCAACGCTGGAAAATGACCGCCAAAATCAACAGCTATTGAAATATTAGTAAACTTCATAAGCAATAGTATAGATGTGTCCTTTACTTACAATTGTAATAGACTAAGTTGCCAACAGATGCAACGACTTGTTTAGGCCAATACTGAATGTTGTACGGAAAGTCTGTAAAGAGCAGCGGACTGCTAGTCTTTGCCTTGCGGTACGGGTAGGCACTTGAAAGGATCGTAGGATTTTGTTCGTAAATATAGGATGCTGTAATGAATGTCTTTGAAAGATAGTACAATGAAGTATGTTTCAAAATTTCATTGTTTGTTAGCGTTGAAGGGCCGGTTCCTCGCCTAGGATCAGACCCTAAATGATCATTAGCCAGCATAACATCAATAAGTCAAGAATTTACTTACAAAGAATGAACTTCTCAGCTAACCAAGATAACTGCCCGATAGGATTATCATATAATGCAAGACCAAGAGTATTAGGCTAAGCGAATATTAGTTTCAACGCTCCTTCATTGATAATGGTGATGTAAATCTTACTCGTGTCGCCATCTCAGCAAAATATATAGCACCCTTGGCTTGGAAGTCCATTGCCCTTTTCTCTTCCGCCACTGCGCTCGAAGGAAGAACAAAGCTCTCTGCTGCAAGTTGTGCTGGTGTTAGACTTTTGAAAGGTAGGAAGTTCAAGTGTGCTGCTTTGACGGTTGCATTAAATGAATCATACATGTCGAATGAGACGCCGCTACCCCAGTCGGTTCCGTGTAGCGCATATGTTTTATAGCCAAGCACCTGAGTCATTAGATTATTGAAGAGCGTAGAGATATCGGCTATTGTCCAGTCTTTAGGAGTAGGAGAAGAGAATCCAAAACCGGGCAAAGACGGCACGACAACGTGGAAAGATTGGCTGGAATTACTGAGCATGAGCTGATCAAGTAATGGAGTCAGCTCTAAGAAAGAGCCCGGCCATCCATGCAAGAGGATTATGGGAATAGCGTTAGGGTATGATGACTTTTGGTGTATAAAGTGCACAGTTTGTGTTCCTATTTTTGAAAGGAAGTGATCATATCTACCCTGCGTTAGTTTGAATCCGTAAAACTCACTGAGACTTTTATATACTTATTTATGGCATCTTCCTCAGCTGTCCAGTTGAATCCGTTAATCCACTCGTTTTGAAGACTGGCCAGTGTAGTCAACGGTAACCCTGTCGTTTCAGTCATATTATAGCTGTTTACAGCAGCTGGGTCCTCTGTTGTTGGAAGAGTTGTTTTTTGTATGAGGTCAAGCATATGAGGTACTCCCGACGATAGATCAACTTTGAATGAGGTAGGAGCTAATGAGGCGACTGCGACTGCATTCGACACTGCCGCCAGGCACAGACTCAAAATTAACAGCGAACGCATTTTGGAGACTTCCACGACAAGAAGATGATAAAGGCCAATATACATTTGTAAAAAATAAGTATCTTTAAGTCTACTGAAGAATAAGCACGGTAGCCATTGAATATAGCTGGAGTTATATATGGAACATTCCGACCCACATACTATATGTGCATTCCCTATACTCGGCAATTTAACCCCCGGATGCTACATCCCTTAAAGCTATCACAATTCGGGCAATTTGATTGCACTGTTGGTTATGATTGCAGCCCACAGTAAGCTGCAAACGAAATATCTCTTACCTTAACGCTGAGCATTATTTACGGCTCGATATTGCGTTACTCCCTGGCGTTGCTCAAGGTCAGATGTTTCTGCCTAAGGTCGGATGCTACCTCATCCATACCACACGAAAATGCCCCATACATCACGATGCCTCTGTTTCTATGAAGACTTTCGAATTAAAGCAATATTTTACCTAACAAAATTACCAACCAAGGAATGAATATTGCAAAGAATATACCCCGTGCCCGAAAAATCAGCTACAAATACTACATCGTGTATTGCAGCTGAGTCAGAGTAAACCAGCAAAATTTGGCTATCAGTGGAGTGTGATGGATAAGCGCCAAGATTCCTGATTCAATCAGTGGTTTTTGGTATTTCGTTTTGTCATCATTACTATCTTCGTGTTACGCTGATAGGCATTTGTTACTATTTGGCAAGCCTTGTAAGTTAAAAAGGACTTGTTAAGAGGATAACTGTCTGGCGTTGAGTTATAGTTTAGTTTGATGATCTTACGGCATGGGCAGCTGCTTTAGTCAACCGGCCAAAGGCATGATCGGCAGGTACAAAGCGGTAAGGGCTTGAGGCTTTCTCGCATGAGCCATCTTGCGCCTGTGGAATAAGTGAGTGGCGAGTCTATCGGCAATATATTCACCCAGACATTAATAAGCTATCTAAGCACTGCAGCACTTCGTCCCCTGCGAAACGGTCTGCTCCACAGTCACCGAGACAGCTGACATTCCCCTCGGTCCTTTTTTACTTACAGCCTGGCACCTGGCATCTCGCGATAGTAATGACTACCTTCGGCTTTTTGTCGATCATTTCCTTGCCTTTCACAAGCCATGGGCAGCTCGGCCTTTGGCCATATTGTCCTGAATCTTTTTAACCGAATCTTTCTTTTCCATCGCTTGAATCCATGCGGCGTATGCTGTATACTTGTCGATTTCCGAATCTCTGCCAAGCTCTTTGAGCAATCCTTTGCCTACCGAAGCCCACGTTATAAACGAGAGGTCGGCATATGTAAGACTGTTTCCGACAAGCCATCCCGTCCCATTTCTCTCTAAGGCACGGTCCAAGACCTCCGTTACTCGAAGTATCTCGCCGACGTAGCGGTCAACAGCTGATTGAAGCTTCTCAGCGTGGAAACGAGCAAACCAAGTAGCTTGGCCGAAGTAGGGTCCCTGGCCTTTGCGCGTTTTAGACAAGGATCAGTCATCGTATAACAAGATAGATTCCGGCTATTTAGTATACGTACCAGATATCTGAAATGCCAGCCATTGCTGTGCTAAGTGTTTTTCGGGCGCGCTTTTGGACGAGATTTTACCATCATTGTCATACTGTTCCACCAGATATAAAATGATGGCACCCGACTTTGCGTATTTATTAGTCTCTTGATTGCTATGCCATGATTCAAGGGATTGAAATGAATCAAAACTCACTTCCCATAGAGTGATACCGGTATTCGGATCTTTGATCGTAGGCAAGCGTCCGTTGGGGTTTAGTTTGACATAATGCTCTTCTTTCACTTGAGAAAATTCCAGCTGGTGTATTACATACGGCAGCTTAAGTTCCTCAAGAATAATACATACTTTCCTGTTAGATATAGTAAGCACTTTGTTTCGAAAGGCTCTCTCGTTGTTCATAAAAGCTTACCATGGATTCGGTGCGCCCCAATGCCCCCAGAGTTCGATGGGTTGTAGAGCCATGATCAGCTAAGTACACAAAGTAGGAGTCTATACCAGTGGGAAACACTCAAGTTAGAATGAAAAATGTGTTAATATATGGTGAATCATAAAGCAATTTTTTGGAAGTTGGGCCATAACTGTCCTTATATATTTGTCCAGCTGGAGATCAGGAGCGATTACCACCGCAGCAAACTCCTAACGCCGTAAACGATCCAGGGTCCGTCAAAAAGCTGCCTAGAGTGTGTCATAATCTGACAATATCCTCCAAATAAAAAAGCGAGACTTCATGATGAAAATGTCTCAAGCCAAGTGGCTTGCGAGAATTCTAGCGCTGCATCTCACGAGCGCAGGCGATAGACGGCTATTCCATCTTACAGGTAGCAGGGTTCCATTTCAGCAACAGGCAGAGCCTCTAAGCCCAATTCTGATAGCGTTGCGAAAACACTAGCGCGAATGCTCCGCTGATCACCCATAGCTGTGTCCACAATCCTCCCGGTATGCACGATCTCCGTTCACTCTCCAATCTTCTGCTCTCTTTGTCCGTCGTGGAACGAAAACCGCAGGCAAGTCTAGGGTTAACTGAGGACTCCATCATTATCAGCTGGACTAAACATTGTGAACCCCTTTCCTGATTTTCTGAAGCTGTTCTTACAGCGTGACTTGCGCACACATTTTCTCTCGTCATGGTCAATCCGGGTCACGCCAGTAAAGGATGCACCACCTGCAAGTTGAGGAGGATTCGATGCGACTATGGACGTCCGTTTTGCCTGAACTGCACAAAGTCTAAACGAGTCTGTTTGGGTTATAATATCCATGCGAATATCACTCACAAAAAGGCTGGTTGTACAAACGCCGCTTTAATGCTACATCCTTCAGCTGCTACATGCCAGTTGACTGGATTGTGTCCTCTACCAGGCCTCAGTCATTCCAAGGAAGATGACAGCGCAACTCAATCATATATTGATAAATTCTGCCACCGCGCGGCCTCTGAAAATGGAAGAATAACTGTCCCTCGAGTCATTCGGAACCAATTTCATAAAGAGCCAAGAACTGAGAAAGAGCGTCTTGGCATGGTCATGTTGTCTATGCTGGGGACACTGAATAACGCCTTCTATTCACTTCGGCAGTCTATGCAGACTATGGAAACACGGAAAGACCTGCTTCAAAGATACGGCTCTGCTACACGGCAGCTTAGAGAAGCTCTTACGATCTGGCCATTCTCGTCGGCCTTATTAGTTCCCATTTTCCATTTCTCTTTATATGAGGTAGGCTAAATTCAATCAGCGCTATGTGCAGCATTATTCTTACTGTCGAATATAGATGATTGTCAACTTGGATCCGGCAGACAAAACGTGGGAGACCCATCTTAGTGGTCTGCTAAATATACTTCAGCAAGTACCGGATAACACCGTAAAATTTACCTTGATTAAGGCAGTACGGATTTCAGATTCAGTAATCAATGTTCACAAAGCCTTGGAGCCATCAACGGTAGATGGCTTGCAGAAAGCGTCTTTGCTGTTGGATATCGTCAAGCTTCAGCTTCGTAAGCTGGGCGCCGAGATTGATGCTGTTACGCACAGTTCACCGCCCCCTTTGCGGAAACTAGACATACAGAAATTGCAAGTATCAATTAAGCATATTCGCAAACATTTGGATCTGTTTTCTATCATGATTGGCGATCGATTCGGGCCTTCAATGATTCACATTGGCCAGGGCAGTCCTCACTGCGTCAACCAAAGGGATAAGGGATCCCAAAACTACCTTCCAAATGGTAAGCCGAAGGCCTTTTGTAATATGTGTACTCAGTCCATTTAATGTGACTTTTTTTACAGACGCTTTTATGGTGCAATGGATTCAGTTTTATACTTTGCAGATGATGACATCTTCAGTACTACTCAAAATCGGTCATTGTCTCCATGCAAGCGCGACTTATCACAGTAAAAGAGAGTTTAAAGCATTATCGCACACTATACAAGAAGCAGCTGAGGGCATCTGCTCTATCACCGCGTCCTATATTGGGTTATGCTCCCAGACAGCATCAGAGCGCCCCGAAGCATCACAGATAAGAACAACACAAGCTCTGCTGTTGATCTGGCCTCTATTCTGCGTCTCTACGGCTCCCGGCCTGGCAGACGACCAAAAGAGCTGGGCTAGAGAAATACTTTGGGCTATTGGGGAGCAACACTCAATCCCCAAAGCATTGTCATTGGTAAGCTGGCCTTTAATTACACAGCTGTGCTTATCTCTGCTCTCAAATAGATTCTGACTTGGTTACTTAGGCATGCTCAAGTAGAGAAACTATTACACAATCCGATATCTTGGCGGGTATCTTCCTTGTTAACCTCTTATCCATCTTACCAAATCCCACGTTCATGTAGGGGCGTAGCGTAACTGCGTCCCTATCACTACGATGCCATTTCAGAATCCCATCGGCATATTTTTTTCAGCAGCTACCTAGTGTCATAGACTTTCTCCTACCCTTTGTTGAAGGAAGATCCAATGCTATTTGAATCATGTGTTTCATTAACCCGGTAAATTCCTTTTCGTGTATATCTATCTCGCTTCCAGCTCCCGAGCTATTGTCCTCTAGCTTGACTTAAGCTCAGCCTCCCACCTCACGCGGATAGCATCAACCATGATCTTGTTCGCCATAAACGAAGGCAGAAACGTCAAACTGGCCCCCTGCAGCGCATGTGCCCAGTGTCCGGTTACAACCACATGCCCGTGGCCAGCTCGATCCAGCGCAGCTCGAGCCATCGTCTCGGCTGTCGGCGTGAAAAGCGATGGAGTCTCTTTATTGTGCGATACACTTGTAACGTTACCAACACGGACGCCAAGGCACTCAATGTCAGTTCGTCCCAATAATGCAGATTCCAAATTTATAGCTCGCGTCAAGGTCATTAGAAACTGCTTGCTCGCGCCATAAGAAGCCAGCATGGGGAAGCCTGCGTCAGCCATAGAGCTGATGTTCATTATGAGCGCCGGTGAGTTTAGTGCCAGATGTGGGAGCAGGACGCGAATCAGCTGCAGGGGAAACAATGCATTGACACTGACGTTGTCAGTGATTCGTCGCTCGGAGCAGTCGCCCAGTGAGAGGTAGACGGGGTTTGTAGAACCGCCGCCCGCGTTGTTGATTAAAACGGTGAGATGCAAGTCTTGAAGCGCGTCTTTGATGGCATTGAAATCGACTGAATGTTGCGACCGAGCTTCTCCAGCCTGCGGGCAAGTCACGCACTGCACCGTGCTGGCGTCCGCGATAAGAGTCCGAAACGCTCCCTGGATGTCTCTTTTCCAGCTCATCCTGTACCACATCGAGCTTTGCCTGATTGCGGCCGTGAAGGACCACGTTGAAGCCTCGCAGCGCGAGCTCGTCAGCAAAGGCGCGGCCAATGCCGTCCGATGCACCCGTCACCAGCGCCCACGGAGGGCGGCCATCACCTGAAACGTGGGCATATCGCTTGAGGTTTGAGGGGAGGAGATAGACTACGCCGGCGGAAGCAGCTTTGAAGGCGAGGGCGGCAACGGCGATTGCGCCGATAGAGGCAAAGATATCAGAGGAGTGCATGCTGGGCAATTCAGCGATAAAGTGAATTGGCAAACAAGGCGAAGCCCAGAGTACTAGATATATGCACGCAAATCTATATGTGTGCCGAGCATAAAGGCAGCGATGCTGGTGGTGAATCGCAGAGCTGGGTTTTCATGATTGCACGCTCGGTATTCCATGGATGCCGACATTAGCGGGGTAGGCTGGTGCGGCGTGTTGAAAACTACTACCTAATCCAATGGATGAGCTTCTATAGCTAAAGTTGATACATAGCTGGAAATGATTAGCCTTAGCTGAAGGATACCAAGAGCTGTACTTGTGAAACCGTGACGGAAGCCATCCCATCCTGCTCCAACAGTACGGCTAGTAGTATATTAGTTCTCGCAGTCCATACAGCGTTTGAAGATTGCTTTAGGAGTCTCAATTCCAATGTAAAGGATATGTCTGGGTATTCGTACTACTAGCATACAAAGGTAAAGACTGGTCTTCACTATCCCCGCCCCATAGTTCGCCTTAAAAATCATCACTTCATAAACACGTTATTCTGCCCTTGCGCTTAAAACCATGAGTCAGGGCCGAAGTAGCCCTTCGCAGGCAATTCAGTGAGCAGAGCTTTACGTCGAGCGCCACCATCAATCGTTTCCCCAAGAACGTTGACACCCCACCAGTTAATACTTTTCGGGTGATACTGCACGGCAAAAAAGATGATGATACCTGAAAACGCAACTCCACCAGTAAGTGCGGCGGCCAATACATAGTTATACTTTTCCCACCACGCGGTCTTGTATCTCTTCAGATAATACATAAACGCGAGAGAGAAGTAAAGGCCGCCAGTAAAGTAGGTGAGGTTGAGAGGCGCCCACAAAAGCATTCCGTTAATTACCAGCGAAGGGTGGACGTGCTTCAGCCATGAAATGGGCGTAAAAACAACCAGGTTCAGGGGCTTGAAAATAACAGCCGGCAACACAGATCGGACTCCCTCGCGAGCATAGGATCCAAAGCGCTTAAGGCCCCACCAGAAAAGGGCGAGCAGGAAGCCAAAGAGGAATGTATATTTCATGGTCGGATAAATCTGGCTGAAGATTCTCTTGGGACCGATTGCACCCTAGGAAGATATTAGTACAGTGATGCCTATAAGCTGAGCTCAAGAAAGGGAGCGGCGCCTTACCCAAACAACAGACGATGAGAAATATACTTGCGATCCGTTCGCACAGTTGAAATTAGAAACTTGCTCTGGAGTGCAAATACCAGGTATGTCGTTATCAGCGAATTGCACAACGCCATATGCAACAAGCGCAGTGATAATGGCGCTCAATACTTGGCCACGATACATAGCGCGCGGGGGTAGCTTGGCATAGAAGCCCATCTTCTGGTCTGAGATATAGGTATCTGCTTGCCCGTTGATGTTGTATCCAAAGGCCTTGACGAACATCAAGGCTTCGGGGTGACCAGGTAAAGCGTAACCGACAATCAATTCCGTGACAACGTTTAATCCTTCGGTTGTGCCAGAGATTGAGTAAAGGTAGGACATTGGAACAAGGAAGACCAGGTTCAATCCAATGACAAAGAAGACTGTCCAGACAGGTGTGTCGAGCTGGGGCCAGTGGGCTACAATGACAATTGCAAAAATGAACGCAATGAGTGCGATGATCAAGAACCACCAGTCTGGTACTTCAGGATAATTACGCATCAGCTGTGTCAGCGGGTCATCAAATCCGTCATATATCGATGAATCGCTGTTGAGAATATCGGCCAGGTGGCGACCAGCTTCACGTACCCTACCCCTGACAATCGACACGGTTGCATTCTTGACACCAACAAGGGTTTTGGTTGTCGAGTTGACGGCGTCTCTTGCCGTCGACTTGTAAGCTTTGAGAAGGGGTCGCCAAGCATCAAGCAAGATGAAGACCATTGTGAGGGGATAGAAAGCAAAGAATGCGCCATAGAGGAGCAGGTTTCCTGCGCTGTAGAAGGCGGGGGAGTACTCCTGGTAGGCAGTTTCATTGAGGAAACCGTTGTTGGGATCAACAACTCTCGTAATGTTATACGACAGGCCCGTATTGTCAAAGATGCCGGATGAGTTGATGGGAAGATATGCCGACCAATTGACATTGGACCAATACAATGCGATAATAATCAATCCACCCAAAACCGTACCCAAGAACTGCTGGAAATATGCAAAGAATGGATACGCAAGCGGAAGCGAATACGTGGAAATCACGTTCCAGTCGAAGGTCGAAATAGGATTGAATCCAAGGCCAACTGTAGAGCCAGTAATGATGTTGAGGTTGAAATTGTTAGGTGCAATCCACGTCATCCAGGCGAAGTAACTGAGAGCCGGGAAAATAAAGTCTGGAAGCCAAAAGTAAACAAACATGGCGCAGAAGACGATGAAGAAGAACTTGTAGCGAGATATCCGCCAGCCGTGAACGACTTCCTCCTTTTCAGGGACCAACAAAGCTCTGTTAAGAGCCACTGTAGGAAGAATATTGGGCCATATAGCCTCCGCTGGGTAAACGACAAAGCGACGGATCAAGCCTGAGAATCCCAAGCCCATGAGTTGCGTAGATAGAAGCAGCAGAATGCCATATCCAGGAGTCAGCCATTTGTCCTTGTAGTAAACTGTCTGAGTCTGGATATTCCAGAAGCAATAAGCCGATGTAAGTCCAACATCAATGATGATTGTGGCAAGCATCTGCTCTTTGTACGACCAAGGGCCTGGGTTGAGCGAGATTCTTTGGCCGCGAACGGTGAAGCCCCAGTCTGGCAACACCAGAGCAAGGAGCAAGCCGCATGGGTAAAGAAGAATTTGTGCAACGGCGGATGTCAGCGTAATTGATGGAAAACGCGAGTTGAACAGCGAGTTGGTGAACTGCGCAAGGACCGCCCAAATATAGCCGAGTAGATGGGCACGGATAGTTTCGCAAGGAATATTAGGATCGTCTGTCGGCGTCGTAATAGCGCGCACCTCGGGGTACGGCGAGTAGAACTTGTTGATTGCCGTCTCGGTTTTGAGCTCCAGCTCCCACTCTTCAGGATCTTGTCCGTCCGAGGGCCCCTCAGCCAAAGCTGCAAGCTTCTCGCGCTGGGCATTGGAGAAGTTGTAGTCGTACTCGTGATCTTTGAGTAGTACTGCAATGATATCTTTGCACTCCTGGACAGTCAATGTCTCGATCTTGTCCATGACGTACTCGATATCATCTATGGGAGCTGTGCCACCAGCTCTATCACCGAGCTTTTCGGCAAGATCATGCACAACCTCGTCGACATCGTGGACCGTGCCTGGGTAAGTCGTCTTCTCATCGACAGGCCGCTCAGGGGAGGAAGTATCCCTCTCGACGGAGTTGTCGATGTAGGCTTCTTGAGAACCCATGATGCCTTGCTCTCTAGCTGTAACTGCTGCAGAGCTATAGCTAAAGACGAGGTGAGGGGACTCTAGGACGAGAAGTCGTATGGCATGAGGATTGACGTAGCAAAGCCCTTCATGAGCGGCTGGACCAGCCGTATTATTATAATGGTTGAGCACAGCTACTGACACCACTACCGCCACATCCCGATCAGCCGCATATGGTGTACATCTAGAGGTTACACCGAATCCATTGAGACTAGATCTAATTACTGCCAAAGACGAGTTCCTTATCTCTAAGCGCCATAGAAACACACACTCCCTATCAGCCAGACTCATATCCCCTGGGGATCTTGTGTAGCACCCCAGGTCTTAGCCTTGCAGAGAACTTTTGCTCTGCGAGCCGTGATCTAGGCCCGGTGTGTACCCTTGGAAGGTGGAGTTGAGCCGTCGGAACCTGCTCTCTCCCAGCTAAAGCACGCGTAAAACGACAAGATGGTATAATGGGGGCCACACATGCAACACAATCTTGACGGAAAACGGCACGCTCAAGGTCGCCTCAGTGGCGTACGAAGTACAAGTAACAAGGCTGCTCTGGATCACGAGCCAGTGAGACAAAAGTGCGACACCATAGCGTGCTACAAAAGGACAGTAAAAAGAGTGGAATAAGCAGGTCGCTGGTCGAACGACGCGGGGAACATCCTGATTAGGCAAGGTATTATCGCTCGATAGCTAGCCGGTCGGGAGGAATAAGGCGTTGAAGGGTGATCCTCATAAGATGGTCTGGGGTGCAGCCCACACTACATGTACTTACTTTACACTGGGACGTCCTATGGAGAAGAATCTTATCTAGCCTCGGAAAATACCGCAAAAGATATCATGGTATAACACGATAGATGCTACTCTCTTAGAGCCAAAACTGACCGAGGTCTTGCCGTTGTTATCAATGCCCTGTAAGCTGCTTGGGCGGATTATCTAAATGCAAAACATGTCCACAAGTGGCGATAGAAGTTACACTGGACTAGGTACGTCTGTAAGTGAGTCCTCGCTGACGCTGAACCTTTGTCATCTCGCCCTGCATGTGTCCGTATGTATGGATATCTTGAAGACCTTGAAGAACAGAAAACAGATATCACCCAGTCGTTCTTGTTTTCTAGTTGTATTGAAGCAGTTATCACATTATGTTTTACAAGGCTGTCTTGCTCTAAATTAGTTCACAGTCCATGTCCACTATCAATCTATCTCTACATCATAAGTTCCACTCAACTGCAGTAAATTGAATTGCTCTAATCCCGGCCCATTCTCTTCTAGTAACAGGTTAGTGCTTCCAAAAATGCCACCGAATGCTATTCTATCCTGTAACAGATGCTCACAAATTCTCCTTTTGAAAGAATCATTTGACATGGGAAATTATTAAGGAGCACAGACATTAAGCGAGAAGGAGAGAAGACGGCAGAAAATCTCCTAAACTGCAGCGCTTGGCAGGTGAGGTCGAGTTGGCGATCGCCCAGACATCTCTCCACAGAGCGGCTAGCTAGTCCTGGAGGAGTGAAAAGATATGGCCGGATCTTGGCGTGTCCACAGCACGTTGCGTCGTGGTTCAAATATAGAATCTGGGAACATCACTAGGTAGCAACGGTACTAGCAGCCGTCTTTATCTATGTGACCGGCCCAAATAGTGACACTCCAATGTTGGCTAGCCGGTCACACGCTCTCTCTTCAAACCTGTCTTTGCTGAGTCTCCATTCTGCCTATATAAGTAGCGGGCCGTAGCCACAGACAAACGTTCCTGGCTCGCTGTGTTTTAGCTCCCGGTGGCGTGATTATTGGCTTGAAGGGTCTTTTTGAAGCCACCTAAATAACGGTGCGGAGCCGTGAGCTGCCAAGATTGAGCAAAGCGGCCGCATCGCTATCTTCCGCTGAGGCGACCATTGGCGTTTCAATCCATACGATTGGAAATGTATTGGCAACGATAACGCTTATCTGTTTGAAGGACGCAATCAAAGAAAAGCTCCATCGCCCGCGAGACACTAAGTGTTCAGAGGTTCCCCGGGCGATGAGCGCAAGTTTGCCGAGGCCCAGGCACTGGATGAGACAAGCTCAGCTGTAAGGGCAGGTATGATGGCCCATGCTGAGATAACGAATCACAGACCAGAGAACGCTCAGGACAGGGAGAGGCGATCGGCCCTCATCGGCGATTACGATGGCGACTGTAGAGTTGCAGCGTTCCTACCGACCAAGAAGCCTGTGCCAGCCCCTTCCTACGTATGCTGACGCAGTTTCAGTCCCATGGCGATCACTGGGAGTAACGCCAAATGCACGTATCTGATGGATGCATGTCAGTCGGTGTTGTAGGATTCGCAATCGATGATTTGCCCTCAGACCGGGGCCATGAATCAATAGCACTCTGAGCTACGGGTACTTTTCTCTCGCATGAGGCGAAACGATTCCCCCACACCCACCATCCCTGGCGTTATCTACTCTAGCCACGCGGAATCAAAAGTGCCGTCTGCGACTAATCTATATTGATTCCGGTACAGGGATGTATGCTCCAGCGGCGAGGATCGTTTGATAGCTTGGCGGGGCTACTGCCGCATTTGTGCTTGTCCCAACCCAATATCAATGCAAATGATCCGCGGTAGCGCCTTGAGGGCATATACGGTCCAAACGGTCTAAACGATCTATACGGCTGCATCAACAATGAATGGGAGAGGCCTCGGCTCTCACGTTGCGTTTGACTTATTTTCTCTATTTGCCATGCTTCGCCGCCGAGCCGCCCGCTCTGTCTTATGAGCCTGAATGGAACTTTTGATCGGATGAATAGATATGAATATGGACAATGGTCCTCGCTTTTCTTAGCCTTTTAGATCCTGTGCAATGACACCAGAACGCATTAGTGTAGTTTGTTGGAAAGACTAATGGGTAAGGATTTTTCCGGGTGATCAAAAAGCTGTCGCAAAAGAGTGTCTGGGCCGGTGAAATGTTATTTAAGTTACGCTCTGATGAGCTGCTAAAATATACAACGCCAGATCTCCAGCATTATTGGATTTTAATGTTATCAACTCAAATCGACGAATTCTTACAAACTCCCGATTGCACGATAGTCTGGTTATTCCGCGTCTGCAAAAGAAAGTCACATCAAATGGATTAAAGTGGGATATTCCGTTTTGAGAGCGATTGATGCTTATGCATGCAAAACCTAATCAGAAATAACAAAAGCAATCTTAACAAGAAAGCATATTCTTCAGCTGTAACTAAACTGAACCGTTGCGATTATACTCCCACGATTGAGACTGTGCCAACAAGTTAGGTTCGCTCATCGCCCATAAAATCATAAAATGTCTGGAGAAAGTTATATATGCTTTGGGAGTAAGAACTCAAACAGGAAGTTACAGGCAGTCAAAAAGATCAATTAGGCGATATACTCCGCATACCTCAGTGCCCGCCTACCTAGATAGGAACACGATATTCTAAGCGGCTATAACAATTACGGCGGATGCTTCTCCGCTGCTGTCCACTGTCATGTCACTACAGTGCAGCATATCCACAACTTCACCATCGGCCCTGGTTATTTTGCACCAATGTCGTGGGGACCCAACACCACTACCGGACACTAGTATTGTCCATTGGACATTTAGCCAATAAAAGCTCGCTCTGGATTAACTAATCGTCGTCACATTATGCCATCTGGAGACAATTATTCCGTATTACTGCTAGTTACCTAATGTTCGCTGCTTTTATTAGAAACGCTTTCTTATAATTTTATAGTGCAGCTATACAGATAAACCACTAGCCCAATCTATAAGAGCCTGCAAATACTGATCAAACCTATCTCGTTTCTCAAAGATTAAGCACATTTGCGATACATTATGTCTGAGGAGTTGTACGCCTATGCCTACTCAGTTGAGGGTAAAGGAAGAGAAACAAAAAACGCCAGAAACCTCATCATGCTATCCGCTGTTTTGCTTAGTTGACCGCGTTTCCATGTCTTGGTCAGCGAAGTAAGCATCTTAGCTAATTCGGCCCGATGGAAAAGGCAATTAGGCATTTTTATATAAATTTCGATCTAGGATAGAAGCAACACTCCCTTCTTTACATGCCTAACGCTTGGGAGATTTTGAATTCAAGATACAATGGCGTTGTTAGTTATGTCTAATAGTGCCTTTGGCTCTATAATAAAGTCTGTGATATTGTTACCACTCGTCGCCATTCTTCTTATCAGTATCGCAACTCTCGGATCCATCTAGCTATAATACTAATTGGTGTTACAACCCGACTCTTATGGTCGCAACAATGGGCCTACAGGGTAGGCCAGACCGGATTAAAGAAGGACCAGTCAGCCAATCATTACAGGATCATTTAGATCACTAATAATCCAAATAATCCAACCCATGGATTATTAATCCTATAAGATAATCCACAACAAGGATTATTAAAATTCTTAATAATCTAAACATTCTAACTAAATATATAAATTTACTTCTTTACACTTATTTAAATAACTTAAATAGCTAGTTATTAACACAGAATTTAGATTATAACACACTCTGCAGCCTACTCTCTAAGTAATATTATTATTTACTATTTACCATTACCTATAAATCTCCTAACTAATCCGCTAATATAAACTATAAACTAAGTTTATCCCTTAGGAATCTCATAAGCCATTAACTATTTAAAATATTAATAACTTAGGTTATTACACATTAATAACTCTTATTTAGACAGTTACTAAACCTACAGGCAATATTATAATAATAGCTAACATTTAGCCACTAGCGGACCCAATAAATGTCACGGCCTGGTCCTCCGTAACAGATAGATCCCTTTATAAGACGCTGGTTCCGTTACAGTAATTGCTACAATAGCGATTATTGGCCTAATCTTTTGCCCTGTTGGCTTAACGGTATAACGGATCGTTACACGATAATCGCTAGGAGCTGGTGGCCTAGGGTTCGATTCCAGCTTGTTGCGTGTTACAAGACTAAGAATCACACTCTTAGCTGCTAATAAGGCCTATAGTCAGT